TTTCAAATTGTTTACATTATGCATGAAAAAATCATTATTCTTCGTAGCATTGCCGTCAGTAAAATCAAAAAAGCCTTCTTGTTCATTTAACTGAGGGTGTAAAACATGATTGAGAACATCCTTATTTTCCAATAACAATTTTATTGTTGACAAAATTGGGACGTATTGATAATAACATTCTTTTTCGTTTTCGGAAACTGGAAAAGACAACTGCACGGGTTCAACGTATTTAAAATTTTTGTCATAATATTTATTTCTACAAAAAGTTGTTCTTAATAAGCCAGTTGTAGTACTGTGGGCTTCGAAAATAGGCGAAAAACTATTGTTGAAAATGTTTGCAACTTTTTCTTTGTCATTATCAGATAAGTCACTATTAAAATTAGAATTCAAAAAATTGTTTGAAGATCTTTCAATTTCAGAAAATATGCCTTCAATGAGTGGTTGTAATACAGCTTCTGTTGCATTATGATTTACAGACAAATCTAAATAAAGCTGAGCAAACCTTTTTACACTAGCAGAATTATTAGAATCAAAGTCAATATTATTTTGTGAATACGTAGGGTAGTTATCATTTTTAAGCTGAGGTGGATTATTTAGTACAATATTACTGTCATTTTCATTCGGTGATTGTAAAATTGAATTTTCTAATGCAATATTACTTTCTGTGTTACAAAGATTGCTATTTAAATTTGTCACAATTAAATCATCACAATTACGATGAATTCTGCTAATGTGAATGCGTAAAGAGTTAGAGGACAAAAATTTTTTGTTTGCAATAGGACAATTTGGAATTGAGCAGAATACACCTGTATTGGATTTTTTAAAATGTGCATACAAATGATTTTTTAGTATTTTCAAATCATTGCATTGAAAATTACACATTCTTTGTTTGCAAGAATACTGAACATTTTGACTTATATACCTATGATTTCTAAAAATGTGTACATTAAAAGAACCATAGGTATTGAACTTTTTTGTACATCCCGAATAAGCACACAAAATTTCCAAATTAGCATCGAAGGCATGTTTTCTTTGGTGTTTATTATATTCTCTTATATATTTAAAACTTAAATCACAAGAATGACATGAAAACATCGTAAAAAATTTTAGTTGACGAAGCCAATACTATATCAGTCCAAGTTATTAAACGTACGTGTTTGTTATAAAAAATATAAAGAATTCTAATAAAGGCAGGAATGGAATTTGTTCTCTGTCATTTATGTACAATACATAATTAGCATACTGTATTGCGACACGATCTGAAAAATTTAAAAAATTTGTTGTATGACAATAGGTATAAGAATAAGTTTATTTAATTTTATTCAACATACACTCACTCCGGGGAAAAATTAATATCACTTAATGAAACTATTAACAAAATTTTGAATTTAAATATTTTATTTACATGAAAAATAGATTTTACTAATTTTTTTACTTCACTGTAAAATGAACCATTCATAGTTTTATAACTAATTAACTTTTTCAAAAAATAATTTTCAAAAAATTAAAACACTGGTTGGTATAGAAACTAAAATAATTATCAAATTGTATACTAAAAAAAAATAAACATGTGAAAGAATTTTAAGTTTTCAGGAAATTATCAAACTATACAAGACATTTGCAAAAATAACACAAAAAATTTGAGAATTACACTTTCCATAGAAATTAAGTACAGGCTGCGTATTTACTTTCAGAAGCAAATATAGCTTTAGTCGATTAATTAAAGATAAAAGTCGTTTATTTTAGTATAAAAATGTAAAAAATTTCATTTTATATTTCCCTGGCCTTTTACTAATTTCTAAATAACATTATTTGAAATTTTATCAATTTTGTTAAATAAATACTAAAATATCTAAAATTTATTTTCCTCCAGGAATTAAAAATTTTTTAATTTCAATTTATTCTTTTTCAATTTTATTAATTCTAAAAACTATTACTATTATATATTATTATTACTATTTCTATAACTCAACCGCTATAACTCTTCCAATTATTTCAATGGAAAGTCTAAAAAAGTGGATTGAAAATGGATCAAAAATTTGTTTTCTTTTATTAAATATTGTAATGTAATTTCTCAAAAATAATTTTCGTACAATTAGAAAAACAGATAAATTTTGTGTAGAATGTTAATTGTATTATAAAATTTCTTGATTTTAAATTAATTATATTTCACAATTTTCGAATATTTAATACATAACCTTAAAATTTCTTAAACTCGAGTTGAACGCGTTGTACAAATTTTCAGGTTTATTGGAAAACAAATTCTTTTTAAGCGTAAAAAAAGTATTCTTAATAATTATATGGAATCCATAATAAAATATGATTTAAATTAAGACTTACCTTTACATCAGGGCTTTTCACTGAACGGAAAAAATTTAACTTTTGGTCCTCACGCGTTGAAGTCCACCGGAAAAAGAACGAGAATTAGCAAAATTCGAGAACATTCGAAGAAGTTTCTAAATTTTCATATTTTATCTGACTTTTACACATTTCGTGTAAAATTTTTTACAAACTTGTTGAATTTTCAACAACCTCGATAAATTTACACATATTACTATATTACACTTTTGTTGAAATTTCATACGACGGTCCGTTGTAATTTTATGTCAATCGTAGTACGACTGAAATTTCAATAAATTCTTGAAAGTTACATGGACTGACCATTTAAATTTCATTAATTCTGTTATATTCATACGACGTTCCTATTAAAGTTTTACACATTTCATGGAATATTCAATATCGATTTCTTACAGTGTATTTTTACAAAAGTCATAATTTCGTATTTTAACAGAAAAAGACAAATTAAATTTTAATTTCATTTCAGTAGAACTCTATAAATCTGGATTAGTAGTTTTCTACTAATGAAATAGGTCGGATTCATTTACCAATTGAATTAATAACAGTTTTGACTAATTTTTAGTAAAGAACTACCATTTGCTTTGCTATAGTAAAAAACACTACTAATATTCATTAGTAAGTCGTATTTTTTACTACTTCAAATTAATAAGCCGCTTACTACATGAATTAGTAATTTTCAAATTCAAATTTTATATCGTAAAGAATTTTATAAATCATAAGGTGGTTTGTTCAACAAAATGAAGACCTTTACATAAATAATTAAAATATTATTATTAATAGTTTAATTAATAATTTTTTTAATAATTTTTTTTAATTCTAATACTAAACCTTTAATTTTTTCCATTTCTGACAATAATTTCTTTTTAAATAACTTAATTCTTGAAGAACTATTATAAAATTATAACTTATAAATTATTTAATAAATAATTTTATTTATACATTTCAAAATTAAATAGATTTTAAAATAGTTGCGTTTACAATTTTCATAAATAGATGAACTTCAAACAGTTTCAATTTAATTTAAAATTTTATAAAATTGCAATCTTTAAAGAATTTAATTAGAAATTTTAATGAACTTAGATTTTTGCAAAAATTTTCAAAATTTTAATTATTCTGAAATTAGTCAAATTTTTTAGTATATCCTATTTAATTAATTATTAAAAATAAAGAAATTAACAAGGAATTGTAGTTAAAAAAACTAAAAAAAAGTTTGAAGTTTGCAGAAGTTTCAAATGATTTGCTAAAATTCAATTATTTCCAAAAGTTATAAAATTCTTCGCATAAATTCAATTATATTCAGAAATTTAAAGAAATTCTGGTCAAAATTTCAATTCTCTTCATAAATAAGAAAATTTTTCTTCGAAATTCAATTATTTTAAAAATTTTTAATAAAATTCTTGGCAAAATTCCAATTATTTGCAAAAATTTTCCTAAATTCAATAATATTCAATATCTACTATTTTAATCAAATTTTCTAAAAGAATTCAATTATTTAAAAAAAAATTTATTACAATTCTTCGCAAACGTTTAATTATTTTCATAAATAATAAAATAATTTCCCAGGAATCCTTTATTTATAAATTTTTTATAAATTTCTTTGCAATAATTCCATTATTTTCATAAATAATCAAACTCATCGCAGAATTTCAATTATTTTTAGTACAATTTTAATCGAATACCTTAAAAAAATGTATAATTGCATGTTTTTAAAAATTTTATTTAAATTCATCGAAAGAATTTAATTATTTAAAAATTTGTTCTTAACATTCTTTATGAAAATTTAATATTAAGAAAGATTTGTTTATTCAATATAAATTATTAATTTTTGTACTTAAATAATTGAATTCTCGTAGAATTTTCAAATAGAAATTGATTTAAAAGTGAATTTTAGTTAAAATTTTACATAATAATTTAATATTAAAAGCATTATAGTGCATTTTTAGAAGTTAGTAATTGAATTTTAAAAAAGTTTTAAATTGAAATCTTTTTAAATTTGAATTTTTCATATTTTTAACTTATAATTCTGTAGAATTAATTTTTTTCAGAAAGTTTAATTGAAATAATTCCAAGTTTTTTTTTTCAAATATATATTAATTAAAGAATTTCCGAGTAATCTAAAAAATTTGGTGAAATTGAATTGTAAACAAATACATTTAAAAATTTTCAGAATTTTAAAAAAAATTATTGTAAGTAATTGATTTAACGAAGAATTTTAGTTAAAAATTTTAGAAAATTATAATTGAATTGAAATGATGAAAATAATTTTGATGTAGTTACAGTAAAAATATTTCTTATAGTAGAAAATAATGATCTTATTACTCGGTCATTTGTAATTATTATAAAACATGAAGACTTCATGTTTTATAATATTATTCTCATAAATTGTTGAATTTAAAAAAAATTTGAATGTTTTGAAAATCTTAATTCCTATGGAAGAACAATAATGATTAAATATTTTTTTAAAAAAGAAGTTATTGCTGTTTTCAAATAATTTTACAGTTAAAGAAATTCGTAAATGAATGTAATAGAACATTTTTTTGAGTATCTAATCAGTTTAGAGTGATTCGCAGAATATTTTTTAGGGATAAAGAACTCGTGTTAGAATATAAATAAAATAAAAAGTACAATTCTTTTTCTTTCAGATTCAACGCCAGCGGAGGAATGGAGCGACGATTAAAAAGTAAGACATCAAGTATGTCGCAAGAAGAAAATGTAAGTAACGCCAAGAGGCCTCGGATGTCACGAAAACATAATGTAAACAATAAAGGAAGAGACAATGATGAATCGGTTGATCTAACTACGAAGAACGAACTTGACAGTGAAGCAGAAGAAGAGAGTAATGTGGATCAAGAAATAGATCATGCGCCTATAGAGATATACAGTTCTAGTGACGAAGAAGATTGTGAATCGGAAAAGGAAAATAATGAAGATGAACGGCCAATTCGAACAATGTTCCAAGGATTTGCATCAATGGCTGGAATGCTTGTTCCACTGAAAAATTATGCACAATTAGCATCAATAGATCACTTATTATTAGAACTAACAGTGGCTGTGCGGTACAATAACACTTACGATCAACTTTTGAGGCGATTGCAACTATTGAAAAAGACATATGTTCATATAAATGTACCCACATCAAAGAATGCCTTGTGGAAGACAATTGGAAGAGATGACTCCAGCTTGGTATATCGTTTATACTGTGAAATGTGCCAGGAACTTGTAGGAAATGGCAAAAACGTGGAAAGAAACTGCAAGTGTGGAGCTTGCGGTCCGCATAAAGAAGAAACATGTGTAGGAACTTTTATCCAAGTACGTTTAGCTCCGCAGATAAAGGAATTTTTGGATTCGCCGAAAGCAGCCGAAGCTCTACGATATAAAGAAAGGAGAGTAAAGACAGATCCTAATGCGCTGGAAGATGTATTTGATGGTCGGGAATATAAACACTTGTCCGAAGATGGATTTTTACGGAACCGGAATAATTTCACACTTTCTTTCTGGACGGACAAATTAAACCTCACGAAATCTTCGAAATCTAGATACTATCCATTTCTTCTACAACTTAATGAGTTGTCGCCTCTGGCTAGACAGAGAAATATGTTTCTAGCGGGACTCTGGATTGGGAAACAAGATCCTAATATGGGAGAAATAATGGAACCGATAGTTGATGATATTAACGAACTCTACGACGTTGGGATTCGTTGGAAACCTGATGGGGAACAAGAGGTACTTAGTAAATTTGTGGTCGCTTTCTTTACAACAAGCTCGGTTGTTCAACCAATGGTCTTGAGAATGAATCAGCACTTTGAAGAATTTGGCTGTTTGTTCTGTTTCGCGAAAGGAAAGTGTATTGGAAAGGAAAGGATCTACGATTCTACGGTGTCAGATTTACGTACCTGGGAAACAATGAAAGAAGACATAACTAAGGTAATGAAAACTGAAAAAGAGTCGAGAGGTGTCGTTGGTTGCTCCCGATTAGCAACTCTCAGAACATTCGATCTCATTAAGGGTCAAGTTGTCGACAATGTTAACAATGATTATTTGGGTAACGCTAAGAAATTCAATCAATTGTTCCTGAAAAATGTTGGAAAGCCTTGGTACATCGGCAAACGGGACAAGATAAAAGAAGTCGATAATATTTTGACAAAAATTGCTGTACCTTCAATCCTCACAATTTCAAAGAAACCTCGTAGTATAAACACATCGAACAGTTGGAAAGCTTCCGAGTGGCGCAACTATCTTTTGTACTTCAGTCTTCCTTGTCTTGACGAAATCCTACCGGAACCGTACTTCAGTCACCTAGCCAAATACTCCGAGGCGATGTTCATTTTAAACAGTGCGTCAATCTCGAATACAGACTTAATGAAAGCAAAACGTTACTTAGACGACTTCGTTAATGATACTCAAAAGCTCTACGGTGAAATTAATATGCAGTTCAGTGTCCACTTCAACAGACATTCGGTCTTCCCGACGGAAAACTGGGGCCCTGCGTGGGTGTTTTCGACTTTGCCCTATCAGTCGATGTGTACACCCATCGCGGATTCGATTATAACTCCGAAACATCGAGCAGAACAGTTCGTGACTAGGTTCTTCATGAAGAAGTTTGTTTTACGTACCGCTGAGCAGGAAAAAATTAGCAATGTGACAAGAAAGGAAATTTATGATCTTCTAGACAAGAAAAATGTAGAAAGTAATTTCGTTGGAGAAGGAACCCCGAGAAAGTGTCACGCCAGTTCGGAAGTAATTCAACTGATCAATGCGAAAAAGGGAAAAAATGAGAAAATAGAGAATACGATAGTAAGTTACTTTCAGAAAGCAACTATAAATGGTGTTAGTTACGCCATAAAGATGGCAAAACAAAAATTTTGTAATCACATCGCGTACTGCCATGACAAGAAATTCATAGTCATCAAGAATATAATATCCTATCAACAGGGGAGAGAGACAACTGCCGGTTTTATTGCCGAAGAATTAAAAGACCTTGGAGGAGCTTATAACACAGAGTATATAAGATTTGTCGAACCGACAAAAAATAACGTTTTTATTTCATACCTCGATGTTTCAGCGCCGGGAATATTGATAAAGGCAAAGAAAGGGACTGTCGCTGTCCACCTTTGTAACTGCTTGGAAACTGATTAAGGAAGAAAAGCAGAATGAATGTTTAATTAAGAAGAACAGTATTTTCGACGTTTATATTTTATTGAGTTTATTTTTATAATATTTATTGAGGAAAATTAAAGAGATGTTGTTGATAATTAGTCACTAAAAATAAATATTATATATTTTGTCAATATAGATTTAAAAAGAAATTAAAATTGTGGACCGAATTAATCGTTACCACAAGTAAAAATGTTCTAAGAGTTTAAATTATGTACTTAATTACATAACTATTTTTATACTGCAAGTTCTAATCGTGTTTTTTTAATAAAAATTATCGTTCGTACAAACAAAGAATGCAGTTAAATTGTTTTATTCTATTTCAAACCAAAATGGCAGTAAAAATTCAATTATTTTCATAAATAACAATATTCATCACAAGAATTCAATTATTTTCAAAAGTAATAAAATTCTTTGTAGAAATTCAATTATTTTCAAAAATTTTAACGAATATCTCGTCAATAATTCCATTTTCTTTATAAATATACCTAATAGCAACATTTTTCACCAAACATTCAATTATTTTTAGAAATTTCAATTATTTTCAAACATTTTTCACCAAAAATTCAATTATTTTTAGAAATGTCAATTATTTTCAAAAGTTTCTCGCAATTCAATGATTTTCAATATTTACTTACTATCTTCATAAAATTTATCACAAAATTTAATTAAATTGAAAAAAACTTTTTTGATACAATTCTACGAAAACATTCAATTATTTTCATAAAAAATATTTTCAATATAATTTTAAATAAATTCTTCGAAAAATACAATTATTCTTAAAAATTTTATTAAAACTCGATGAAAGAATTCAATTTTAAGAAACATTCAATTATTCAAGAAAATAATAAAATTCATTGCATAATTCAATTGTTTTCATAAATAACTTTTAATTCGTCGCAGAAAATAAATTATTTTAAAAAAAAATTTTCAGTAATTCTACAAAAGAATTCAATTATCTTGGTAAACAACAAAATTTTTCTTATAAAATCAATTACTTTAAGGAATTTCAATAAAATTCTTTTCCAATATTCAATTATTTTGACAAATATCAAAATTTATCACAAGAATTCAATTTTTTTAAAAAGTAATAAAATACTTTGCAAAAATCCAATTACTTAAACAAAATTTAATAAAATTCTACAAAAGTTTTCAATTATTTTTAAAAATTGTGATTAAATTCTTGAATTCAACAGAATTTTTTTTCTGTAAAATTTTAACTAAATTCCTTAAAAGAAATTAATTATTTTCAAAAGTTGTTAATAAAATTCTTCATAAAAATTCATTTTAAAGAAACATTCAATTATTCAATAAATTATTTTTGTATTTAAATAATTGAATTTTTGGAGAATTTTCTAATAAAAATATATTTAAAAATGAATTTCGGTTAAAATTTTAGATAATAATTGAATATTGAAAGCGTTATAGAGTGGAATTTAGAAAAAAAAATTAAATTTCAAAAGGTATTAAATTAAAATCTTTGAAAATCTGAATTTTTCATACTTTTAAATTAAAAATTCAGTGAAACTAATTTTTTCGAAAAATTTTACTTTGATTTTTTTTAAATTATTAGAAGTTTTTATTTTCTAATATATATTTAAATTATGAATTTCTGAATCATCAAAATTTTCTAAAATCGAATTTTAAACAAATGTGAAAAAGTAACTATTTATTGATATTATTGAATTCTTTCGATGAATTTTAAAAAAGTGTTTAAAAATAATTGAATTTTTGAATTGGATTTTATTAAAAGTTTTTTAAATAATTGAAATTCTTTGAAAAATTAAATTATTTTTTTTAATAATTGAATTTTTTCGGAGAATTTTTATATGATTTTTAAAAATAATTGAAATTTCGTAGATATCATTTAAAAGTGGAATTGAAAATAAGTGAAATCCTGATAAGAATTTTATTATTTATGTAAAAATAATTGAATTTTTTACAACGATTTTTATTATTTATAAAATGACTAAAGAATTTTATTACAAATTGAAAATAATTGAATTCTACATAAAATTCAATTATTTTCAAATTTTTTTATATATACTTTACAAGAATGCAATGATTTTCAGTACATAAATTTAAAAATTTTAAACATTTAAAAAGAAAAATGATTTAAAAATTAGGGAACAAAAAAGTAAATAGCAGTTAACTTCAAACTGCGAACAGATTACCAAAATACAACAATTATTAATATAGAAGATGATAATTGATTTAGAGAAGAATTTTAGTAAAAAATTCTAGAAAATAGTAATGATGAATATCAAAAAGGCTTAAATTTGAAATTTTCGTCAATCTTAATTCCTATGGAAAAATAATAATGATTAAATATTTATCAGAATATTCTTCAGGGTCAGGGAAAAAAGTCAAAATTCTGTCTGAAAATCAAGGAAAAACAAACTTAAATTTATGTGGCAACCAGCCCTGATAAAGGTAGGTTTTCAGTGCAATAAAAAGTATGTTTTTAAAAAAATATTTATTATACATCAGATTTTTCCACATTGAATTCAAATTCATGTAAACTTTTTCCAAACAATTTAACCCAAGAAAAGTAAAATTCAATTTTCTTCAAATGAAGTTGTAGGGTCTTCTTCGAAATGTCTACTCGTTCTATATCCTCGTATTGCTGGAATTTTTTGTCAAACTCTGATTTCGTTGACTTATTTGCCTCCTTCCTTGCTTTTGAGAAAAGTGCATGTAAATCAGACAAAGCAGCCAGTACATAATAACTACAGCTTTCTTTAGGGCCTTGAATAATTTTAACTAAAGCTTCTTTAATAGCAGAAATTGTAGTCAATTCGTCAGTTCCCATTGGAGATGTTTCCTAAAATTCATTAATTTTCTATGAAAAAAAAAATTTATTTCGTTCTCGAAGGAAATTTTTACTAACAATTTTTGAATGTCCTTTCGAGTTTTTCAGTACTCAGTTATGTTTTCATAGGATAATTATTTTGGATATTAAATGACTTTCTACTTACTCCGAAAATTCGATGAAATACAGCATTGCTGGCTGAGTCCACATCTTGAAAAATCTTTTTCTCGTTTATATTTTCACAGACGTAGAGAAATACTTGTGACGCCAATTTTGGCGAATTTGAATGATCACCATAGAAATGTAGCACAATGTATGCATAGGAGCACAGAACGTTTATTAAATTAAACTGCACACATGGAGAGACTTTCTAAAAAATAAAACAAAACTACAATTAATTTATTTTTTGTAAAGTTTTTCTAAAGTCATCTTCGTATTAAATAAAAATTAATCAGCTAGTTGTTAACCCTTTGGGGACCAAATTTCATTTTAAAAAATTTTAATTTGTAAACAAGCTTTTCAGGGAAAATTATTGAGGTTTCTTATTTGAAGATCAGTATCTGGAATAGGAAATTTCCTAGAATAAATAAAAAATATTGTTTCGATCTTTGGTTGTAAAAATCAAGAATCTTATGAAACTAAACAGTTGTTACTTACCATTTGATTGTTCATGTCAGGTACGGAAATTAAGGAAGGACATAATTTCTCATATTGTGGAATTTCACCAACTTCTCGTACTAATTTTTCATCAACACACTGTTCCCACCAGGGAATCCAGTCGGGTAAAATCTTATCAAAATTATTACTTTGAATAATTGCTTCGAATTCTTGCCTCTCAGAATTTGTTAATGAAGACCACAATTCGTCGGCATTATTCAGGTCAATATTCGCAATTCGCTCCTCTAAAGAAGGCCCCTAAAATTAAATAGAAATAAATGTTTTTTATCATTGCAGTAAAAATGTCAAACTATTTTTGTGGATAACCCGATTTCGAAAAATATTTCCTACAGAAAATATTGATTCAAAAGATTAGTATGTTTCAGCGCCATCGTTTCATGAATAACTAATTTCTCTATAACCCCTCGGTTTCAGTGTATTTACTTTAAACCATTTTCGAAATTTTATTAAATAGTCAAAGATCTATAGATAACTTTTGTGTTGTTCGATTCGCGTAGAATTCCCCAATATGTTTATTTAATAAAGTCTACATTTAAAAAAAACTCACATCCTCATCGTCAGAATCCAATTCTTCGCAATCTTCTTCTTCATCTTCTTCATCATTAAGAATTTTCTCTAAAATATTTGGTTCTTCTGTTTCACGCTTTAATCGTTCCAGAATGTCCAACATTTTCTTTTTATTCGCAGGATCATAGTTTCGCATTTTCATTTCCATTTCTACCCAATTTTTATAAAATAGTTCTGAACAGGCTTCATGCTTTTCAGACTTGTAACAGCTTAAGGAACAGTAAGAAATATTGCATTTTGGACAAGCATACTGCTGTGGATTCTCATTACATCTGAAAGAAATTATAAATAAATTCGTTTTTAAAGAAGAACAGAATTTTGTTAACAAATTGTAATAAAAAATATTAATTTTATAAATTTTTTTTTTCTTTTTCAAAAAAAAACTTATAGTTTTGCAAACAGGATTGTTGTTGAGACACAGAAAATATGCAAAATAGATTCTACCATTTCTTAATCTTAATTTTTTAACAATTTTCTAACTTTTTATCAAAATTATGAAATTTTACAAATTTTAGAAAAATAAATATTAGAAATCATAACTTTTTAGAAGAATCTTGTTTTAGAAATTAAAACTTGTTAGAAAAACTTTTTTTAGGAAACAGATTTCATTAGAAATCGCTTCTTTTTTAGACAAAAAGGATTAGAAAATCTTTTTTAGAAAAAGTGACCACATTTAAAAGTATAAGAAAAATTCAAATATTTTAATTTAATTAGATTTATTCACAGATTTCTTTAATTGTAAAATTATTCAAAAACATCAATGACTTCATTTTCTAATAAAAATTTATTCATTATTATTTTTCCGCAGGAATTAAGATTATCAAAAATTTCAAATTCAAACCTTTTTCAAATTCAACGACTTATAATAATTAAAGAGGACCGAGTCATAAAATCATTATTTTCTATTATAAGACTATTGTTACTGTAACTTCTTAAAAATTATTTTTATTATTTCAATTCAATTAATATTTTCATCAATTTTTAAATAAAATTCTTCTTTAAATCAATTTTTAATAATTTTTGAAGAAGTTCTTTGAGAATTTTATGATAAATTCAAATTTTCAAAGATTTTAATCTGAAATCTTTTCAACATTTAATTATTTCTAAAAATTTATGCTCTAATGCTTTTAAAATTCAATTATAATCTAAAATTTTAACTAAAATCCATTTTTAAATCAATGTTTTTATTAAAACACAAAATTGACAATTTATTGAATAATTGCATGTTTCTTACAATTGAATTTTCATAAAGAATTTTATCTATAAATTTTTAAATAACTGAATTCTTTTGACTAATTTTAATAAAATTTTTAAGAATTTTTTCGAGGAATTCGATTAAAATTTAATTAAAAATAATTGAAATTCTGCAATGAGTTTTATTATTTATGAAAATAATTGAATGATTGCGAAGAAATTTATAAAAAAAATTTGTAAATAATGAAATTTCTGTAAAATTTTTATTATTTATGAAAATAATTAAATTTTTGGGTATAATTTTATTAATTTTTTTTTTAAGTAATTGAATTCTTTTGGAAAATTTTATTAAAATAGTAGATATTGAAAATCATTGAATTGAGGAAAATTTTTGAAAATAATTGAATTTCTGCAACCATTTGTAATTTCTCTAAAATTATCTAAATTATATCGTGCAATTTCACTTATTTTTTAGTAATATTTTCAATTCTTTTTACGAATTCGTAATAAATAGTATCTAAAACATAAAATTTACTTTAATTTATTTTTCAAAATTAATTAATTTTTGAAAAATTTCCATTCTATTTTTTTTTTTTTTTTTAAAGAGATGTGTACATGCCGGTTCAACTTTAACCTGAAATAACTTCAGTCTCTTATAGGTTATGAAGTGTGTTAGATTTGAATTTTATTATAAAAACATGTACATAAAACTCCTTGAATTGAATGATAATTTTAATTGTTACCAAAAACTTTAATTAAAAAATATAACATAGATACCTACATAGTAACTAATTACGTTCTTTTTTAAATGAAATAAGCAAATAAATAAGAATAACAAGATTTAAACTTACATTGTACACATAGAGTTTTTATCATCTTTGGAATTACCTAAAGTAGTCATTATTTACAGTTTTTTTTTATTATAGTACAATTAAAATTGTGTCATTAATTTAAAAGTTTATTATTATTTTCGATTTGTTTTGTTATTTTGTTCACCGGGTGGATGTAATTATTTTCTCTAGAGGGTAAAATTACCATTTTATAAGGCTTAAAGGCCTAAGCACAACTGCTTCGTGACGCAAAGCATGAGTTAGAAAAGGACAAAATATTTAGGCGTAATCCATATAAGCAGAAAGCGTGAACCCTGTAAATATAGCACAATGTATTAAATTGATTAGTTTATTCATTATTATTAATTAGTAAAACTAAAATTTTGAATAACTGAGAATTAGTCAATTAGTGAGCGCTCATTGTTTTAGTAGTCTGTTCGTCGTGTCGTTCGTGTTGATGAAAATAAAGTTATTGTAGAAAGCCCCTAATCTAAATGTGAAAGAGAAACGCAATCTACAACTCTTTAACTCCCGGTTTTGTTTTTCAGACAATAGACAATAAACCAACCCTGTTAAAAAATTTGAATGGAGTATTTTGTTTACATTTATGAATGAATGATGAATAGGAATCTGAATGTATAATAAATTTAAAAATGTACTCTACTAATAAAAAGATTCACAAATCTGATAAGCAAAAGGACACTGAAAAATGCAACATAAAGGAAGTAAGTACAAATTCGATTTATACTATTTTGTGAGATCATTAAATCATTAGTATATTTAGTAAACATTTTATTTTCATTTCTTATTTTTCTAAAAAGGAACATTTTTTCATGTTAATTAATATTCGCATGAAAAAAATTTTAGAAGATACTAGAAAATTCATTTATTTTTCGAAAAGCATTTTGTCGTTAGATTATCACCGGCCGGCACGTAATTCAAACTTATTATTTGTTTCAATTTTTATTAATAAATACCATTGTATAGAAATTTCTTTATAATTCAAGTGAAATGTATTTATTGTAAAATTAACTGTTTAAAAAGTAACTTTTCTTCCGAAATCTAATAGTTTTTACGACTTATTTTTCTAAGTGTAGACCTAGTTAACCTGTAGCTGTAAGATTGCGGCAAGCGAACAGGTTATGGAATTGTGAACACAATTTGTTAAGTACTTGCAGCAAACTTGCACTGCAAGTTTTCCAAAAAATTTCAATTATAAATTATTTTTATAAATAACAAAATTCTTCTCTGAAATTAAATATTTTCAAAAATTTTTCTCAATTTAATGATTTTCAATATCTACTATTTTAATAAAATTTCCCAAAAAAATTCAATTATTTAAAAAAAATTTAATAAAATTCTACGCAAAAATTTAATTATTTTCATAAATAATAAAAATTTCACAGAAATTCAATTATTTACAAATTCGTTTATAAATTTCTTCCCAATAATTTAATTGTATTTTTATAAATAATAAAACTCATCGCAGAATGTGTCAATTATTTTTAATATAATTATAATCGACTTTCTTGAAAAATGTAATTATTCCTCAAAATTTTATTAAAATTCGTCAAAAGAATTCAATTGATTAAAAATTTGTTGATAAAATTCTTTATAAAAATCCAGTTTTAAGAAAAATTCAATTATTAATTATTAAAATTCTTCGAAAGAATTCAATTATTTAAAAATTTGTTAATAAAATTCTTTATGAGAATTAAATTTTGAAAAATATTTAATTATGCAATAAATTATTTTTATTTTTGTATTTAAATAATTGAATTTTCTAATAAAATTGATTCAGAACTGAATTTCAGTTAAAATTTTAGATAATTGATTATTAGAAGCATTATAGAGGGAAATTTTAAAAATAATTGAATTTTGAAAATGTTTTAAATTAAAATCATTGAAAATTTGAATTTTTTGTATATTTTTAACTAACAATTCTATAGAATTAATTTTTTTTGTAATTATTTCAAGTTTTCATTTTCTAATATATATATTTAATTGAAGAATTTTTGAATAATTAAAATTTCGTAAAATAGAATTGTAAACAAATGTATTTGAAAATTTTCAAAGAGTTTTTTCAAAAATTATTAAAAACTAGCAAATATTACGCGCGCGGAACTTGATATTCAATTTTTATTATTATGCAAATAACAAAATTTTCTATTTTCAAATATGAATTTTTGAATAGTTTTAGATTCAAACTTTAAAAAATTTCAATTATTTACTAATGTACTAATTAATTATTCTTGTTTATTCATTTCAAAATTTAAAAAAAAAATTCTTTGCAAGAATTCAATTATTTTTATAAATAGTGAACTTGTTTGCAAAAATTCAATTATTTTTTAACAAAATTTTAATACAATTTCACGAACGAATACAATTTATTATTTTCTAAAATGTTAATAAATGCTTCGAAATAATTCAATTATTTTTTTAAATAGTAAAATCTTTGCAAAAATTCAATTATTATCAAGAAAATTTTATGAAAGAATTCAATTAAATTTTCTAAAAAAATTCACGAAAGAATTCAATTGTTTTTAATTCGTTATAAAATTTTTCAAAAGAATTGAATTACATATTTTCTGAATTTTCAATTAAAGTTATTCAAAAACTACATTATTTTAAAAAAACTTTAAGAAATTCTTCAAAGGAATTCAATTAGGATTTTCAAAACATTTTTTAAAATTCTTCGCGAGAATTCAATTATTTTCCTAATTAATAAAACTGTTTGAAGAAATTCAAATATTTGCAAATTTTTTGATAAAATTCTTTGCAACAATTCGATGATTTTCAATACATTAATTTAAAAATTGAAAATTTTTAAAAAAGAAAATTATTGAAAAAGTTAAGAAACAAAAAAAGCAAACAACAACTAACTTCGAACTGCGAACAACGATTATTAATATAGATAATTCATTTAAAGAAGAGTCAGGGAAAAAGTAAAAATTTTGTCTGGAATTTAGGGAAAAGTCAGGGAAAAAGAAAATTAAATTTTTGCTTCAACCCTTTTGTAATTATTTGAAGCCTCAATTTAAGAACTTGGTTTTATTTGTACTTTTTTTTCAGTTATGCGCTAAGGTGACTGAAAAAATATGTTATCCAGAAGGAGTCACTTTGTTATCTAATTCCTTGTCAGAATTTTCCGCCTCCAATTCGGAAAGTCATCAATCGGAGAGACAGTTGTTAATAGATGCCGTACTCAGGAGTTTACTGAAAACCAAAGTAACAACGAATCATGTCGACTCCATCATTAATCGCATTGTTATGGAATTTCCAAATTGTGGAAAAAAGACTTTACTGCATCTTGTAGAGTTTTGCTTGGATAGAATACAAGATAACGATGATGATCATATGTGGTAAGAAACTTATTTTTCAACAGGTTTTTTATCTTTTTTTTTTAATTTTTTTTTATTTAAAAAATTTTTTTTTTTATTTTTCAAATCAAGATTTACCATATTATATTTTGGAAATTGTTTCAGTTGGAAAGATTTATTACCGCCTTTGTTACAAAAACTTAGAGATGAAAAATTTATTAATTTCAAAGGAAGCGAAATCCCAGGAGTAGAGTATAAATCCATAATTGTAAGAACAATTGGTCAGGCGAAATGGGATTTAAATCTCTTGACGTCACTTGCGAAAATGTTTCGGTAAGTTGATTGTTCGTTATATAGTAATCTATATTAAATCGTACTTTTGTTTGAACAATTAATAGATAAGTTTGTACAAAACATTTCTACTGGATTCAATTATAAGGCGATTTTATTTTATTACATTTAGAAGAAAAATCTTTTCTTCAAAAAGTTTGTTAAACATTAACATTTTTAACATTTGTTAATTAAGAATATTAAAATGATTTTGTAAAAGAAACGATTATTTTGTTTCAAAAATTGGCAATATGAGGTATTTGTTAATTAAAATTGTAAAGAAAATTTAAATATTACGTTATTTTTTATTATTTTTACTGTAGAATGAAATATTTTTGAAGGTTTTATTAGTCAAGTGCAGGCTTCTCACTCATCTACTAAAACCTACTATTTACTATACTTTTTTCCGATTACCTACTATTTGGATACTTTTTTTAAATTTGTGACACTAAAAGCTACTTTTTCCTATTTTTGACAGTTTTCACGAGTTTAAATTCGCTAATAGTTGGACTAAAGAAATTATTCTTGAAAAGTTTAATAAAATTGTTCTTACATACAATTAGAATTTTTTTTATAAAATTCTTTGACACAATTCAATTATTTCAAAAATTTTTCAAAGATCTTTTGCGAGAATTCAGTTATTTTCACAAATAATGAAATTCAAATATTTTCAATATCTATTTTTTTATTTATTTATTTAGACATACAAATTTATATATTTTAATAAAATTTCTCAAAAGAATTCAATTGTTAAAAAAATTAAATAAAATTCAAAGCGAAAATTCAAATAATATGGATAATAAAATTTCCAAAGTAATTCAATATTATTTGAAATAAATTAAAGGAATTGTTTTGAAAGGAATAAATTATAAATATTTTAATAAAATTCTTTACAAAGAAATTATTTTCTAAAAATTTGTTTATAGGAATTAAATTATTTTGCTAAATAATAAAATTCATCGCAAGAATTTAATTATTTTTAATTAATAACAATTTTAATAAAATTTCTCGAAAGAATTCAATTATTTTTAATAAGTTTTAATAAATTCTATATATGAATTGAATTATTTTCAATGCAATTTTACTTTAATTCGTCGAAAAAATTTGCAAGAATTTATTTTTTTTAAATTTTAATAAATCCTGCGTAGAAATTCAATTGTTTTCATAAATAATGCAATTCTTTAGATGAATTCAATTATTTTAAATATAATTTTAATAAAATTCTTCGAAAGAATTCACTTATTTTCATAAATAATAAAATTCTTTACAGGAATTCAATTATTTTCAATTACAATGTTAACTCATTTTTTTGAAATCTTTTAATAATTTTCGAAAATTTTTCAAACTAATTTACTTATTTACAAAAAATTGAATAAAATTCAAAGCGAAAATTCAAACATTATCTTGAATATAATAAAGTTCTAATTTAATTGTGTGAAAAACAATTTTCAAGAAATTTTTTTGAAAGAAATCAATTATTTTAGTATTTTAATAAAATTCTTTGGAAACAATTAATTATATTCTAAAATTTTGACAAAATTTGTTTATAATAGTTAAATTATTATTTTCATAAATAATAAAATTCATTGTGAAAATTCAATTATTTTTAATCCTATTTTACTTAAGTTATTCGAAATATTTAAATTCTTCTTTTAAAATTTTTATAAAATGAAAAATAGGAATTCAATTATTTTTACAAATTATAAAATTTTTCCCAGGAATTCAATTATTTAAAAGAATTTAATATAAGTTATTACAAGAATTCAATTCTCTTCATAAATAATAAAATTTATTGTAGGAATTCAATTATTTTATAAATAATAAGATTATTTACAGAATTTGAATTATTTTATAAATAATTAAATAAAATTATTTACAGAATTTGGATTATTTTGAAAACAGTTTGAAATTAATTCCTCGAAAAATGTAATTATTTTCTAAAGTTTTATTAATAATCCTCGACAGAAATGAATTGTTTTCAAAAATTTGGATGAAATTCTTTCTTAGTATTAAATTTTAAGAAAATATCAGTTATTTCATCAATTATTTATTTTTGTATTTAAATAATTGAATTCTTGTACAATTTTTGAATAAGAATTGATTTAAAAATAAATTGCAGTTAAAATTTTAGATTATAATAATTGAATATTAAATGCATTATAATATTAATTTTTATAGAAATAAAAATGTTTTACATTAAAATTGTTTCAAATTTTAATTCCTGGGGAAAAATAAATATTTATATATTCTTATTGAACAAAAATTTGAAAATTTGAATAATTTAATTTAATGATAATCAAAAGAAAATTTGTCTTTTGAAAAATTTTAATTAAAAGAAAAAAAATTTAAAATATTTATTTAAATGTCCAATTAATGGAAAATTTTGTTAAATTTAATTGAAATAAATTTTTTGTCTTAAAAAAATTAATTTTCTTACTTTTAAAAATTATTTTGTAATATAATCGAATTTTTGAAGAATTCTAAATTTCTAAAATTTCTAACTAAAAGTTTGGAAAATATTTGAAGTTTAGAAGAATTTAGAATTGAAGTTATTACCAGGAAAAAAATTTTTTTGATGGAAATCAGAAAAATATCAGAGAAACACAGAAGGAAATTTTTATGAATTTTGTGATTCGTGTCTAAAATAAGTTTTTTAGTCGCCAAATTTAATTTTTCGATAGTAGCTACTTTCTGCTACTTTTTTAAAGCAAATTATTGAGTGCGAAGCCTGCAAATGCATTCAAAAATCAGGAATCAGATTTGTTTTTCAATTAAACATTTAGTTTTTTCGTTTGATTTAGGAATTGAAATTGTCAAATAATATTTTTTAAGATACTTACTATTAAAAAGAGAGTGATGTGAATTTTATTTTTTTATCAAAACTATTGTACATTCTAAGAATATTGAATTATTTCAGAGAGATGGCCTTGGAAAAAGCCGACCTCGATCTTGTTTCAAGATCTTTATGTGACGCGCTGTTTACATCGGAACTTAGTGAGATTCCTCCTTTAGTACATCAGCTTCTTCGTCTTAACGACGATAGCCGATTACTTTTAAATACACTTCAAAAATACTTCTCCCATAAATATGCCGAAGCTTCACAGCAAAGCGACGTGGACTTTGATAGCATTGGTAAATAAATAATAATAAATAATTTCCTTGCTTACTATTTTTTATTTTTGAATTACTAACTTATCTATTTATTATTACAGGACCTGTTGACTCAAAAAATATAAAAGAAACGGAAAGCACGGTTTTATATCACATTTATCAAGCAGTTCAAATGGATCAAAAGATATTGAAAGTTTATTTACGATTTCTCAGGAACGTTACTAATAAGCCAGAATTTATTATGGACTCCTTTATAATATCAGTATTGCTCTTTAATGTAGATTTCTTCAGAGATCAGGTAAGTTTTTTTTTACTGAAATTGAATGGATTTTTCATTATTTTTCAAACCTTTTCAATTTGTTTATTTTTTTTATTTTTTTACGATATACCTGAAAGTAATAAAAAAAGTTTTAAAATGTTTTAAAGACGTTTCTTTCTATAAAGAATGAGACAAACTTTTTTTTACCGAATTTATATTGTGAATTAAAATTTTACATTAAATTGTTATACAAAGCTAAAAGAATAAATAAATATTTTTTATAGGTTTTTGAAGTGCTAAAATTAGCAATCGTTCGAAAGTGTCACGAGGAAGAAAGGTGTAAAAACAGTTTATGGTTAAGAAATCTCGTGCCCAATGAATGGAAAGTGATTGATATTTTCGGCGAAGTTATTGATAGAAGGTAGACAAATTTTAATTCATTCTGTTCTTCATGTAAAATAGATATAGAAATAATTGAAATTTTTTAATAAAATTTTACAGTAAAGAGGAGCGAAGTAATATTTTATCCAGCTTATTAGAATTTGCGTTTTATCTTATGGCAACTGAGAAGAAAATTGGCCACGATGACACAGCAATTCTTTGGGAAGTGGGAACAAAAGTCGTTCAAAGAATAGCTAAGAAGGAACATGATTCGGGTTCAAATATTTTGATGTGCTTGTCTGAGAGAATTATGACAAACGAGAATTCCTTTTTGCAGTACACAGGTAATATACTCATTTGCATGTTTACATCTTTTTGTAAAAACTAAAACTATCTAACTATCGTAAAATAGTTTTAGTTCTAGTAGATAGTCTATCTTAAGATATGTAAAATTGTTTACTTTCTCAGTGAAATACTTTATTACTTTATTCAAACTTTTTATAATTTATTTACAGATTGCCTATCATATATGTGCCGACGATTAACATTAGTTACTACAAACAATCAAGCGTTGATTACCTCTTTATTGGAACAACTACTTTCGAAAGCTGGAAGTGACGTAATGCCGGTTGTGTCCGCCATTCTTCCCTTGTTAAAAACATCACAACGTGTACGAGACACTTTTGTATTGGTCTTGAGGAAAGCCCTAACAAAAAGTGACATTTATTTGCGAAAAATGTCGGTATTAGGCTTCTTGGAGTTATTGAAGAATTTAAAAGTATCTTCACTGAATGCCTTAAGCCAAGGGAGTGCTAACTGTTCCTCTTCCACCTCGTCTGCTTCTTCACATTTCACCCAAGTTTGTATAACGTTTACAGACTTCGCACTCGATAATTAATTTTCAAAAAAGTATCAAAAAGTAGCTTTGAAACTAAAAAAGCAGTAAAAAAGTAGCAAAAAGTAACTTTCAAAAAATTAAACTTGACGACAAAAAAAATGCTTTAGACACTTTACAAAATTGAAAAAAATTCAATTCCATATTTTATTTTCCTCACTTTTTCTTAATTTTCATCAAAAATATTTACTTCTTTCTTCTCCTGCTAATAAATTCAATTCCTGCAACGAATTTTACTATTCATGAAAGAATTTAAATATTTGTAAAAATAATTTAATTCTCGCGAAGAATTTTATAAAAATTGTGAAACAAATTCATTTCTTTCGACTAACTTTATGCAAATTCTAATTTAAAAACTTGAATTCCTGAGAAATTTTTATTATTCATGAAAAAAATTGAATTCTTATCAAGATTTTTACAAAAAATGTTTAAATAATTTGATTCTGTTTGGAAATTTTATGATAATACATAGTAGATATTGAAATTTATCGAATTGCGAAAAGTTTATTAAAATGATTAAATTTTACAAAGAATTCTATTAAAATGTTTGAAAATAATTCAATGTCTGTGTCGCATTTTATTAAATTTCTTTGAAAATAATTGAATTCCTAAAAAGCATTTTATTATTTATGAAAATAATTGAATTCTTGCGAACGATTTTATTAGAATTTTTAAAAATAATTGAATTTCTTTGAAAAATTTTGTTATTTTTGAAAATAATTGAATTCTTTGGAAGAATTTTATTAAAATATTTGAAAATAATTGAATTCCTGTGATAATTCTAATATTCTTGTAAATATCTAAATTCTTCCAAAGAATTAAAAAATAAACATTTTTTTTTAAATAATTGATTTTTTTGTGGAATTGGAATTAAGTTTTTTCAACTACTTGCATTTTTTGAGCAATTTCTGTAAAATTGTAATACAAGAATTGAAATCCTGCGATGAATTCTATTATTTATGAAAAGAATTGAATAGTTACTACGAACTTTATTAAAATTTTTAAAAATATTTGGATTTCTGAGAAGAATTTTATTATTTAAGAAAATAATTGAATTCCTGCGAAGAATTTTATCAAAACTTTTTTTAAAAAATTGAATATCCATGAAAAATGTTATTGTTAGTCAAAGTAATTGAATTATTGTGACGAATGGTATAAAGGTTTTGTTAAATAATTGATTTATCGAAATTTTTTTGAAAATTCCTGTGGAAATTTTATTATTTTTAAAAATAATTGAATTTTGGATGAATTTTATCAATTTTTTTCTTAAATAATTGAATTCTTTTGCTAAATTTGATGAAAATACTAGATATTGAAAATCATCGAAATGTAGAAAAATTTTTGAAAATAATTGAATCGTTATAAAAATTTGATTATAATTTTTGAGAATAGTTTTTTGATTTTTAACGTAAAAAAAATGTAGTAAATAGTAGGTTTTAATAGATGAGTGCGAAGTCTGTTTATTGCAATTTCAGCTGATTATAAAATCTTCTTTAACGATCATCAATGTTTGTTTTTTTCATAGGCAGCTTTTGAGAGAAATCAACCTAGAGTTACTCAGGATCCAAAATATAATATGTCACTTTGTCAAGAACTTTTGTCCATTCTAAAACGATGTTTGATGTACGATTGTCAAGTGCGATTGTATTTATACCAAGGTAATGATTGAAAAAAACAGTAACAAATTTTAGTGAAGTAGGAAAAAGAGAATAGTCTTTATATAAAAATTGTTCAACTACAGGTATTTACGATGCTGTTGTTGTAAATATGGAACTAGCAGAATATGTATCGGAAATGTTACTCGACCATTTCAAGCTCTTCTGGGAACCTAGCGAGGATATTTTGCCACCCATAGTATTTGACAAGTGCACCATCACACAAGGCGCCGAAGAAGTTTTACAAGAACCCTTGGGAGAATTGGTCTTTCTCATTCAAAAGTTGTATATAAAAACAGCTTTAAAGAACTATGCTGCCGTTAATACATTTTCGATAATATTAGAGTCGCTATGCAAAAGGATATCTTTAACGGAAGCTGAACATCTTAATTTGGTAAATTAAATGAGTCGATCAATGTTTTAGTCATTTATACATTTTCATTAAAATCACAATGTTAATAAAGGGAAAAAGTTAGATTTTATGGATCTAAGAAATAAATTTTCTGAAAATTAAACGGAAGTTTAAAAATTTTTAGAACGAGGCGACTGATTTATTAGATAATGTTCCTAAAGCGCAACAATCACTGCACCATCTGAAGCTTACAATATCCGTTTGTGAAGCCCTAATAGCTTACAAATTTTGTTCTTGGTCGAAAGACAGTGATCATAATGCTCAAAGTGTTAAATCTTTATTCAAGACGTATCTATATCTCATTGACTTCCTCAAGGTATGATCTGTATTATAATTTTGCATGTAACATAATATGTAAAAATTTTTTTAAAAAATAAATAAAAAATTTTTTTTCTACAGAGGAGTAATAAAGTTAAAAAAGGCGATCCTAAAAAGGCAGATAAAGACGCAACAACTGACAGAAGTATGATTCGTAAAAATACTCGCGCCAACACGCTGAAAGTTCCAAATACTGTTATGGATATTCAAACTGTTTATAAAATGCTGTCACTGCTTTTCGAGTAAGTATTTACACTGTGGTGTCTTCTTTCTGATTGAATTTGTTATAATATTCACTTGAAGGGACCTTAAATTCGTAATATCACTTAAAAATGTGACCAATAAAACTCCTTGTTACGAGTTTCATATAAATCTGAATGAAATAGAATTTAATGATATAGAATTTAAAAAAATTCAAAATGGCAAATCCAATATGGCGGTTTGATTTTTAAAAAAAATTTAGTTTCTTTGATAATTTATTTCTAAAAAGATAGAATTTTACAAAACTTTGTATCAAAAGGTTTTGAGATCGCTAATTACGAGTCTGAGGTTTGTTTGTAAAACTTTTAAAGAACGGATTAATTTTGATAAAATTGATTATTTTTGCAAAAAATTTTATATAAATTTAACAATTATAAAAAAATTATTTTTAACCATTTTTTATTTCAATTGTGTTGAAATTAGTCTCAATTTGAAAAATTTTAACGAAATTCTTTGAAAGAATTCAACTATCTTAATAAATACCTATCAAAACTCTTTCTAGAAATTCAATTATTTTTAAAAATTAAAAAAAAATTCTCGTCAATATTTCAATTATCTTTATAAATAGCAAAATTCTTCGTCAAAAATCAATTATTCTCAGGAATTTTAATAAACTTCATTGCAAAATTCAATTATTTTCAAAAATAACAGTATTCATTACAAGAATTCAATTCTTTTCAAAGGTAATAAAATTAAATTATTTTCAAAAATTTTAATAAAATCATATCAAAATTTCACAATTATTTTCAAAATTTTTTCTTAATTCAATAATTTTCAATATTCTTAATAAAATTTCTCAAATGATTTCAATTATTTATCAACAATTTTCATAAAATTCTACACGAACATTCAATTATTTTCCAAAAAAATAAAAATTCCACACGAATTCAATTATTTAAAATAGAATTTGCATCAATTTTTTTCGAAAAAATCAAATGTTTTAAAATTTGTCATTAAATTCTTCGCAGTAATTCAATTATTTTCAAATGTAATAAAATTCCATTATTTTCAAAAATTTTAATAAAATTCATATCAAACATTCAATTATATTCAAAAAAATTTCCTAATTCAATAATTTGTTTATTTATTATTTTAATAAAATTTCCCAAAAGAATTCAATTTTTTAAAAACAATTTTGACAAAATTCTACACGAATATTCAATTATTCTCTAAAATGCTGAAAATTTTACAGGAATTCAATTATTAAAAATAAAATTTGCATAAATGTTTTCGAAAAAAATCAATTGTTGAAACTTTTTTATAAAATTCTTCTCAATAATTCAATTATTTTAAAATTTGTTGATAAAATTGGGCTTAAGAATTAAATTTAAAAAAAAATTCAATTATTTCATAAATTATTTACGTTTGTATTTAAATAATTGAATTTTCGTATAATTTTCTAATAAAAATTGATTTAAAAATTAACTTTAGTTAAAGTTTTAGTCAATATTTGAATTTTGGAGAAGTTACTAATAATTGTAATGTTTAGAAGTAGAAGAATTTTCGAATAATTGAAATTTCACGTAAAATTAAATTGTAAACAAATAAATTTAAAAATTCTCAAAGAACTTTTTAAAAAATTTTTAAAATAGGTAATTGATTTAGAGAAGAATTTATTTTAGTAAAAAATTGTAGAAAATAATAATTGAATTGAAATGATGAAAATAATTTCGAAAAAGTTTTAAGTAACAATATTCTTCTAATGTATAAAATAATGATTTTATCATTCGGTCAACTTTAATTATTATAAGTTATTGAATTTCAAAAGGTCTGAATTTGAAATTTTGAAAATCTTAATTCCCATGGAAAAATAATATGTAATCATAAAATAATTTAATCATAATAATAATGATTAAAATTTATTTAGAAAAGAAGTTATTGATGTTTTCAAATAATTTTAGAATTAAAGAAATTCGTAAATAAATATAATAGAACATTTGCAAAAGAGAATGTGAATTTTTTTGAAAAGTTGTTCTAAAATAAACTGTAAGTCGCTGAAATGTTATTTTTCTAATTTTAGTCCAAACTTGACATGGGCGACGAAAGAAGAAGTGGACATTTTAAAAGATCGCGTCGAATTTAATAACTACGTGTTACAAACTTGTCTGCAATTAATTCGAAATGCAAAAGCTTTGAAAAAGATTTCTATTAAACAACATAAAGACAAATGTTCAAGAACATACATGCAGATTGGCCGGTAAAGTGTATTCTGTATATTATAATGTTCCGTGAATTTAATTTTCATGTCTGTTCATTAATAAACTTTAAATATTTTCCTACATTAGATTACTCTTCAAGAATGTTATATCAAAATTGGAGGAAGTTGTGGCTCTTAATTCAATTTCTTCCATTTATGCTGTTGAGTGTTTCAAGGAGCTTTGCGATTTAATGTGTAACAATTGGACTTCGGAGTTGTCACTATTTCTTAATATTGCAGGTAAAAAAAGTGATAATAAATAAATAAATAATAAGCATTCTGTCAATTATTTTTACTTTTTATCTTTCTTTGTTTTCCAGTCGATGTTGATGAGAAAGAAGGTCTTGATGCTCAAATCAAAGTTATTTTTCAACAATTGAAAAATCAGTTTAATGTCGCTCTGCAATTAGATGTGGAAGAAGATGCAAATTTAAAAAAAGTTCCTTTGCATCTCATTGAAACGATTTCATACTTCGTTAATAAATTGACATTCGAAAAAAACGCCACCAGTAACGATGTAATTTTCGTATATTTAATTTTTTGGACATGGATATAAATAATTGGAGTCGAATATAAATAATTAAACTTTTATAATTTATTTTCAGGTGCAAGAATGGTTGAAGATTCAAGCTGCCACTGAAATTAATGATTCGGCTATAACGCTAATTATCATTCAATTGATGTTGTTTGTCGATGCCAGAAAAATAGAATTCGGCGAAATTTTCTTGTCCAACATTTGTACGGATTTGTCCGACAAATTTTCAGAGGTAAAAGTCAACATTATTCCCAATATTATTATTAAAGTTAAAATATGATGCTCTTTGAAGAATTTAATTTAATTTCATTAAGAATAATTTTTGATTTGCAATTTTATTTCGTAGGATAATCAATCCGACACAGGGGAGTATGCAATCATAAATGTCACAAATTTCGTGCAAGTTGCTTGCGCAGTTAACAATGCTCTCAAGTGTAAATTACTAGATATCGTTTCGCTATTCAACAGACTCAAAGCAGAGCAAGTTTTAATATGCACTCCAGGATTTGAAAATAATGAACGTACGTAGTATTTATAGAAAAACAAATTCTTCATAGATACATTTCGCATTTCTTTCAATTATAATAATTATTAATTATATAAAATTGGAAAAACTTTCATTTAGGGCGTGAGAAGTTGAGAGACAATGAAATCCAAGTCTGCAGTCAATTGGCTAGTATTGTTGGGAATCTTGATACGTTAGCCTCAATTAAAAAAACTCATGGTTTACATTCGGATGCACTCTTGAAAAATGTTCATCAAGTCTTCAATATATTGTGCAATCTCACGAAATATTTCATTAGCAAATGTAAACCAGGAAATGCAACGGCCGTTTCACACAAGTATAATTTTTATCATTTTCTCACTATCTATAATTCTATATGCACTATTTTCGAAAAATACTTCAATTATATTTTTACCAGGGTCAATCCATTTTATTTCGACTAAAGTGTTCGCTGACAAATTAATTAATTACGATTAGCTACTATTTGAGTATTTTTTTTAGATTTCAGCCACTAAAAGCTACTATTTCTGTTTTTTTTTTGTGAGAATTTCCACTACTTTAAATTCTTTGAAACGATTCAATTATTTTCAAAAAATATTCGAAATTCAATTAATTTCAATATCTAGTATTTTCATAAAATCTTGCAAAATAATCCAATTATTTAAAAGAAAAATGATAAAATTCATTCAAAATTCAGATACTTTCATAAATAGTAAAATTTTCACAGGAATTCAATTAATTTAGAATAGCATTTACAAAAAATTTTTTTAAAAAATCAATTTTTTAACAAAATTTTTATACGATTCTTCACAATAATTCAATTACTTTCACTAATAATTTAAAAATTTTCATGGATATTCAATTTCTTAAAAAAATTTTTAATAAAATTCTAAGCGAAAATTCAATTATTTTCACAATAAAGTTTTCTACAAGAATTCATTTATTTAAAATAAAATTTTCATAATATTTTTTATATTTCGAAAAAATTAATTATTTCAAACAATGTTTATAAAATTCTTATGAAGAATTCAATTATTTTTAAAAATAATAAAATTTTTTACAGAAAATCAATTCTTTTTAAACATTTTAATAAGATTAAATTATTTTTGAAAATTTTAATAAAATTCTTAGAAACTATTCAATTATTTTCACAAATAATAAAATTCATTGTAGGTTTTCAATTATTTTTAATACAATTTTACAGGAATTGATCAAAAAATGTAATTATTCTTAAAAATTTAATATCAACTCCTCGAAAAAATCAATTATTTAAAAAAAATGTTTTTTTTTAAATTCTTTGGAAGAATTAAAATATTTATAAAAATATTAGAATTTTTCAAAGGAATTCAATTATTTTAAATATTTTAATAAAATTGTTGGAAAGAAATCAATTATTTTAAATTCAATTTTAATTAAATTTTTTTGAAATAATTCAATATTATTCTTTTTTATTTTTTTTAAAATGCTTCCTAAAAATTCAATTATTTACATAAATAATTCTTCAAATGAAATTTAATTATGTCGATAAATAACAAAAATATCTTCGAAAATTCAATTATTTTGAGACATTTTAATAAAATTCTTTGCAAAATTCAATTATTTTCATAAATAACAATATTTATCACAAGAATTCAATTGTTTTCATAAATAATAAAATGCTTTTTAGGAATTCAATTATTTTCAAAAAAATTTAATAAAATGCCACACAGACATTCGATTATTCTCAAAAATTTTAATAGAATTCTTTGTAAAATTTAATTATTTTTCAAAACTTTTCGCAATTCAATGATTTTTAATATCTACTATTTTCAAAAAATTTCCAAACAGAATTCAATTATTTAACAAATTTTTTAAAATCGTCTATAAAAAATATAGAATGTAATTTTTGTCAATTTTGTGAAGTGTCTAAAACTAGTTTTTTTTCTTTGGTTTCAAAGTTTAATTTTTCTTTAGCTACTTTTTAACTCCATTTTTTAGTTTGAAAGCTACTTTATGCTTCTTTTTTAAAATTAATTATCCAGTGCGAAGTCTGATATTTTCTATTGGCAAAAAAACAGACAGGTTATAGAACCTCGTTCACTTCAAACTAATAATTTGCCATAAATAACAAGAATTTTAATAATATTCTTTCCATTTCGTGATCTTGAGTCCTGAAATAATATTCCTACAAATTATTATCATTTTTAGAAAATAAGTCGTGGATGACTTTGATCGAAATATAATGGAATGAGTCTAAAAGTTGTTTGGATTTTTTAAAATTATGAATAATGGGCTTGAAATCACTGTTAAACCACTTTTATCAACAGTTTTATATATTAAATAATTAATAAAAATTGTTTTTGTCATTAAATAATTGAAAATTAGTCTTTAACCAAGTAAAAACATTGTTGAAGATAATCTATAATTTTTTTCCGTGTAAGGTTCAATTCTCTAGAAAACGTCACAAACGTCTGTGTTATACAAATGAAAAAATGCACTACATATTTGCTTAAATTTTCTTAATGTTTTTTCAGGTTTCAAATGTTGATAAAAAGCGCCGGAAAGGATTTAAAGCCTAGTATTGAAAGTTACATTTATAAACTAGAGGTACGTTGAAAATATTTTTATTTTTATAAAGCAAATAGCATGAAGTCAGTAGAAAGTTAAACGAAAATTTTATTTTTAAATTTAAATGAACTTTATATTTGTACTTAATAATGACTTTTACATTTATATATATTTTTTTCATGTAGGAGGATAAAAAACCACAGGGAAAAAGTAGCGATTCGAAAATACGACGGAATAAAGTTTTAAAGGAAACCAAGCTGATACCTCGAGTTATTCATGAAATTGAACAATTTCATAAAGACATTCTGTGCCTTTCCAAAAAAAGTGGGGTACGTACTGTGAAGAAGGTTGAAATATTTTTTAACTGTAGGATATTTTTTTTTTAATTAAAATTATTTGAATTTAGATCGAGTTGAATAAAAACATTAAGCAGAGTCGCACCAGAGACTTTTCAATTAGTAAAAAGGCACTAGTTGAAAATCTAGACCGAATAGACGCTAGTATGGTGAGTAAATTTATCAATCAAAAGATTCCTAATTTCTTTAAAATAAGTATCATGTTGTATTAAAAATAAAATCGGACTTACTAAAAATAATATTTTGACAATGTTTTAGCTCACAACACAAAATACAACACATCACACAACAAGAAATGAAAGAGATGATGATGATGATAATGATAATGATGTAACCAATGTGGACAGCGATAGTGAGAGAGAAACAAATCAATCAAAAAGACGAAAATTAAATTCATCTTCTGAAGAATAAATTCCTTCTACGTTCTGTATTTGAAAAATCTTATTTTCTAAAATAAAATAAAATTTATTTTCCATAACTTTATAGTGTCGTAAATTAGTGATTAAAATCTTAATTTCTTTATTAAACACTAGTTTACAAATTTCAAAAAATTTTCTGACCTGCAAGGCTTTTTCAGTCATTTTTTACGTATAATTTGACGCTGAATTATTTTACTCATAAAATTTGAAACGCTTTTTCACAAGGTGATAAACAGAAAGTTATAATAAATTGTTGAAAAGTTTACTAAAAGTGAATTATTTTTTTTTGCAAAAAAAATAAATATAAAGCTCGAAAAATGGTAGTCTTTATACTTGAAACGTGTTACCTCAGCGTTTTTGGAATCGATGAATACGAATTTGAGTCAAATTTTTAAATATATCATTAAATTATTAATTATAAATTATTTGATAAATAATTATACTTCAATCTTTCAAAATTTTTTTTTTTTTAAATTTGCGTTTCCAATTTTCATAAATAGACGAACTTTAAAAGGTTTTAATTTGTAGTTTCACAAAATTGTTAATTCTGAATTAATTTAATTAGAAATTTTAAAGAACTTAGATTTTTGAAAAATTTTAATACTTTAAATTCTTCTGAAATTATAGTTAAATTTTTGAATAGACATATATTTCATTAATTATTAAAAATAATGGATTTATAGAAGAATTTTAGTTAAAAAAAAACTAACAAAAATTGAATTTTTAAGAAGTTACAAATGATTGCAAAGGTTAAATTATTTTCAAAAGTAATCAAATCTTTCGCAAAAATTCAATTATGTATGTTTAAAAATTTTTTTGAAATTCTGGTCAAAATTTCAATTATTTTTATATAACTAATAAAATTTTTCACCGAAATTCAATTATTTTCAAAAATTTCAATAAAATCATGTTAAAATTTCAATTATTATCAAAGATTTTTTTTAATTCAATGATTTTCAATATTCTACAATTTTAATAAAATTTCCCAAAAGATTTCAATTATTTATCAACAATTTTAATGAAATTCTACACAAACATTCAATTATTTAAAATGTAGAATTGGCAAAATTTTTTTGAAAAAATCAAATGTTTTCAAATTTCGCATTAAATTCGTAAATAATAAATTCATTCGAAGGAAGTCAATTATTTTCATAAATATCAAAATTAATCACAAAAATTCAATTATTTTCAAAAATAGTAAAATTCTATTATATTCAAAAATTTTAATAAAATTCATGTCAAACATTCAATTAGAATAATACTATTTATTTCCCTAAATCAGTAGGTAATGGAAGGTTTGTTTTAAAGTTATGTACAAAAAAGGTTTTTATCAGAAAGACATAGAAAATAATTTTAAATATTATAATTCGTAATCATAATACAATTTTTAGTCAATCAATAACACAATGTCAAAATTTATATGAAAATAAAGATTAATGTTAGAAATTCCACTTTTTCTTGAAACCCACATCGGAAAATGAGAATATATTTGAATTTTAAGCTACAAAATCGAGCGGCCTGTTGAATCCACCTTTTCTGTTCATGTATTGCCTGTACTTTCGTTTTAAAATAACGTGAACTGCTCCAAGGTCGTTGCCATCGACTTTCTTCCCTTTCGTCGAATCGAAACCACAAAAACCCATTAGGCGCATCATGTCTTGTTCCTCAGGAGTTTTGCCTTGTAAATCGGCTTCTGTAGGGGCGTTAAAAAATTTTATATGTTACGTTTTTTGTATATTGAGAATAATTCTATAATATTGTAGTTAAAATTAATTTTCTTCATTTAAAGAATAACGGATCGTTCGAAAGTAATAAAGTAGAATACCTGTAACTATAGGGCGTTCATCTGGTTTACATTTTTGCTTCACTCGCTCCCTCGATCGAGATCTACTGTAAGATTTCCTGTATCTATCCCGATTTCGTTCCCTGTCTCTATCTCTTGCCTTCACTATATCTCGATCTACAGACCTGGAATTAAATTCGATAAAACAAATTATTTAAAAATGTAAAAACTGTGATTTATATCTATATTTATATTGCTTTCTCATGAAAGCATTGTTTTAGTAAAAATTTTCAAACTCAATTTTTTCACTTTACGGCAGGGTGACTAGCGAACAGGGAGAAAAACAATTGAAATTTTGCAAAAAATTCTAATATTTCAATTACGTTTATAAATAATATAATTTTTCTCTGAAATTCAATTATTTTTAAAAATTTTAAAATAGATCTTCGCAAAGTTTCAATTATATTCACAAGTAATAAAAATTTCACAGGAATTCAATTAATAATTTCTTTTTAAATTTCTTCGCAATAATTCAATTATTTTCATAAATAATACATTTTTTTGCAGAGATTGAATTATTTTCAGGAATAATAAAACTCATCATTGAATTTAAATTATTTTTAATACAATTAAAATCAAATTTCTCGAAAAATGTAATTATTCTTAAAGATTTTATTAATATTCGTCAAAAGAAGCAATTATTTAAAAATTTGTTGATAAAATTCTTTAGAAGAATTAAATTTTAAGAAACATTCAAGTGTTCAATAAATTATTTTTGTATTTAAATAATTGAATTCTTGTAGAATTTTCTAATAAAAATTTATTTCAAATTGAATTTCAGTTAAAATTTTAGATAATAATTGAATATTAAAAGTTACAATGTGAAGTTTTAGAAAAAATTAAATTTTGAAAAGATTTCAAATTAAAATCTTTGAAGATCTGAATTTTTAATATTTTTAAATTAAAAATTCTGTGAAACTATTTTTTCGAAAAATTTTATTTGGCTTTTTTTAAATTATCGGAAGTTTTTATTTTGTAATACCTATTTAAATGAAGAATTGTCGAATAATCAAAATTTTGTATAATTGACTTATAAACAAATGGATAATTTTAGATTTAATTCAATTATTTTCAAAAATTTTAATAAAATTCATGGCAAAATTTAAATAATTTTCAATATTCTAGTACTATTTTAGTAAACTTTCCCAAAAGAATTGAATTATTAAACAAAAATTTTTATAATACTCTACACAAACATTCAATTATTTTCTAAAATACCTAATGAAAATTTCAAAGAAATTCAATTATTAAAAATAGAATTTGCATAATTTTTTTCAAAAAAAATCAAATATTTGAAACTTTTTTATAAAATTTTTGGCAATAATTCAATTATTTTCATAAATAATAAAACTAATCGCAGGATTTCAATTTCTTAAATACAAGTTTAATCAAATTTCTCGAAAAAGTAATTATTTTAAAAAATTTTATTAATATTTGTCGAAAGAATTCAATTATTTAAAAATTTGTATAATTTAATTCTCGTAGAATTTTCTAATGAAAATTAATTTAAAAATTAATTTTTTTTTCCAATTTAGATGATATTTAAAGAGGTGCGTTTGTTTACAATTTTCCCAAGTAAATGCATTTCAAACGTTTTCACTTTCACATTTTATAAAATTTCAATTTTGAATGAATTCAATTAGTAATGATCTTAAATTTTAAAAAAATTTTAATAATTCAAATTCTTCTGAAATTAGTTAAATTTGTCAATATATATTTAATTAATAATTAAAAATAATAGATTTATAGGAGAATTTTAGTTGAAAACATTTAAAACATTGAATTTTTGAGAAGTAACAAATAATTGCAGAAATTCAATTATTTTTAATAGTAATAACAGTTTTCTCACAAAATTGAATTATGTTCAAAATTTAAACAAAAATTCTCATCAAAATCTCAGTTATCATTTTTATAAATAACAAAATTATTCTCCAAATCTTAATTATTTTCAAAAATTTCAATAAAATTCTTGTCCGAATTTTAATTATTTTCAAAAAATTTCCTCACTTTAATGATTTTCAAAATCAACTATTTTAATAAAATTTTTTCTTACATTTTTTCGCAATAATTCAATTATTTTCACAAATAAAATTTTTTTACAGAGATTCAATTATTTTCATTAATAATAAAACTCATCCAAGAATTTAAATTATTCTTGATAGAATTGTAATTGAATTCTTCGAAAAATGTAATTATTTTTACAAATTTTATTAAAATTCGTCGAAAGAATTTAATTATTTAAAAATTTGTTGATAAAATTCTTTATGAGAAAATTAAATTTTTTAAATTATTTGGTAAAGATTTTAGTCGAAATATAATGAAATGACTTATGAGGAAGCAAAGTGTTTCTTAATGAGTGAATAAAAAATTTCAACTTCAACTTTGAAGTAGTTTTTATTTTTGAAAGAAAAAAAAAGTAAAAGTACCTTCGTCTCTCACGAGAACGTCTTCTTCGTCGATCCCTATCACGTTCTCTCTCTCGAGAACGTTCTCGATCTCTTCTTCGACTTGGAGATGGTGATCGACTTCTACCCATTTTCTAAACTATCTGTAGTTTTAAATTAAAAATCAAGTAATTAAACGAAAACAAAAATTAACTGAATTAAAGAAAAAATCTCCTAGTTCTTTTATTATTAACCTTTAATGGTTTTTCTAATAAAAAATGTAAAAGTGAATTCTAAACACTTTAAAATAGAAAGTTATTGTTAATATTTCACGATTTATAATAAAAATGAAAATTCTACGATAAAATAAAAAGAATATTTACCATTTTTTCTTTCAATTTAAGTATTTGTTTGTTTTTGGTTTGACAGGCAGAAGGCAGTCATCTGATAGCCATAGAAAGACAAACACATGTAGAGAGTTGAATTGTAGACGAATTTTGTTCCTACCAGACAGAGAGCGACAGTTCGTTTCTCTTCCTCTCTCTCACTCTGCTTCAGCAGGGTTATGTTAGGCTGCGGTTACACCTCTGCAGGCTGCCTGCCTGGTGCCTGCGCAGGCAGGAGCAACGAGAGTAAGGGAGAAGTTTGAAGTCACTGACTCTCTTACTCTTGTACGTTACCATGACAACCTGCAGGCAGGCAGGCTGCCTGCAGAGGTGTAACCGCAGCCTTACTTGTCTCTCAGTTGTCATTGTGTTGAAGCTTAAATGTTCCCGTCAGGACATCGTGTGAGAAATGAAATTTGTAATTTCACCTTTAGGCATTTTCAACATTGTTTGAAGGTCGAAAGGTCGTTTAGACTTCAAGAATTCTTCACGTTAAAAAATTTTCTAAGTAAATTAAAAACTTTAATCATGGACCGCAAATTTTTTGTCGGTGGTAATTGGAAAATGAATGGAAATAAGAAGGAAATTAACGAAATTGTTAATTTTTTGAAAGCTGGACCTCTCGATCCAAATGTCGGTGAGTAAAATTATTGTATAATTTCAACAGATTAATTTATCCTATATATACTTTTAAGTTATTGACCGAAAAAAAGAGTTTAAAAACTGGTAATTTAAAATAAATTACTAGTTTTAAATTCTTTAATTTAAATATACTGTAACTTTTTAATGGTAAATTGAAAATTATTAAAAATTTGATAAATTCTTCTCTATAATACAATCATGTTTCAATTAACTACGTTCAAATCTGATGATTTAGTTTAACCAAACTGTATTTTTCTTAAATAAAATAAAAGAAAATACTAAAAATATATGACATAATTTTTTTTAAATACTTTAAAATACATTATTTTGTAATATAAGATTTTCGACCACAATCTTTTTGTTACTATTTAATTATATATTTTTTTTAATCAAATGTGACTGAATCTTCAATTTATCTTACATAAAGTTTATCTTACGCAAAAAATATAGACTTAAAGTCTATATTCAGGCTTTTCAACGGTCTAAAGATTAATACAATATAAAATTTTAAACTAATTGAAAAAGTATCTTCGATATTGTTTTATTGATTTTTATAGCTGTTTATTTTCACATTGATTTTAAGGACAATTCTGATTGTGCACATTATACAAATTTTTTATAAGAAATACAGTTTTTGCTCTTATTTTAATCAATCCGAAAAATATTTTAGATAGTTGATAAGAATCATTCTTTTATAAATTTAAAGTAAAACAACAAAATTAAAATAAAAAAGTAACTTTCATAGAGTTAAATTGACAGCAATTTTACTATATTAAGTTTAATAATAAATTTTTTCTGAAAAAATGTGTACATATTTAAAATGCCCCTAATTGGAACCGCCCCGATTTTAATTCAAATTAAAAAATTAATGTTTGAAAAATTCTTTTTCATGTGAAAATTAAAGGGAAAAAGTCATGCTTTATTTTCTATGAAAAACTATTTTTGGACAATTATTATTAAAATCAATAAAAATAATGATTTTATCACTCGGTTATTTTCATTAATAGAACATTGAAACGAACGATCACTCTGAGTCAAGGTTATGTCATATTATGCCTTTGATTAGAAATGATTGTTCATTTCAATGTTTTAATTTATTTTTTAATTTAATTTCTATAATAAATTATGGGACGTATTCAGGTCGCCCGCACTGAAGTTGTTAGAATTTTGGCAGCTTTGAATTTTAAACTATATAAACGATATTTAGTATAACTGCAATAATTTTAATATCATTATTTATTTTCTTTATTTATTTATTCATTATTATCTGTAAATTATTATTATTGAACTAGCAACAATTCGTGCGCGGCTAACTTACTATTCACTTATTTTTAAGTAAAATCATCAATTTTAGAAATAATAAAATAAAAAAATTTTTAATTCAAATTTCAATTAATTGTTGGCAATTAATATACCATTTGATTAATCAACTTTTAAAGAGTGAGAAAAAATTTTATTTTGAATGTTTTTTACAAAATGGCGGCTGTAGGATTTCGTAAACAGTGTTAAGTTTTTTTGTAGACCTCCCTGGCGAGAATGCGTTTAAAAAAAAAACGCATTTAAAATTAAAATTTTCTATTTTTACACTTCGGAATTTCTCCAGAAAAAATAATTTTAAAAACATTTCCAAGTTTTTTTCATTATTAATCTAGGGATGTTACAGTATATTTTAAGCCAATAAAAAAATTGAAAAAACGTCAAACAAGTACATATAACCCCTTAATATTTCAGAATTAATTGAATTTTAAAAAAGTTGCGTTTACAATTTTTATAAATAGATGAACTCAAAAGGTTTCAATTTGAAAATTTATAAAATTTCAATTCTAAAGAACTTCGATTTTTGAAAAATTTTATTTCAAAATCTTTTGAAATTAGTTAAATTTTTCAATATATATTGAGATATAAAGTTTTGTAGTCGTGCAGTGCTGCTGGGACTAGGCCTTCTTTTACAAAAACTTCAATATCTCCTGACCTAGTTGAGTCTCCATTAATTTTTTTTTTAAATTAAAGGTGAATTTAAATTGGAATCCAAATAAGTTAATAACATTCTCAGATAGGAGTAAATAAACAATAAATTGTTTAAAAAAAATCTTTTAATTTTTTATTTTCATTTCAAAGTACATTTTTTTACCTGAAAAATGTGTAAATTTCATAAAAATCCATAAACAATATTCCAAGATATTCAAAATTTTATAAATTTAATTAATATTAAAATTCAAATTGGCGTATCTTCAACAATTTTGAACTTTGAAAAAAATTTGGGGGAATGAAGTTTCTTAAATAATCCCATGAAGTTTCGCGAAAATCGTCGAAATAATAATTTAAAATCATATTCGAAATAATAATTCGAATATGATTATGACAGATACTTTTTAAATAAATATACAAATAAACATTGGCAGACACATATTTTGCCAGCGATATTAGAAAAATAATATTAAATTCTATACATTTTGTGTATTATTTCATTAAGTTATTTTGAACCCTTACGCGTTACTTTTTTGTAACAGTAACGTATTACTTTTTTTGTTTTTTTGTATTTGTAATCCTTTACAAGTTGTAAACAATAAAGGATCCATTTTTTGTAATTCTAAAAATGTTATTTAATTTTTAACGGTAATGTCCTTTGAATATCAAACATGGGCCGACCTTGACTACACATATATTTTTTTTTTATATCTTTGGGGCCGTCCATAAACTACGTCACGCCTTAGAGGGGGGGGGGGGTAGAATTCATTTTTTGTGACGTTCTGTAGCTAGAAAAAATGGCGCTAAAGCATGTAAAATTTGTGACCCTTTTTCACTTTTTCATTTTAAAACTAATCAATTTACCCTGTTCAGCAAAAGTGTTCCCATTACATAGAACTTTCCAACAATATACTTCAATTGACCAAATTCGTTTTTAAAAAAAAAGTTATAAACATAAGTCAAAAAGTGGGCCGACCTTGACTATGTTCTCCTAATAAACATAAAATAATTGAATTGTGTAAAAAATTACGGTTAAAAATGTTAATCCTTTTTAACCCTTCACTGACAATTTAACATAACAACAAATGAAGTTGCATAAAACATGAAGGTAGAGTAAGTTTTCAAATTTTTCGAATTTTGAACAGGTCAATTTGATTCGAATTTTCCTTCGATTCAAATTTTGCACATCTCTGATTTAGAGATTATTAAATAATGATAAGTTTAAGTTTGCGTAGTTATTTGCGGAGAAACAGTATTTTTCTTTGTCATTACAGAGATTGTTGTTGGAGTTCCATCAATTTATTTAACATACACTAAAGACATTCTCCCGCAGAATGTAAGTATAAGCGCTCAAAATACGTACAAAGTAGAAAAAGGTGCATTTACTGGGGAACTCAGTCCAGCTATGTTGGTGGACAATGGCATTCCTTGGGTAATCCTTGGTCATTCTGAGCGGAGAAATGTTTTCGGAGAAACAGATGAGCTAATTGCCGATAAAGTTGCTCATGCATTAGATGCTGGTGTGAAGGTTCGTATTTAAAATTTAAACAATGTTTACTTATGTTCAACATTAGAGCATCCTACACAAACGCACCATCCGCATGGCACTGGAAATTTACTAATGTTTTAAGATTATTTTTGACTACAAATTTTTATGTTTTTTAAACGAGCGTCGTTCGAAGTGGGACGCATGATTATTCCCCAAATGTAATTTTTCCGAAATGTCATTTTACCGAACTGCACTTTTGCAAATAGTCATTTTTGCGAAAAGCCATTTTTGCGAAATGTCATTTTTACGAATAGTCACTTTTGCGAATTGACATTTTTACGAATCTCCATTTTTACGAATTTTCACTTTTGCGAATCGACATTTTTACGAAATGTCATTTTTGCGAATAGCCATTTTTGCGAAAAGTAATTTTTACGAATTGTCGTTTTTGCGAAATTTCATTTTTGAGAAATGTCATTTACGCGAATTGTCACTTTTGCGAATCGCCATTTTTACGAATAGCCATTTTTGCGAAAAGTAATTTTTACGAATTGTCGTTTTTGCGAAATTTCATTTTTGAGAAATGTCATTTACGCGAATTGTCACTTTTGCGAATCGCCATTTTTACGAATTGTCACTTTTCCGAAAAGTGACAATTCGTAAAAATGGCGATTCGCAAAAGTGACAATTCGCAAAAATGGCGATACGTAAAAATGTCAATTCGCAAAAGTGACAATTTGTAAAAATGGCGATTCGCAAAAATGACAATTCGCAAAAATGAAAATTCGTAAAAATGACTTTTCGCAAAAATTAATATTCACAAAAATGGCTTTTCGCAAAAATGACTATTCGTAAAAATGACATTTCGCAAAAATGGCTTTTCGCAAAAATGACTATTCGCAAAAGTGCAGTTCGGTAAAATGACATTTCGGAAAAATGACATTTGGGGAATAATCATGCGTCCTGTCTAAAGTACGCGATTGAACAGTCGAGCTGAGTCGTTGAGTTTTTTTCTTACGCTTATGAGTGTTTATGAATTTTGTAGTTAAGGGTGGCATCCAATGAACCATCTGACTAGTCTTCTTGTTCCCATGAAATTCTGCTTTGCTTTATACATTTTCTGTTCAACATGAAATTTGTATTCTTTTCGACTTGTGATGTTTGACTTTTGCTAGTTGCTTTTGTGTTCTCTTTTTTTTACTGACGAGACGGGGCGTTACCTACACTTTACTGCATTATAATTTTGTAGTCATGTTTGAAACAAAAATAACCTACGTACTGGATTTTACCATTTCATGAAGCACTATACATCTGCATACAATAAAATTAGCAAATTGAAAAGTTACAAGAGATTAAATTTTCTTCACTACCATAGGTTATTGCTTGCATTGGAGAAAAGTTAGAGGAGAGGGAGAGTAATAAAACCGAAGAAGTTGTTTATCGTCAGACGAAAGCCATCTGCGATAAGATTAAATCTTGGGACAATGTCGTTTTGGCTTACGAGCCAGTCTGGGCAATTGGAACTGGAAAGACCGCAACGCCCCAACAAGCTCAGGAGGTTCACGATAAGTTAAGACAATGGTTTACAAAGAATGTTAGTGATGCAGTATCTAAATCATTAAGAATTATTTACGGAGGTTCTGTAACTCCAGACAATGCCAAAGATCTAGCGAAAGAAAAAGACATTGATGGCTTCCTTGTAGGTGGAGCTTCCTTGAAACCAGGTTTTGTTCAAATTGTTAATGCAAAACAATAAAAAGTGCTTTTATCGATTTACTTCGTTTTTGTTAGTGTGTTGATTGTTTAATAATAGCAAAATCTGATTAACCTGAGAAAATGAAAATTAAAACACTTTTCACTTTCCGACAAATCCCTCGTTCCCAGTGCATAATTCCGTGTGTTGTTTTAAATTCTGTCTCTCTGGATTGGTAATCGCCGATATTTTTGATGAATCTCTAATCTGACTAATCTGAAGGAGAATATTAATACAGAAAGAGGTGAACAAATATTTGAAGAATAAAACAAAGTGTTATCGGAAAGTGGAGAAGTAGCTGTATAAACATGTTGAGTTACAAGTCAAAGGCATTTATCTTTACCTGTAAAGTATAAGAAATACAAATTACGGAAGTAAAAGATTACAAAAATAATTATGAATAATATTTTCTTTACTCTCTTCCCAGCTTCTTACCATAATTGCACACTTAGAGTTTAAAAAATAAGGTTTGATTTTTATAGAATTTGACTAGGTGTCATCCAAATTTTTTATACTTTCATGACAAATCGTATTTTTTATATTTCATATTTATATTTGTTTGTTTTAATTTTAATTTAAGATTTTAAATTAGAATTTCCAAATCTCAAGATTCAAATTTTAAACTTATATAACTTTATATACTTTTTGATCTTACATTTTAAAATTATTATGTTTAGACTTAAATTTATAGTTCAGAGGACCATAGACTACCTGAAAACAGTTAATACTGCATTTAGTAAGAAAAAAATTGCAATATTTATTATGAACTTTTCCTTAATTAATAAATTTTTTAATTAACTAACAAAAAAATTTAAACTTTAGTGGCTTTTTTGCTATTTATATTATGTAAACAAATTTTAATTAATTTTATTACTCCGATAATCTTACGAAGATTTATTTTTTTTCAATACCTAGGTAAAAGAAAATATAAATAGAAGTATTTATTAAGGGGGGGGAAGGTTTGCACTTTTAAAAAATCAATATTTTAAAATTTTCTTATAGTTAAACATCTCAAGAATATTGTCCTAAAATTTGAAGTCAATCAGAGCAAAACTTTAGAAGTTATTGTCTAATTAGTCTCTTATCCTCTAAAACTGTAACTCCGAACAGTGGGCACAATAAAAAAGCGGGGTTCAAAATAGTTTACAGGTCATAAATCTTAATGGATTTTCAAATGTTTTTTTAAACATTCAGCAATGAATTTTGAAGAGATCTCTAGAGGCCGATTAAAAATTTTTTTGTTAATTGTTTAAACTATATTGTTTTAAACAATAACAAATTGCACATTTGTTTAGTTTCTGATGTACAAAAGTTTGTAAATAGTGCAAAAATGTTGTTAATCGCTTTTAATTAGTAGTCTGTAAACGTCTGAACATTTACAGTAAATGTGTAATGTTCAAAGAAAGTTATATAATTATTATAAACAAATTATATATAAAAAAATTTATTATTTAATTCAATTTGCTTGAAATTCGTCACTCGGGAGTTTCCCGGGTCATTGATTACGAATCCGATGTTAGTTTTTCAAAATTCAAAATGGCGGACGACTTTTTTAAAAATCGATCCAATTGGCTTCAAACTTGTTACTCGGAGGTTTTTGGATCGCTGATTACGAATCCGGTGTTAGTTTTTTCGAAATTAAAAATGACGGTTCCAATATGGTGGATTTTTTTAAAAATTGGTCCAATTGGCCTAAAACTTTTTACTTGTGGTTTTTCATGGTCGCTGATTTCGAATCTGAGATTAAATTCGTAATCAGCGATCCCGAAAATCTCCGAGTGACGAGTTTCAAGTAAATTCGACAACTTTAAAATTTTTCGTCCGCCATTTTGAATTTTGAAAAACTAACACCGGATTTGTAATCAGCGAGTGCGAAAACCCCCGAGTGACGAATTTCAAGTGAATCTGACGACTTTTTGAAAATTTTCGTTCACCATATTGGATCCGCCATTTTGAATTTAATTTTAAATTGACATCAGAATCGTAATCAGCAAAAAACTGAAATTTTTAGTGTGTTTTAGTGATTTGATAAATAGCATTTTTAGTTTTTCGAGACGAACAAGTTATGATAGATCAGATTTAAAATAATTTTACTTTTTCATTTTATGTAACACTGTGTTATTATAGGATTTCTAATAAAATAAATAGAACACCATTTTATATATTAGCATAAAAATATAATTTGTTTCATTTATTTTTAATATAGACTGACTTAAAAAATTATTTAACGTCAAGTAGAATTCTCTGTTTTAAAAATTAAATTAAAGTTTGCCTCTGTACTTTCGGTTGTTCATCTTTGGGATGTGCTTCTTCGACATAAGGAATATCCAGATTGTTGATACTCAAGTTCAACGCACTAGACATGGGTATTGTGAGACTAGCTGTTATAACCGTTTGCGGTGATTGCTTCTTTACGTCCGCAATGTCTTCGCTCGATAGGCTGTCAACACTGGTTCTCCTTCCTCCTACACTTTGATTGTCAAGTTTCTTCAGTCGACGTGAATTTAATCCCGTATCTCCCACAACTTTCTGACATTGTTCCTTCAAGCCAAGTTTGGGCATTCTCGGCGAATTTTCCGCTGAGGTTTCGGCTTCACTGGAAGGATACAAGTCTTCGTCGACGGATTGTCTGAAAAATGGTTAATTAATAAAATCAAAAAATTAAAATAAAAAAGCTTTAGTTTTAAAATGAATTACATTTCGAATCGGAGTGCTAAGACGATATCCAATTCCATTGTATTGCTGTCCATCATATGTAAATATAATTCATCTAGAAGAGCGGCTGGCACTGTGAAAACCGTCGACGTGTTTTCCAATAAGGAACGTACAACATTGATGACATCTATTCTTTCTTCTGCTCTCTCAACAAAAACTTCCGACCTTGCTTGACCGGGCTTCACGCAGTGCAAAATGTTGGGAGCAAAAATCTAAAAAAGAAGAAATATTTTTTAGTTTTTCATTCAATCGTAAAATATGCTAAGTATTTTAATTTTTTCATCTTTGTACAATCTGCCACATATGCAGCTGGGAGTACAACGTTACGGATAAACTATGTTTGTTAATGTCAAAGACCCTAATAAGTGTCAATCCATTGACTTTTGTCTGAAAACTGCTGCAGACAAATAGAAGCTACTTACATGAAAGTACTTAACAAACATTGCTACAGAACAATTTGTAACTGGTTTTCCTGGTGAACGCCAGAAACATTGAACCATCTTGTAAGAGGGGCAATAGATCTAAAAATCTATATCTTGTAAAATTACATCGTAAACCTGTAGTAGACTTAAAGTGAGCACAAAATTTTCGTCTTCGCACTAAGCTTGTACATAAAGGTTGCGGTAGGCTTTTACCATCCGTTAGGTGCTTGTTATGATTAGTTTTCAGTAATCTATGGTCTTTTGGTCAGTCGCTGAAATTTCGAGACAAAGTCTGGTTTAATTCTTCTCACATGCAGGATATTTTAATTCTAACTTCACTTTTATCTGTATATTTGATTAAAAAATTAAAAATAATAAAATGAACTGATACTAGGAAGAGGTAAAAAAAGTCAAGTGGAAGTTGGATTTTAAAATAGGAATTCACTATTTATGATTGTATTTTGTTATTAAATTCGTTATAAGCAAATAATATTTTAAGTATTCTCCTTGACAAATTATAACGTACTTTATAAAAACTTTGAATTTAAATTTTTTATATTTGCTTACAACAGTACAGAATGAAAGACAGTGGATTGACTTATGAACTTTCCAATTATTATTATCACAAGATGCATTCAATTCCTATAGCTCATAAAAAACACGAGTAATTGTATATTTAAAAGAAGAGTTGAATTTGGTTATTTATACTTCTAGATAGTATGTATTGTTCAGCTTTATTTGAAGCCAATTAGATTCGTGATTTACTGACAATAACTATTACGATGATTATTGTTAAATAATAATTTTATTACTGTAACATTTGTGCTTACAGTTGCAAGGTTAACTACATCCATTTTGTTACCCAATATACATTCTCCTGTTTCATTCATCTGATTTTCACTATGTAGAGCGACTCGATTTAAAAAATTGAGTAATATCCAAAGAGTTTCACGATTTGGCGTTGGAAGCAATTGAATAAGATGTTGAAGGGCCTCTTGTTGCAGACGCCTATTTCGAATTTCTGCAAATCAATAGTTATGGTGTATGAAATACATTTTTGGAAAATTAGATAATAATTTTGGGTGAAAAATATTTTTTAGTGCAAAAGACTCTTTCAGTAAACCCAGGGTATCAATAAGGAACATGCGAAGTAAGAGATTCTACGCTTTTTCCAAAAAACGTTTTCTCCTTATGTCTCCTACGATTTATGATTGTGCACATAACATAAAAGCAATACAATTATTACAATTTAATTTATTACAAAATTTTCATAAACCGACTATCATTGAATAATCCATTTTTGCATCTGTATTAGTTTACTTTTGTATCAAAAATTTTAGGTTCATCTTGTGTCTACTAAAGGTTCACAATGTATTCCTTTACAAGCCACTGGAAAAAACTCAAAATAACCATTATTCAGAATGTTGTGTTATCTTTATGTTTAACTTACTTTGTGTTTTAAGGGATTACATCCACTTAGGATTTTGAGAAAATGGTTATTTATTGCATTTTCGTAATATACGTGCATTTAAGAGTAAAAATGCTCTTTAGTACAAATAGTAATTTATATTAAATACACTAAACAGAGAAAAAAAATGTCTAGAGAGACAATAATAAGAAATAACAATAGTTATTATTAGTTTTAAGCTAGAGGTAGCCAATTGTTTATAAATCATAAATCAACAAACGCAAAGCAGTGATGAAAGTATTTAACGATGAGTTAAAGAAATCTAAGTTGCTACAAAAAGCATTTGCTTCACTGTAAAATCTGAAATAAATAGAATTTTTACCATGGTTAGTTCTATGATAATTAATTTTAAAAAGTGTTGTATTTCTGAATAATCTCGATAGTACCGAAAAGTTTATATTCTTTGTCACAAGAATATCATGATCAATCTTATCAAATGCTTTAGAGATAAATCCGTATATGTCAACTTGTAAACTATTTTCTATTGCATTAGTCACATAATTGGTAAAAATACATAAATTGGTAATAACGGATCTTCCTCTCATAAAACCGTGCTATTCAGAAATTATGATATTAATGGAATATTTGTAAAGAATGTCATACACAAGACACTTGAAAATTGTTGAAATCGCATTTAACATTGTTATAGGTCTATAATTATGAATGTCATTAAGAGATTATCAAAATTTGTTGAGATCTTATAATAAAAGTTACTTACTCTGTGTATGAACGAATGCTTGATATAGGTCTCGACAAAGAAGAGGATCGGGTAGGTCACGAAAATACTCCTTCAGAAGAGCAGCCACGTCATGAGGGCACTGATCTAATCCAATTTTTGTTTCTCGACCACTGTCAAATTCTTCTTGCAACTTTAAACAAATACTTTGATTTCATTAAAAACTACTAATAATATTAGTACATGCTCTTTTTTGAGGAATACTGAATATAGTGTATAACGTACGTATTTTAAAAAGATCTCAAAACATTAAACATTTATCAAAATACTTTACTTTCTAATTTAAATGTAAAAAAAACTAACTTTTAAGAGGAAATTTTTACAGAAATATTTTAGTAAAAATAAAGAATGTCTATGTAATTATAAAGTAGACATAATTTTTCAAATAACTTACCTCTCGAACTCTTTTTTTGGAAGATGAAACCCGAAATAGGCCAAGTGTATGAAGACCTACTTTTTCCAAATGAGTGATGCATTGACGAACTATGACAGGTACGACATCTAAATCGTCAATTAACGTTCCATCAACCCCACTATCACTCGATTCCATCAGAGATTCACAAGATCCTTCCTGTAAGATTTAAATGTTTTAAAAATCATAGATGTATGTGAGTAAAATCTCTTTCAACTGAAAACATTCGTAAATTTAAATTGTTTTGCGAAAAGACATACTTACTTCTTCAGATTTTTCAGATGCTGCATTAGAAGCTTCTGCTATACTTGTGAAACTAACCCTGCTGCCGTACCTGTCTGGTTTATTTAAACATCCAGAAATGGCTGATTTTTCAGAATTAATTTTTGCTAATCTGTCGTTTTCCAAACATTGTGAAAGAGAAATTCCAAAAACGAGACCTCCTCTTGATTCTGAAAGGAATATTAATTAATTTAATTTAAAAAAGACAACTATCCCAAAAGAAACTGAATAGTTTCCAAAAACATTTTTAAAAATTAAAAGATGGAAAAAGTTAACAATCACTCCGAATCAATTTTTCTAAGCTTCATAAGTTAAAAATTCATTAACCTTCTGTCACATAACACAATATTTATTCATATTGTTGTTTTGCAATATAACTTTTTATGCAAGTGAAAACAAAATTCTCAGAAAGTTTACTCACGCAGCATAGAAAATTCCCTGAAAGTTGAAATCAACTTGACTGCAACCTATTGAATCTTTAGTTGCGAAGCTCATAAAACTTGCAGTAGTTCATTAAATTTACGCTGTTTTTCAATATTTGACGTAAAAGTTGACTGAACGTTGCATGAAAGTCTAAGAAATTTTTAACTTTCATTTAATTTTCAGTAAACTTCTTCTTGATTTTCGACTAAATTCATGAAATTTTTTCTTTTTCCAACTATAAATTATACGCAAATAATAAGTTTGAATTTGAAAATTTTTCTTTTAAAAATCTTTTTTTTCTAGAAGAAATTTTAAGATCGTGAAATTCGTCGATTTTTTGGATTAATAAAATAAATTTTAAATTTAATAATGATCACTTTGAAATAGAATATACATACTTGGAAAATTTGTGTCGCTTCTAAAGAATAAAAGAAATTAATAATTTTAAAATATAAAATTCTATTAAAACATCAATTTTGTGAATTGTAATAATTTTTCAATGTCACACACTGAAATATCAACATCAGGCTTCACAGAGCCCCTAAAAAGTATTTTAGGGGAAATAGGGGACTGAAAATTAAAAAATAGGGGACTTTTAGGGGACCATAAAAATTGGTAAAATAAAGATAAAAGTATTACTTTTTTTATACAGAGTTGCCACAAAAATTTAACTTCATTTTTCCCCGATTTCCAAACACAACTTTGACTTTTTCCCTGACCCTAAAGAATATTCTGATTCACTCTAAAAATTATTAGATACTCAAAAAAATGTTCCACTAAATTTATTTACAAATTTCTTTAAAAGTAAAGTTATTCGAAAACATCAATAGTTTTATTTAAAATAAATATTTAATCATTTCTTTTTCATTGGAATTAAGATGTTCAAAAATTTTAAATTCAAACCTTTTCAAATTTAACAACCCATAAGAATATTATTATAAAACATAAAGAAATGGATTACTCCGAGTCTTCGACTTCGTCTTCGACTCGGAGTAATCCATTTCTTTATGTTTTATAATAATTAAAGATGACCGACTGACAAAATCATTATTTTTATTATTATAAGAATATTGTTACTGTAATTTTTTCAAAATTATTTGTACCATTTCAATTCAATTAACATTTTCTAAAATTTTTAATTTGTATTTAAATACAAAAATAAATAATATTGAATGTTTCTTAAAATTTAATTTTTACGAAGAATTGTATTAACAACTTTTGAAAATATTTAATTTCTTTTAAGGAATTTAATTAAAATTTTAATGAAATTTATTATATTAAAGAATTTTATTAAATTTTTCAAAAATAATTGAATTCCTGAGAAGAATTAAAATAATAATTTTTGAAAACAATTGAATTCATGAGAAGAATTTTATTAATATTTTTGAAAATAATTGACTTCTTGAGAAGAATTTTTAAAAAAATTTAACAATAATTTAATTCTTGAGAAGAATTTCCCTGTCTATTTATAAAAATAATTAAATTATTGACGAGAATTTAAAAAAATTTTTTGAATATATATTAATTTCTGCAAAGTATTTAACTACTTTTCAAAAGAATTGAATTCTTCTGATGCATTTTGATATTTATCAAAATAATTGAATTTTGGAAAAGAATTTTATCAAAATTCCTTAGAATAATTGATTTTATGGGAAGAATTATGAAAATAATTGAATTTTCACATAGAATTTTATTAAAATTTGTAAAAATAATTGAATTCTTAAGAATATTTTGATAAAAACTTTTTAAATAATTGAATTCCTATAAAACTTTTATTATTTATGCAAATAATTGAATTTTTAAAACGAATTTTATTAAAACTTTTCAACATAATTGAATTCCTGTAAAAATTTAATTATTTATGAAAGTAATTGAATTCTTACATCAAATTTTTTAAAAATAATTGAATTTCTGAGAAGAATTTTATTAAATTCTTTTAAAATAATTGAATTTCTGAGAAGATTTTTAAAAAACTTTTGCAAATAATTTAATTTCTGCAAAGTATTTAATTACTTTTCAAAAGAATTGAATTCTTGTGATGAATTTTTGATATTTATCAAAATACACTGCAAGCCCGATCAGCGGTCACCCGATCAGTGGTCACTAGTTTACGTCGTTTGTAGATGGGGCGGGCGAGGGGCAAAAAGGGAGTCGAAAAGTTGTGGCAGTAGCGTATACATTAAAGACGCTCTGGCCCCTTAAAAAAAAATTCAGTAGTCAAGTAATGGTAGCCCATCATAAAACAGTTCGTACGGTCCTATATGTTTACGCCCGATCAGCGGTCGAGCACCCCCGGAGCCGACCGCTGATCGGGCTTGCAGTGTAATTGAATTTTGGAAAAGAATTTTATCAAAATTCCTTAGAATAATTGATTTTATGGGAAGAATTTATGCAATTTTGTTGTTTATCAAGCTAATTAGAATTCTTCTGCAAAATTACTTGAAAAATTTTTGAAAATAATTGACTTTCTGCGACGAATTAAATGTTATTTATGAAAATATTTGAATTATTGCAACGAATTTTATTGTTTTATTGAATAGTTGAATGCTTCTTAAAATTGAATTCTTTCCTCAAGTTTTAATAAAATTTTTAATAATAATTGCATTTTTCAAGGAATTTATTTAAAATTGTATTAAAAGTATTTGAAATTCTGCGATGAAAATAATTGAATTCGTAAATGAAATTTTATTATTTATGAAAATAATTGAATTTTTTCGTAGAATTGTATCAACAAATTTTTTCGTAGAATTGTATCAACAAATTTTTTCTATAATTAAATCTGTTGATAAATTTGATGAAAATAGTAAATATTGAAAATTATTGAATTGCAAAAAACTTTTGAAAGTAATTTTGAACTTTTGCAAAGATTTTTATAAATTTTTTCTAAAATAATTGAATTTTTGGCGAAAAATTTTGCTATTTGTAAAGATAATTGAATTGTTGACGAGATATTCGTGAAAATTTTTATAAAAATAATTGACTTTCTTCGAAGAATTTTATTACTTTTGAAAATAATTGAATTCTTGTGATGAATATTGTTATTTATAAAAATAATTGAATTTGTAAAGAATTTTATTAAAATTCCTAAAAATTATTGAATTTCTGTGAAGAATTTTGTTATTTATCAAGATAATTGCATTAAAACTTTTGTAATAATTAAATAATATTAAAAAATTCTTTCTTGTCAGAAATAGAAAAAATTTTTGAAGGTTTTGTATTAGAATTAGTGGCAGTTTCATAGTTTACGAAGCTAAATTTGGTGTGAATTCATCATTAAAAGATAAAAGAAAATAATAGAGGAAATTTAGGGGAAATTTTCAAAATAGGGTACGTTTAGGGGCCAAAATTAAAAAAGGGGACTTTTAGGGAAATAGGGGACAGACTGTGAAGCCTGCAACATTTAAAGAATTGCTTAAATTTCATGTACTTCGTAATTCAATATTCTGAAGGTTACACTCAAGTTAATATAAACTTTTAGAAAAGTTTCGGTGCTGTGTGCGGATGCAATACAAAAATGCCAACAAAGGGACATTTTGGTAAAAATATAAGATATGGCTCAGGAATGAGAGAGCACCCACACTAATGTAGAAATTACTCACCTTTTTCTTCTTTCGACTTGTCGAAGAGACTACTTTTAAGACTTTTTTTCTTTAATAAATTCACCCTTCTCTTTGGCCTCATCGGGGTTGAACTTCGAGTTGGAGTTTCTAAAAATATAATTATTTATGTATTCCTTTTAGTTTCCAATAATAAGTTATAGTTTAAAAATGATTTTTATAGTATAAGATATAAAACATTAAGAAACTATTTAAGTACATTTTATTAAGTATTGTATTAAATAGAAATATTGTATTCCACCGATATTTTTAAATAAGTTAGAGCTGTTTTGATTCAAAAGTAATTTTTAAAGAAATAATTATTTTGACATGACTAAAAAGCAAGCTAGCAAATTAAAAATTTATCTTTTATGCTAAATTCGTCTCACCTGTTGGAGGTTTGATGTGAACACCAAGATTTAAGGCCTGCAGTTTCGCCACAGCAACACGACAGAGAATTTTCCTTTCGATGTCTGATAAGTCACTGAGATGTGTGTCTACTAAAGTTACACGACGACCTGATGCGCCAGCCCAAGTACACTTTCCCTATCATAACAATACGAATATTAATAAAGTTTTTCAATACTTATTTTCGTAGTAAATTTATTAATAATATCCCAGAAATAAAACCTCTAATGGAAATAAACAGTGAAAATAAAAATTTACTTTCAGAAAAAAATTTTATTTTTAGCACGAACCACTCATTTCTGTAATAAATTTCTTCAAAGAGTGTTCGGTCTGAGTATGATGATGAGAACAACGATCGTTTTTTGTCCCTTCGTTGTAAAATTTTCTTAAACTTATATATATATATAACTTTTTCCGCATTTCTTGCTGTAAATTAGTAATTGAATATTTCTGTTCACAAAAATAAAAATAGCAGATGCTTTGCTAAATGAATTCATGAATTTATTTAAACTTTAAGATTTAAATCTACCCTTATCCCTTAAATAAAAATTAGAAAAATATCTTTAAACATTTTTTTAATGTGATTAAATATTCTAGATATTTATTTTCCTATTTTCTTTGATTTAATGAATTTAAATTTTTAAAGAATTCTAATTTAACTATTCAGAGTTCGTTAGTGTAAAAAGCAGAATTAAAGGGTCCAAACTGGATCTAAATTAATTTAATTTTATGACAATCCTTTACGTACTGTTTTTTAATTTTAAAGGAAATTTTTATTTTATAATAAGTTATTTGAATTTTTAGATATATAAAATTTTACATTAAGGAGATTATTAGATCATTTTTTTTATTAAAAAAGAAAAAGAAAAAGACAACTGATGAGTTATACTGATGATTTATATTCCAATAATTGAAAAATGTTTTTTAATAAATAAAAGACGTAAACATTTGAATATAATAATGTGAATGATAAAATACATAATGTATCAATGGTATAATAAATTAAGATTGAAATGAGAATTTGAGAGAGTTAAAAAATAGTAAAAAAAGAAGCAGTTAATTAACATGAATTGTAAAATAAATTAATCATAGGATCAGAAATATCAAACAAGTTTTAAAAATAAATCCCGGCAGTCACGTTTTTATTTTATGGATTAACATATGACGTACAATAACAATAAATTGGTGGAAATTATTAGCACACTGAACTGGAGAAAATGAGGACAAATCATGGGCGGAAAATACTTTAAAAACGCTTGATTTAACTCTAACTTTTTGACCCTTTTTATCCGAAATCATATGATTTTCGATTAAGTATTTTAAAACGATTAAAGTCTAAAATCTTAAACCCTTCATTAGTAGAGATAGGAATTTTATGCTCGAGCATGAAAGCATAAATTTCAAAAATGTTGTCTAGTGTTAAAATTCACTTTTTATTTTCACTATTTTTTTTAACAATAATAATTATTAATTGCAATTTGCAAAAGCATAGTTGCATTAAAAAGCATAGTTTTGGTTACAAAGCAGCATAATGTACATAATCATATATATGCTGCATAATTTTATATTTATTGAGCATAAGTGCAGCATGATGTGGTAACTCGAGGTACGATTGTGTATTTATATCTTTAAATATTTTATTTATAAAAAAAATTGTCAATATTCTGTAAGCCTTAGAAAAAAAATTACTGGATTAGCGAAATTAGTTTCACTATATAGGTATTTTGTAATATTTCAATGTGTTATCTAAAATTAGGGATACTGCAACAATAAGAGCAAAAAAATTTCTAATTGTAAATTCATTTTCAAAATTATTTTTATAAATATTAAGTTGAAAGAACAAATTTTTCAAATGCAAACCATAATAAAAACATAAAGAAAAACTTTTAAGAGCATAATTATAGCATAATTGACATTATTTAGGATCATAATTGAGTTACATATGATGGTATTTCGAAAGCATAAATCGTCTCGATGAAGAGCATGAAGTTCCTGTCTCTATTCATTAGTATTAGTTCGGAGGGGAATTTTATGAAAAGCTTGTGGTAATTTATCTTTTTAATAAAGCATACAGACTTCGCACTCGATAATTAATTTTAAAAAAGAAGCAAAAAGTAGCTTTCAAACTGAAAAATGTAGTAAAAAAAGTAGAAAATCAAAAAAAATTCTTACGAATAATTTTACAAAATTTTTTTAAATACTTGAATTCTGTTTGGAAATTTTATGAAAATAGATATTAAAAATCATTGAATTACGAAAAGTTTTTAAAAATAATTACATTTTACAAAGAATTCAATTGTCATTAAATTATAATGAATTCAATTAAAATTTTTGAGAATAATAATTGAATGACTGTGTGGCATTTTATTAAATACTTTTGAAAATAATTGAATTTCTAAATTAGCATTTTATTATTTATGAATATAATTAAATTCATGCGAACGATTTTATTAGAATATTTTTAAATATTTAATTTCCAAGAAGAAATTTATTACTTTTAAAAATATCTGAACTTTTCTGATGAATATTGTTATTTATGAAAATAAATAAATTTTGCAAAGAATTTTATTAAATGCCTCAAAATAATTGAATTTTCGGGAATAATATTGTTATTTATCCATATAATTGAATTAATTCGAAGAATTATTTATGAAAATAATTGAATTCTTGGAAAGAATTTTGTAAATAATTGAATTCTTACAAAGAATTTTAAAAAAACATTTTTTAAAATAATTAATTATTTCGAGGAATTGAAATTGAATTTTGAAGAATAATTACATGTTTTGATCAATTCCTGTAAAATTGTATTAAAAATAATTGAAAACCTGCGATGAATTTTATTATTTGTGAAAATTGAATAGTTGCTAAGAATTTTATAAACATTGTTTTAAATAATTAATTTTTTCGAAATATAATAAATATTATAAAAATTTTATTTTAAATAATTTAATTTTTTAGTTCATGTATTTAAAGTAATAATAATATTAAAAATAATTGAAATTCTTCGATGAGTTCTATTATTTAAGAAAATAATTGAATGTTTGCTTAGAATTTTATCAAAAATTTTTATAAAAAATTGAATTTCCATGAAAAATATTATTAGTAAAAGTAATTGAATTATTGTGAAGAACTGTATAGAAATTTTGTTAAATAATTGATTTTTTTGAAAATGCTATTCCAAATTAATTGAATTACTGAGGAAATTTTATTAGTTATGAAAATAATTATATTTTAGATGAATTTTATCAATATTTTTTTTAAATAATTGAATTCTTGGGAAGAATTTTATTAAAATCTAAAAGAATAATTGAATTATATCAAAAAAATTTAATTAAAATGGTATTTATTAATTTCTTTTGAACAAGTTTATGAAAATATTTGTAAATAATTGAATTCTTCCAAAGAATTTCAAAAAAACATTTTTTTAAATAATTGATTTTTCGAGGACTTAAAATTAAATTTTTAATAATAATTACATTTTTTGAGCAATTCCTGTAAAATTGTATTTAAAATAATTGAAATCCTGATATGAATTTTATTATTTATCAAAATAATTGAATAGTTGCTAAGAATTTTATCAAAATTTTCAAAAATAATTGAATTCCTGAGAAGAATATTATTATTTATTAAAATAATTGAATTATTGCGAAAAATTTTATTGAAAATGTTTAAAAAGAATTGAATTTCTGTGAAAAATTTTATTATTTTTGAAAATAATTGAATTATTGTGAATTGTATAAAAAATTTGTTAAATAATTGATATTTTCGAAATTTTTCTGTAAATTTTATTCTAAATTAATTAATTTGGATGAATTTTATCAATTTTTTTAAAATTATTGAATTCTTTTGCAACATTTTATAAAAATACTAGAAATAATTGAATTCAAAGAATTCGATTATAATTTTTGAGAATAGATTTTTGATTTCTAGTATTAGCGAATTTAATGTAGTGGAAATTGCCAAATAAAACAGAAATAATTAAAGTTATGATGTTTGGGAGTTTCGACTTGTAGATAATATTATTATTTACTTGAGTGTTTAATTGGTTTCATTTCAAGTCGAAAAGCTTTAAAATAAAGAGAAATAAAAATAATGTAGACTTGAAGTGAAACTATTGAAACACTCAACCACTCAACCAAATAATAAAACGCAGAAATAGTAGCTTTTAGTGGCTGAAATCTAAAAAAAGGACCCAAATAGTAGCATAACGTGAAAAAAGTAGTAAATAGTAGGTTTTAGTTTAGTAGATGAGTGCGAAGCCTGAAAATAATTTTGTATATACCTGAGGAGTCCATACGGATGGCTGATTATGAATTCTCGATGAGCTTTTACTCCTAGAGGGCCAAATTTTTTTCGACATCAATTTATTACCATGGTGAATAATACTACTGGATGACTTGCTCTTCTGCATTGATGAGCCATTTGACGAAGTCGATGAGAGGAGTGATGAGGAACTTGGAACCGAATGAGACTTATCTTTATGTAGAAAATTAAATAAAAACGATTGCTGGTGTTTGGGAGAAGATACTTCTTCAGAACTGAGACCCGCGTCAATACTACTTCTAGAGCTGGGATTTCTGCTATCAGGTGAGGTTGTCGACTCTGCGTAAGGACAATTTTCACCACTTTCAGTAATCAATTCCCTGACGCTTGTAATCCAATTCTCTTCCGTCTGGCAGCCTTTGTTATTCTCATCGTCATCGCCAGGCATTCCGATTTCACCTTTCGCCTTAATGTACCTTAAATTTCGGTCGTAGTTGACTCTTTTGAACCTGTCCGTTTTCGTAACGTCCACTGACTTCTTTCTCGCCATTCTAAGATATCTCTTGATTGTGTCACTCACCGATGGGGAAACATCGTCGTTATCGACACTACTTCTTCGGGACTCGGTTGGTTTTCGCGGGTCCTTTCTAACTTCCTCGGCATCTCGCTCCCGAATGAGATTCTCTAACACTTCCCAAGAAACCGGATCTGTTTGAATAAACTTTTCAGATGTCACTCTGCTGGATTGCACTGATATCCGAGGGAGGGGAGATGAAGATCTGCCTCCTAAATCTTTGGTCCATTTATCTGCCTGAGAGGTCGGTTTGTATTGGGAACTGTTCCACCAATTAGTAGAGGAGGGACTGTAAACACCTGTTCCGCGAGGTCTTTTGAATCCTCTGGTACACCTTAGATCGAAGTACAACTTTTCTAGCAGCTTTCTGTCCGTTAGGATATTGGATATAATGTGCTCCCGATTTGAAGACTTGTTGTAATAACGATTGAGGGTTTCTAGCAGAGACTTGTGGACATAGTCACTTTGGTAGGGAACGGTAGTCCTAGGGGCACTTCTACTCAGGGCGTAATTAGTACTCGAACTTTCCCCTTGTGGTTCAGTCATGATTTCATCCAAATATTGCTGCAACTTTCCTGTTAGGCTCTGATAATCGAGGGGTTTTTTCTTCTCCTCGGAATCTGTCGAAATGTTCGATTGGGTAGAAGATCTTGTCTCAGTTGATGCTTCCCTAAGATTCAAGTACTTTTGTAGCATATCAGCCAGGGCTTTAGATTCCTCATCCTCCTGTGACACTGTCTGTTGTGGTCCCTTTGATAAAATCGAGAAGCATTCATCAGGTGGTAAACTCCATTCTTTTTTTAATTTATCTTTCAGTTGACTAGATCGTAGAGTGTCAATCTCATCTGCAGAACTTGCTTTGAGTCGAACACTTCCACCTTTTATCAGTCTTCTCTTGTAGTGTGTTCTGAATCCTTGAGCTCCAGGATATGAGGATTTTCTCCACAGTAGAAATTTTGGTTCCTTTTGGCAAACTTCCTGAAAGTACTGCTCTATTTTTGGTATGTTATCAGACCGATGGTAACTTCCTTCGGGAATTAATCTTCGACTGGCATCCGCCATGTAGCGCCATGTCTTCCTTGTGAGTAGCCACCGCTCCTTGACCGGTTTATTTGTCCGTTTAGATCGATCCTTCGAGTTTGAACGTTTCCCTCGCGTAAATCCACTTGAATAAGAATCACCACTGTTTCGACGAAAACGTTTTTTCCCGATAAATTGTTCCGCCATTTTTGCCTTTTATTATATCCGTGGCATCAAAAGTGAGCTACTACATTTATTAAATCTTGGACTTTCATTGAACATGAATAAAAATAAATGCCAAAAGGGATAAATTTGAAATGAAACTGATTGAAAAAAATGCATCTAGACATGAAGAAAAGTAGAATAAATATTAAAAAATAAAAGTATACAGTAAGAAGAATGATTGGAATATTCACAGTTCTAGTTGAGCTTTAAATATTTATAAATAACATGATCGAAATATATTGCAAGGAGATTGAGATTTCGGGAATATAGATTTGATGTAGCCGAGAATATAAAAAAAGAAAAAATTGTTTGAAAATTGTTTGACAACTAATTTGACTGCACGGCGCAATGTTGATGGATTTGATTGTGAATGTAAAGAAGAAGCACATTGAAAAACTGACAAGGTACAAGTGGTCCAAGGTACCTCGCGACTACTGATACCGGGCGCCGCGACGTCGTATAACGCTGCGTGGCTAAAAGTATCTTTCCCTCGCGCCTCTCGAACGCTAATAATCCCTCCTACCAGAATCTCGTTTTCCGCCGCTGCTGTTCTTCTTCTTCTTCTTCCCACTCTCATTTATAAAATTGGAAAAGTCCGAAGAGTGGCTCCTAAATACACTGATCTAGGTAATACCCATTTAACGCAAAGCACTCTCCCGGAGATGATCTCTTGCCCGTGATAGATGGATTAATTAAACTCTTAGTGACTACTCACGCCTGCTTGCCCCTATTGCACGTTAGACAAATAACTTCTAACAACAGAAAATATATATCTCCCTGTAATTTACATTTCATTATATATCCGTCAAAACTCATATTTTTTTCACATTATTCACACTCATTACACTGAAAAATGTTTCATTCATTCAAATAACTGATTATCAATTATCTATTATCACATCAAGTCTGTTATCAAATAAATATTTACGTGAATTCAATAATACTCCTCAAAATAAAATTTATTTCAACTAATGCAGGGTTGCCAAAAAAAATTCAATTTTTTCCCTGATTTCCAGAAAAAATTTTGATTTTTTCTCTGACCCCTATAGAATTTCTCTAATAGTAAAATTATTCGAAAACATCAATATCTCCTTTCTTAAATAAATATTTAACCATTAAAATTATTTTTCCATAGGAATTAAAATTCTTCAAAATATTCAAATTCAAATCTTTTGAAATTCAATAACTTTAATAATCTTCAATCTTCTATATCGTTGTATTCCGATAATCTATTAGCAGTTTGAAATTAGTTGTTGTCCATTTTTTGTTTCCTAATATTTTTAATATTTTTTTTAAATAATATTTTCAATTTTGAAATTAATGTTTTGATAATCATTGAATTCTTTCAAAGAATTTTATTAAAAAATTAGAGAATAAATAGTTGAATTCTATCGAAGAATTTTATTAAAATTGTTGAACATTCTAATTAAATTCTTTTCAAGAATTTATTTGAATTGCTTTAAAATAATGGAAATTCTGTAATAATTTTAATTGAAAACTTTAAATAAAATAATAATTTAGCAAAGAATTTTGCTATTTATAAAAATAATTGAATTCTTTTAAAAAATTTTATAGAGAATTAAGAAAATAATTGAATTCATTTGCAAAAAATTTATAACGCGATAAGAAACAAATTGAATTCTTTCGTGAAATTTTATTGAAAATAATTGAATTTTTTGCAAAGATTTTACTATTTTAAAAAATAATTTAATTGTTTCGAAGGATTTATTAAAATTTTAGACAATAATTAAATTATTTCGTGAAATTTTATTGAAATTTTGTTGAAATTAATTGAATTTTTGCAAACAATTTTACTATTTTTTAAAATAATTGAATTCTTCCGAAGATTGTTATTATTTATGAAAACAATGGAATTCTTGTGAAGAATTATATTAAAATTTTTGAAAATATAAACAATTTCTTAAAAAAAAAAGAGTTTTCGCCTTAACTAAGGCAATTTTTGCCTTAGTTTAAGGCAAAAATTGCTTTTTTTTTAAGAAATTGAACTTGGGCAAAAATTGACTAAGTAGAAAGTACATTCTGACAATTATTTTTTTCAATGTATTTCTTCAATCAAATGACAAATTAAAATTATTTTTTCATATATCAAAAAATTATTTTTTTAAGTTTGAGCAAAATTTTTTTAATTATTGAATTTTTTAAAGCAAACTATGAAAAATTCAATAACAAAAGTTGAAAATCCTGGACATTTAAAGACATTTCATGACATTTTTTCAAATTCCAGGATTTCCAGAACCAATTTTTATTAGAAAATTCTACGAGAATTCAATTATTTAAATACAAAAATAAATAATTTATTGAATAATTGTATTTTTTGGCGAATTGTAATAAAATTTTTAAGAATAATTACATTTTTCAAGGTTTAAAATCGTATTTAAAATAATTGACAATTGAATTCCTAAAAAGAATTTTATTATTTATGAAAATAATTGTTTGCGTAGAATTTTATCGAAAAAGATTTTAAATAATTGAATTCTTTTCAAAATTCTAGCAAAATAGTATAGATTTTGAAAATCATTGAATTGAGGAAAACTTTTGAAAATAATTGAAATTTTACCAAGAATTTTATTACAATTTTTGAAATGTAACTTCTCAAAAATTCCATTTTTTGGGGGTTTTTAACTAAAATATTAATAATTTTGTGATAGTTGTTCAATAATGAAGTTATTTAAAAAGAAATTATTGTTAGAAATAAATATTTATTACGGTTGTTATAAAAATTTGATTTTTTTTCCTGCAACGTGAATATTTTTTGTCAACCCTCGTACATAACTTTCTTGATTTTTAATAATGAATATCGAAACAATATTTTTCATCAAATATAGTAACTTCACTATTCGAAATACTTGTCTTTAAATCTGTTCCTGAAAAGCTTGTTTAAAAAGCAAAAATCACGATTTTTTAAGAATTTTTTTTATTCAAAGGATTCAAATGAATTGCATTTTAAATATAGTGGAGACTGGGGCTAAATGTTAAACTGCGTCAAAACAGTTAAAATTCATTATATCTTTCGAACGGAAATAGTTAGAGCATTGCAATTTTGACATTCTGTTTATTTTTGTGGTGTCTATAATATAAAGTGTGTTTTGACCCTACTTTTGTAAATTTTTACGAAAAAAAATTTATAACTTTTAATATCCTTATTTGGGTCCCTTGAAGATGTACCTAAAGATATTTGCTAAATATTTATAGTCAGATTTTGTATATTTGTTGTTAAAGCCAAAATACACCCTGGGGCTAAATGTTAAGTGTATTTATTCCATTTTTTTTTTGTTTTTAAATTTTAACTTATTAACTCTATAACTGTTCTAAAGCTTCTGTTAAATAAACACAGATGCTTTATTAACTAAATTACCTGTTTTAAGCATACTTTAACTTATCTACTACTTAACACCTATCAGAAAATAGTTTTAGTAGGCTAGAAATAGAGTTTAACATACCTAAATGTTAAAAAAACAGAATTTTCAAAAAAGGACAAAACATGTATTTTACGCGAAATATCAGAAATTTGTTTATTGAAAGTTGTTGAGGACAAGTTGCCCTACAATATTGATCTATACATATTTGCATCGAAGCAGATTTATTGTCTAAAAAAATCATAATTATATGAAATTTAACATTTAGCCCCAATCTCCCCTAGTTAATAAAAAATTGTTTTTGACTTCAAAATCTTAAATCAAGCTAAAGCTTTTCTATAAACACCTATACACCTATACACTTATTGATCGAGGAGACGACTTATAACGTATAATAAGTGAAATTTCACTTATTCAGATTTAGAGAGTAAGGTCCCTTTTAATTGAAAGCGTCAAATATGTATAAAAATTTTGATATTTTTTTAAGAATTTAAAGATGTATTTTTAAGCATGACGACTTTTAACGATACTATAACTCAGGTGGCGTGTAGCACTATGGCTTGCGGTCATTGGGGTTGACCCCGACGACCGCAAAAATAATATTAATAGTATAATTTTTTTGAGCACTGTTGAGAAAGGTCAATACTCAGATGGTTGACCGCGCCTCGACTTCCGCTATAGCCCTGGTGTTTTTCACTCCAGTCTAGATATTTCAAACGAAAAGTTTACGTATCAAGGATGCATTTGTGCGTATTTCTGATGAGTATCCGAATTCACGTAATATATAAATCGGCTTTAGTTCCTTTCTTTCCCTATAGCTAAATGTTGAGGCAAATTTAAATACGTATAAAAGACATAAATATAAAAATAAAAATAAATATAAATATATAAAGCACGTGACATATAAAAATACACACAAATCTAAATATAATTAAGTCGAGAGAAAAACACTATTTTTTAGGTACTAACAATTTTTCTCAGACTTTTCCAAGTTTCTAGAAAATGTATAATAATTGACATGGGTTCGAATTGTAGCATGCGCTCGCAGAATGTGTATTTACGAATTCAGGAGTGTTCAACTTTTAAATATAACATTATTCTCGAGAGATTAAATATAGAATAATCTTTTCTTCTGATAAAATATTTTAAGAAAAATGTTACTTTTATCAAATTTGTCAATATAATTTCTATTATGTTATTTCTTGCTCCTTTAATGTTACTTTCTCAAGCAATAAATCCTGAAACACTTTTATTCATCCTAGAAATTGGGTTTAAGGGTCAAAACGTCCAAAAAATGTATGTTTTTTTTAATATTTTCTTTCATACAATAAACAACTTTTTTTATTTGAACAATAACTAAGTTAGTAAATTTTTGCTAAAAAATATTAAAAATCAGGCCCGTAGCCTGATTTTTTGAGCCCTTTACAAGACAATTGCTTTTGCAGTGGTCAAGATATTTTTTGACTGCTTCATTTAAAATCAAAAAACAAAAAATTTTCTGTTAGTCAATTAAATATTTACTTGAATCAAATAATTTTTATTTGAATCAATTAAATGGTATTTTCTTTAAATACTGAAATTATATTAAATAAGATATCATTTAATTGACGCAAATAAAAATTATTTTATTAAAATATTTAAACTTAAAAGATTTTTTTTTTATTTAATCAAATAAATTTTTTTTAGTGTGATTAATATCTATTAATATTTCAATTTAATTTATTTTGAAGTATTTCTTTAACAAATAAAAAATCATAGATAACTGTTCAGTATTCTTTAAAAATATTTAAAGTGCCTGTTAATACAAGTACTTAAAACTTATAGAGACAAAAACTTTTAGCAAAATTTAATCCTACCAGAAAATGTATAAAAATAAAATTCACTCTGTAAATGTGAATTAGTGATAAATTTACTAAATATTTTAATTAGGTTTTATGAGTAAATTTTTAGAATCAAGGCACTTTTGAAAAACCGAATTTTATAAATTTTCCTTTTTTCTCAAAAAAAATTAAACTTTTTTAAAAAATTTGTGATTATAAAATAGAAATTATGATAATTTTTTCCATTTATTTCTCAAAAAACTGGATGTTTTGTTAGAAAATCGTGATTAAAAAAAAATCAAATTATACAGAGTTTTTAACGATTTTTTTAAATAATTGAAAATTTGTTAAAGAAATAAAAATTATGTAAATTTTTTAATTATCTTCTAAAAAAGAACTAAGTAATTGAGAAATGGAAATATCAATGTTTTTCTAAAGATATCAAATTGAAACAAAAAACGTATCAAAAAAATGCATCGTAACGATTTTGATACGTTTATTCTTGTCTCAATTTGACATCCTTAGAAAAACTGTGGATGCAAATTTCATAAAAAGGTTTTAAAATAAATCTTCAGTTTTATTTTCAATTAAAATTATGACTGTCAAAAACAGAATTTATGAAATTTCTTTTCCATTATTTTAAACAAAACTTGGAATTTTGTTTAAGAATTGCAAATAGAGAAATAAAATGTTCAAATTATTTCTTTTAAAGAGAGATTTCAATTTCATTTTTAACTATATCAAGAAAATGATTTAAATCTTTCATAAAATTACTTTTTTTGGTAATTTTTTGAATGGAAATCAATGATCAAAAAATAAAATGGTCAGAAAATATTCTAAAACGTCTTGGATTTTTATTTTTCTTAAAAATTGATAAATCCATTCATAATTTTGTAGAAAATAGGAATGTTTTTGTATCTACAACAAAATTACAGAATGAAAACATTAATTTTTACAATTTCTGAAGCATTCTTTTGAAAAAATATCTTTTTTAGAATCAAAAGGCTACAATATAAAATTGTTATTCAATTTTTTTATATGGAAATTCACTTGTTTATTTTGCTAACTAATTTCAAATCGTAATTTTTTAAAATATAAAATATAAAAAAATTATAAAATTATGATTTGAAATTAGTTAGAAAAATAAGCAAGTGAATTTCCATATAAAAAAATTGAATAACAATTTTATATTGTAGCCTTTTGATTCTAAAAACAATATTTTTTTAAAAGAATGCTTCAGAAATTGTAAAAATTAATGTTTTCATTCTGTAATTTCGTTGTAGATACAAAAACATATTTTCTACAAAATTATGAATGGATTTATCAATTTTCAAGAAAAATAAAAATCCAAGAAATTTCAAAATATTTTTTGACCATTGATTTTCTCTCAAAAAAATTACTACATATAAAAATAATTTTATGAAAAATTTGAATCATTTTCTTGATATAGTTAAAAATGAAGTCGAAGTTTCCGTTTAAAAAACAGCATTTTCTCCAAAAATAGTGATTAAGAAATAGGAATTAGATATGAAAATTGTTTTTTTTTTAACTTATAATTTTGTGAAGAATATTGTCATTAAAAAAAAAAGAATTTTTTTTCAATGCAAAACAGCAAAACAGGTATATTTCTTAATAATAATTTTTTAACAATAAATAAAGAAAAAAACATATAATTTCGATGTGCCAAAGTTTTTTTATAGAATAAAAATGAAAAAAAATTTGCATGATTTGATTTGTCAATTACAATTTTCTTACACAATTCTAATTTTTTCTTAGAAAAGACAGAAAAATTTTAATATTACTGATTAATTATTTTTGTTTATTAATTTTTAAAATTTTAATAAAATTCTTCGCAACAATTCAATATTATTTTTAATACAATTTAAATAAAATTTTATAAAAGAATTCAATTTTTTAAAAATTTCTAATAATATTTTTTCGAAAAAATTCAATTCTTTCCTAAAATTTTAATAAATCCTTCGAAACAATTCAATTATATTTATAAATAGTAAAAGCCTTTGTAAAAATTAAATGATATTCAAAACAATTTCACAAAAGAATTTCGTTTTTTTCTTAATTTGTTATAAAATCTTTTCAAAAGAATTTAATTATTTTCTAAAATTTTAATAAATTTCAATAATTAAATGTTTAATTTTAATTATTAACAAACACGTGTATTTTAAAATCTTGAAAGAAATTTTTCCACCCAATTTTTCATAAAATTCCCTTATTTTTTAAATTTTTAATTAAAATTATTAAAAAAACAACATTATTTTTAAAAAATTCCAAAAAATTCTTCAAAAAGAAATTAATTAGAATTTTGAAAAATTTTATCAAAATTCTTCGCGAGAATTCAATTATTTTCCCAAATATTAAAATTCTTGGATGGAATTCTATTATTATTAATTTTTTTTTGATAAAATTCTTTGCAACAATTCTATGATTTTCAATGAATTAATTTTAAGATTATTAATCATAGATATTAATATAGATAATAAAATAAAAATAAAATAATAATTGATCAAATTTTATTGTAAAAAACTAATTCTTTAAATCAAATGTTAACTTTTAATTAAATAGGATTTTAAATAACTCCAAATACACTGATATTTTAAAAATGTTTGATTTTTTGTTATGAAAGATACTCATAATTCCAAGTGAAGAATAAAAATTATTTTTAGATCTATAAAATTTATTTTTAAAAATTAAAATCTCATCGTTCCAGAAATAAAATATTTTATAGCTAATCAAATTTTTATAAATTATTTAACACGTATTTTAAATAATCTTTCCAGAAAGCTACGATCTATCTTTAAATTATTATTTGTTTTAAAATAATAGAACATGAAATTTTAACTACCAATGATAAAATACCATCTTTCAGAAAATAAAAAAAAATTTCTCATACTGTATAAAATAAAGACCTTTCCATGAGAAAGCAAAGTATATGTTTAAAAAAATAAACACAAAAGAAATTTATACTCTTACCAGGAAAAAGTTTTATTATTATTAATCTTAGCCGCACAATAAATTCTTTAAAAATTTTGACGAACCTATTCGAATATTAAAAAAAAATGTTTCTAAAAATTAAAGAATATTTCCAATGTGTTAAAATATTTCCACGTACAGTTTGAAAAAGCATGATTTCTAAATAAAATGTGACCTTGAAGATATTAATCGGATCCGTGGATTTTTGTTTTGCTGTCAACGAAGTTTTTTTTAGAACACAGAGTTCTGGTCTTCCTACATACTTTAGATTCGCTTAAAAAAATAGGGTAAATCCATTTTGGCCCCAACTGTGATTCCCAATTTATGCTTTGATTAGATTTGCATCAGTTATAACACAAGAAAATATTTAATTTCTTAAATTTAGAAATAATCTAATACATTTCTCGCATTCAACTGAAAACATTGTCTGAATTCTTTTACTTCGAAACATTCTATTTAGTAAAAATTAATAATTATAAAAATACTTTGTTTAAGCAAATACTGAAGACAATAAATAAAAAAATTAGTTGGATTATTTCATTTTAATTATGGAAAATAAATTAATTTCTTTTTTAAATTTATGCAATTTTTTAAGTTTTAAATAAAAAAAAATTCAAAATATACTGCATTTTCTACTACAATTGCATTTAATTTGAAAACTCAAGAAAAGAAATGTTTTCAATTATCAAAAACTATAAGACAATTTTTAGCAGGTAAAGGTACACCTTGAATTATAAATTAGCTAATTGTAAGCTTGAAAACTCTAAAAAAGTAACAAGATTTTTAAGTTTCGATAAATATTTATAAATTATAAACTGATTGGTGAGTAATTAAATTATTTTCAACAATTAACATGATTTTTATTTTGTTGGTTTGTAATAACTTAGACAGATTTAAAGTGATTGCTATAATTGTCATGCGGTGAAAATGAGTAAAACTTCCAAGTACTCTTTGCCTATATTTATATACAATATTTTATATAACCTATAATAACCCCCCTGCCCAAACTCCTGACTCTCTTCAAATTACAATAATTAATTAAATACTACTTATTCAAAATGCCTTTCGTGATAGCATTATTCTAGAATTAGAAAATTTAAAGCCTATTTTTGATCTATTAAAAATAAGATTTTTTTCTAAATTTGTCACCGGGCGCTAAAATATTGACTAATTTTTAACAATACAAAACTTGATAAAAGGAACCAGCTAGCCGGAATGGACGCCAAAATTCGGAATCGTTCATCTGTAACAAACATTTTTTTTATAAATATTTTATTCAATTTATTGTTATAAATATATCATTTTTTTACCAATAAAAAATATTCTTTTTTCGTAATCGTAAATGCATCGAATAATAAGCAGTAAAGGTTGTGTGTAATAATACAAATAAAAAAATTTAAAAACAGAAAATAAACTGTTTCAACTTTTAAGGACTGCGAGAACAAGAAAATGATTCTTATACATTTTTCACGCTAAAAATGAATGTGACCTCGAAAATGCTCCATTACATCTTGATTTTTAGTAATTTTAGCTTAAATAGACAGAAAATATATTTTTAGCCATTTTTATGAATTTCTAACTTAAGTTTTTTAAGCTTCAAAATGGTGTACCCAACATGGAATTATTTTTATAATTCAAATTTACTTCAAATTTGTGACTTGAGGGGCTCTTCAAAAACACTTTACTTATTTTTTAAACTTCACCCTTTGGCCAAAAAAACTACCCTTACCACTAGCACCAAAAATCGAAAATTCTTAAAATGCAACATTTTTCTTTTATTTTAAGGCAAATAGCTTTATTATTTTTGTGCTCTTCACAACAAAATATCCTACTCGTTTTTTTTGGCTCCGACCTTTGGTCCAAACTAATAACTACCCTTACCACTTATATCAAAAATCGAAAATTCTTCAAATTTAACACTTTTACTTTCATTAAAGGGATTTAACAAAAAAAAAATTTTGTGTTAATCTTTGAGCACTAAATTATAGACCATTGATTAATATTATTTTGATGCTTTTAACGCGTTTTTCGTGTTGTTCCGGCCAGCGGAATGTTCACTTGGCAGAACCATTGTTTTCTTTTTAAACTTTGAGCACTATTTTAGAAAAATTTCAAATGAATGTAGGAATTTAATTATTTTCAAAAGTAATAAAAATCTTGGCAAAAATTGAATTATGTTCAAAAATTTTTAAAAATTCTCGTCAAAATTTCAATTATCTTCAAAAAAAATAAATAAATTCTTCTCCGAAATTCAATTATTTTCAAAAATTTCAATAAAATTCTTGGCAAAATTTTAATTATTTTCAAAAATTTTCCTCAATTCAATGATTTTAAGTATCTAATCTATTCTAATAAAATTTTCCAAAAGAATTGAATTATTTAAAAAAAATGTAATAAAGTTCTACACAAACTTTTAATTATTTTCAAAAAAAAAAAATTGAAATTTCACAGGAATTTCATTATTTACAATTTTTTTTTATAAATTTCTTCGCAATCATTAAATTATTTTCATAAGTAATAAAATTTTTACGGGAATTCAATTATTTTCGTAAATAATAAAATTCTTTTCTAGGAATTCAATTATTTTTATAAATAATTAAAGTCATCGTAGAATGTCAATTATTTTTAATAAAATTTTAATCGAATTCCTCGAAAAAATTCTTCAAAAGAATTTAGTTAATTAAAAATTTATAGATAAAATTCTTTATGAGAATTTAATTTCAAGAAACATGCAATTATTCAATAAATTGTTTTTTTTTGTATTTAAATAATTAAATTGTAGTAGAATTTTCACATAAAAATTTATTTAAAAATTAATTTCAGTTAAAATTTTAAATTATAATTGAATATTAAAAGCATTAAAGCGTGAATTTTTAGAAATAATTGAATTTTGAAAAGGTTTCAGATTAAAATCTTTGAAAATTTGAATTTTTCATACTTCTAACTAACAATTGTGTGTAATTAATTTTTTTTTTTTGAGAAAGTTCAATTGCGGATTTTTTTAATATTATTTCAAGTTTTTATTTTTCAATATATATTTAATTAAAGAATTTACGAATAATTGAAATTTCGTAAAATTGAATATTGTGAACAAATGGATTTGAAAATTGTCAAAGAACTATTTCGAAAATTATTAAAAATAATCGATTTTAAGAAGAATTTTAGTCAAAAATTCTTGAAAATAATAATTGGATTGATAATGATTTTATCACTCGGTCATCTTTAATTATTATAATACATGAAGAAATTGATCACTCTGAGTCGAAGACTCGGAGTTATCGATATCTTCATGTTTTATAGTTATGAAAAATTTAATTTATAGTTTTAAGGACTTTTTGGTCCGTAAAGTCCGTATTTTTAAATACTTTCACTGGTTCGAGCCCTGATTAATGGCATAATAAAAATTTAGTTTTATGAACGTGGTTCAGCCAGCTTCTTCACAGACCTTTAGCAATCTGATCGTTATTAAAGTCTGCGACCAAACTAAAATGTAGTTTATTTGAATTTGACATTTAATTTTTAAAATCGTATGTTAGGAATTTTCGGAGTAAATCTCTTCGACAGTTGTGGGGTTCAAGTAATAAAAAAATAAGGTAGTTTGATAATGTAAAATGGTGCAAAAGATGTAGATTCATTTTTAGCTTAAGAAAAATCTATAAGCATCATCTTCGACCTTTCTAGAAGCTGAAGAAAGATAAATTTCGCATGTTATTAATTGCGAACTCATGTGTAATTTTATGCTAGGATATTTACCTGTCATTTGGTCCGACATTTTGACAGTCGCCCATCCTAAGCTCCTTTGCACAGCCATTTTCCATTTCTTGTACCTTCCGTCTCTTTCTGAAATACAAAAATATAAAAAATGTTATTTGAAACCTTTTTTTTTTTGCTTAGGGAATTTTTAAATTTAATAAACTGGCGACCTACTGCCAGCCCGACCCACTAAAACTCGTAACCCTTTTTTGAAGCCCTTTGCCCTCCCTCAGAACTGTCGTAAGACTTTAGCCTTTGAGAGTGGCGCTTACCTTCAGGTGTAGTAGTTGGTAAAAATGTGTCCATGACGACAGTTTCAATTCCTTCACCTTCTAACTCCCAAATTCCTATTCCTTCAGCATGACCAGCTGCTTTTGCCGCTCCTAGTGCAGTGATATCAGGCATTGTTGACCTGACTAGGAGAGATAAAAATAAATATCATTTCGAAAACAGTAAATTATCATTAATCATTAATTTCACTTACAAACTGGTATGCCACACAAATCTGCTTGTAACTGCATAAGAAGATTATTAGTAGACATTACCCCATCAGTATGCAATTTCGTCAACGGAAAACCACAGTCTTTGTTCATTGCTTCTAAAATATCTCTAGTCTGAAAACACACAGCCTCTAATGCTGCTCGTATTATGTGCTGCTTTGTAGTGAAAGCAGTAAGGCCGCAAATTATTCTACAAACAGGACACATTCAATTTTGTCAGATGTCGATTCAGTTCAATAATTTTCCGTCTTAAGGAATTAATATTGATGGGTCGTGAAGAGTTATCAAACAATCAAGGAATTGAGACACTCACCCCCTGGCATCTTTCCTCCAATATGGAGCATAGAGTCCAGAAAAAGCGGGCACAAAGTACACATCTCCAGTATTGAACACACTTTGTGCTAAGTCTTCACACTCGTGAACATCTTTAATAAGTTTCATATTGTCTCTTAACCATTTCACTGCTGCGCCTGCGACAGCAACGGAACCCTCCAGGGCATAGACTGGACTCTTAGAACCAAACTGATAAGCTACGGTTGTGACTAGGCCGTGAGATGAAAACACTCTCTGCAAAGAACCCTTTCAGTTGCAAAACAATAATAATAATAATAATTAAATGGAATCATAAAGTACTATTAAATAGTCACGTACAGAATTTCCAGTATTACATAACAGGAAACATCCACTTCTATAAGTGTTTTTCCCTTGTCCCTGCTGTAGACAATGTTGTCCAACCAATGCCGATTGCTGATTCCCTAATATCTGGTGCACAAAACGTAAATGTAAATAGTAAATGTAAATAGTGCACTTGAATATTATTCTACGAATTGAGATAAACTTACTCCTGATATAGGAATTCCTTTCAAAGGACCAACGGCAATGTTACCATAAATTTCAGAACTGCTTTTGATTTCTGGTAGAAGTTTCATTGGAATTTCAAAGTACCTACACAAAGTAGGATCCCATGTCAGTGTTTCAATATTCATCAACATTGTTCTCGATGCGTTAGTAACGTCAGTTATGTAAAGACCATCAGATTTACCACCCGTTAAATTCTAAAGAGGAAAAAACCTTGACGGTGAGATTTCAATACATGCTTAAGTAGTCTGGTGCACTTTTGCTGATAAAAATGGGTCTGCAGCAAAAGAATAAGGCAAAAAAAAGCTATTTTTCATCGTTAATCACATTCATTGAAAGCTTCATGTTACAAAAACTTTAAATACATTTCTTGAAAGCAATTTACTGCGCGCAGAATAGAATTCACAAATTCAAGAAAACAAAATCATCAAAAAGAGGAGTTTGACCCCAAAAAATTTTTTGGAAACTTTTTTTTACCGTTTTAGGCCTACTAGCGATTTTAACTGGACCCCAAAAGTTTTGCTATTAGTATTTTTTAGCAGACATCGAATAGTCTAGGTTTAATAATCTGTTTATTAAATTTCGAAATAAAATGTCTTTTCTTGTAGGTAACGTAGAATGTTTAGTTAGGGTCATGATCAAATAACGATCTGAGGCATTTAAAATTTTAGTGTTAATGTCAGAGTAAAAAACAATGCAGGGTTGCCAAAAATATTTAATTTTATTTTTCCCTGAATTTTCCCTGATTTCCAGACAAAATTTTGTCTTTTTCCCTGACCCTAAAGAATATTTTGCGATTCACTCTAAAAATGATTAGAATCTCAAAAAATTGTTCTATTACATTTATTTACAAATTTCATTAATTGAAAAATTATTCACAAACATCAATAATTTCTTTTTTAAATAAATATTTAATCATTATTATTTTTTTGTAGGAACTAAAATTCTTCAATACATTCAAATTTAAACCTTTTTGAAATTCAACAATTTATAAAAATATTATTACAAAACATGAAGAAGACGATCACTCCGAGTCTTCGACTCGGAGTGATTGCCTTCTTCATGTTTTGTTATAATTTAAATTACCATGAAATTTTTCCAAAAAAAATTTATTATTTACAAAAATCCTAATAAAATTCTTCGCAAGAATTCAATTATTTTTAAAAAGTAGTAAATTTTCTTAAAAAATTCAATTAATTGAAAAAATTGTAATAAAATTCGTTGCAATAATTTAATTATTTTCATAAATAATAAATCGATTATTCGGTAATTCATTTTTAATCAATTTTTATTAGAAAATTCTAGAAGAATTCAATTATTTAAATTAAAAAATAAATCCTGCGATGAGTTTTATTCTTTATGAAAATAATTAAAAATTTTCCCAAAAATTTTATTAAAATTTTTCTAAAATAATTGAATTTCGGTGAAGAATTTTATTATTTATCAAAATAATTAAATTCTTGAAAATAACTTTATTGTTAAATTTTTTTTAAATAATTGAATTCATGCGACGAATTTTATAAAAATCTTTTTAAATAATTGATATTTTTCGAAAAAATTTATGAAATTTTTTATATTAAATAATTGAACTCATGTGAAAATGTTATTTATGAAAATAATTTAATTATTTTAAAGAAATTTATTAAATATTTTATAAATTATTGAATTCCTGAATTATTGATTTCCTGAAAATATTATTTATATGAAAATAATTTAATTATTTTAAAGAAATAATTAAATATTTTATAAATTATTGAATTCCTGAATTATTGATTTCCTGAAAATATTATTTATATGAAAATAATTTAATTATTTTAAAGAAATTTATTAAATATTTTATAAATTATTGAATTCCTGTGAAATTTTAACAAGAATTTTATTCAAATTTTTAAAAATAATTGAATTTTAAAGAAGAATTTTATTATTTATAACAATAATTGAAATTTTGACGAGAATTAAAAAAAATTTTTTTTAAATAATTGAATATTAAAGAATTTTATTATTTATAAAGATAATTGAAATTTTGACAAGATTTTTTTTTAAAATTTTTGAACATAATTGAATTTCTGTGAAGAATTTTATTACTTTTGAAAATAATTTAATTCTTCCAACGAATTTTATTCAAGTTCTGTGAAATTTTGTTAAGAATTTTATTAAAGTTTTTAAAAATAATTGAATTTCGAAGAAGAATTATTGTATTACTTTTGAAAATAATTGAATGACTGAAATTATTTGTAACTTTTCCAAAATTCAATTTTTTTTTTAGTATTTTTAACTAAAATTCTTTTATTAATCTAGTATTTATGAAAATTGTAAAAAAGATTCATTAAATAATTTATAATAATAAAAAATTAATAATAAAATAAATAAATTAAAATAAAAATAAATTAAATTAATTAAATTAATTAATTTATTAATTAAATATTAATTATTATTTAAATAAATTAAATTTTAAAATTTTTTTATTTTATTTTTCATAATTTTATGATAGTTCTTGTAAAATTAAGTTATTTAAAAAGAAATTATTGTCTGAAATAGAAATAATTCAAGGTTTTGTATTAAAATTCGTGGTAATTTCATAGTTTACGAGGCGAACAAAAAAACACATCCAAATTCAGAGTTTTTTCATGAATTTTTAAAATTCAATTTTTGCAGTACTTTTACTAAAAATCCCTGACTTCCCTGACCAATTTTACTTTCCCTGACTTTTCCATGAATTCCCTGACCTGTGGCAACCCTGCAATGTTAATGTGTTACGCTGTGAAGAAAGGTACCTAAGAAGCAAAGAATTGTAGGTTATGTTTGTAACGTTCAGAGTACAAATATACAAAGGAAATCAACTGTCAATGTAAACAACGAATCTTTAAGTCTTCATTACATCTAAAACAATTAAAAAATGATTTTAGTTTTATACAATAACAAAAACTTAATTATGAAAAAATAACACAATCGTAACCGTAAAATTATTTGTACCTTTCTTCTCAAGGCATTACATATATTGAACCGAAATTGCACCCCTGAACTATTAATTTTCATGAAAAATTGTTGCGAGCAACATAATATCATAAAGTAAAAGTGTTTTTTCATAAGATTTACAGATGCCCAAATTTTTCAGCAGCACAGAAGTATGCATATACTTTTAATAGTAACAGTCTTGCATACCCAAACTACCCAAGTGTCCATAGTTCCAACTTTACATCTTTTATCTCTAATGGCTTTCTTAACCGCAGGAACATTGTCTTTTAACCACCGAATTTTTAAGGCCGAAAAATACGGACTAACAGGTAGACCGCAAAGGGGTTTTAAATGATTTTTACTATGATCTGGAAACTTGGCAATTATTTGATCCACAATTGAGTCTGTTCTTATATCAGCCCACACTAAACATTAGAAAGTTATATTTTATTCAGAATTTTCAATTATCTACATCATAAATAATAAAAGAATGTTTTCTATTTATAGTTTTCTTAACCCTCATTCATTCGCATCAGATTTTATAACGCGATATGAGCAAAGCACTTTTTGGTAGTAACATTTTTAATACGGCTAAAAAATATTAAATAATACAAACATAACATAAAAACGATTTGCTTCTAAGGCACCTTTTTTCGGAGCGCGTCACATAATTAATTTTATGTTCAAGAAAAAGAATGTTTCCCTTATTATTATGCGAGTGAAGGAGGGTATAATTATAATTAATTATTATTCTCTAAAATGCTACATTTGCCAATGCAAAAGTTTTGTATTTTTATCTAAATTTGAAAATTTTCATTAAGTTAATGAAATGAATATATAGAAGAAAAGAAATAAATGAACTTACTAATTGCATTGTACAAAGGCTCTCCCGTCATTGAATCCCAAACAACTGTAGTTTCTCTCTGATTTGTAATGCCAATGGTAATAATATCACTTATATTAAGATTAATAGACTCTAGTTTCTTTTTTACATCCTTCACGCAGGCCTTTATGGCAAAAAGAATTTCTTTTGGGTCTTGCTCCACCCATCCTTCTTGTGGATTAATGTGTTCGATATCAATTTGATGCGACATAAATTCAGCAACATGCTTCGCTTTAAAAACCTGTCAATAGAAAAAATTACCTCATTTTTTTTTGTGCTGTGTTGGATTACAACGTTTTTAAAATTTAGAAGAAATAAATTTATAATGATTTTAGATGAAACAAACAATCATTATAAATTTACTTCTTTTTTGGTCTAGAAAAACATTTCCTTTATTTCGAGCAAAATTTCATAAGAGCGAAAAATAGGCTCCTTTTTTAAAAAAAAGGGTTTGGATTAAAATAATTGTAATGTATTTTTTTAAGATATAAATTATCACATTTCAAAGAAACAATCATTAAAAATAAAATGCAGTAATTAATTGTGGAATTTATTTATGAAATAATTCTAAAAAATGTATTCTTACCACAAAACGAACAGTTCGAGTTCCTACATCAATTACTCCAATTAGAGGACCAACATTTTTGCCAGAATCTGGCATTATTTCTGAAAAGAAACAATAGTTCATTTTTTATAATATTCAATTAGATATTATTTTTGAGCTTCAAAATAAAGTTAAATTTTTACTTTAATAAAGATTCAAACATTTTTAACTTAAATTTTCTCATAGAGAAATTATTTTCATAAAAATTTTCAATTTTCATTATCTAGTTTTAATTTTTTTTTGTTCTTTTTAAATTTAGGTTTCACAGTATAGAGAAGAAAGTAAAAAATCTCACTGTTTTATAAAATCATTTTTACCGCATTAGATTTACATTTTTCTGGTAGAAAACCATTTTTCTCAAGAAGACTGTATTAAAATTTTAACGTTTTCACGAACTGAAAAATTTTGAAATGAAAGATGTACCTTCTATAATTTCAATAAATAAAAACTTCTATTTTCTAATGTTGCTTGCATTTCTACTTTAAAAAATTTATCAAACTACGATAATAAGCAATGATAAGAAACGAGTTGTGACAAAATTTACAAGCGTTAAGGGAGTATTCTGGTCTATAGGCCTCAATTTCAGGCGTTTTTCCGAGTAGAATAAAAAAGAAAGTTTAACATTTTTAATATTTACTTTTCTTGCAAGTTGTTTATTAATGTTTAAAGAGTACAGAAAAAAATTAGGAAACAAAATAATAAAAAAATTTAAAAGTTATAAACTAATGAAGTGGGGACTGAAAAAAAGAAAGTGCGTACTGATTGACAGTGTGGAGACTTTTGTAATGTTCTAAAACAAAAAACTCAAAGAAATTCTTGATTATTAAAGGCTTCGCTATGGTCGGTACCTTGGAAAAGAAAAAATAAAATTTTTTAGCAAAATGGCGACGATTTAAAAAAAAATGCTGTTTTTTGATTCTGTTTTTTAACTTTTTTAAATTTTTTAAAAATAGTAAAACAAAATATTTTTCAAAATCCAAGGTTCCGACCATAAAGAGATATACAAAGAACATTTCTGCAAAATTTGAAGTAAATCAGTTGAGTAGATTTTAAGTTATCGTGTCAACAAGAATTTTTTTCAATTTCCACTTCACCAGTTCATAACTTTTAAAATTTTTGATTATTTTTTTTCTGCATTCTTTGAACATTAATAAACAACTTGCAAAAAAAGTAAATATTAAAAATGTTAAACTTTCTTTTTTAGCCCACTCGGAAAAACGCCTTAAAATTGAGGCCTCTAGACCAGAATACCCCCTTAATATTACAATTAAGTCTTCAATTCTTGTGTAAAAATGTTTGTAAATGTTAACTGATTAAGCATTTAAATATAATAATTCATTTAATTTAAAAATAATAAAGAAATTTCATTCATCGTACTGAACATAAGGAAACGATGTAAAGCTAACAAATTATAATGTTTAAAATTCTTGAATTTTTAAATTCGTAAATCATATATATATCTTTACTATTTATACTGACAAATATAATAAATGTAACAAATTATTGTTTTACATTCTAAAGTTCTTGACAAGACCTAAAACAGTTAATTCTATAATGCTTAAATACTCACCTGAATTATCAATTATTGCGCGAGTTTCAAACTGATCTGAGATTCTTTAATTTTCAAAAGTTGGGATCAGTTGAGAAATTTTAACTCACTTATAAAGCAAAATTAAAATATACATTTTTTTTTGTCAATTGATGAAATTACGTTGTCTCACATCTTTGGATAATGCTTCTAATTCTAATATTAACGCTTCTCTGGCATAACAATTGACATACCTTAATTTTGTGATAACTCTATTCTAATTATTGCTTATTATCGTAGTTTTGATACATTCTATGCAGAAGACATTATAGAGGTCACAATCGAGAATAAAATCAGTTTTTATTTGTTGACATTAGAAACAGAAACTTTATACAGTATAAAAATTCGTCAATTAATATAAAAATTAACATGTTTATTGCACTTCTTTCGTAGAAATAGCTTTCTCTATACACATACAAAAAAAGGATCGGATAAATAAAAAGAAATAATTTTCATGTGATAAAAATATAATTAGTATCAAATATTTATTTATTCGATAATTCGCTTGGCAAAAGTCATGAATTTCAATTATCAAATGGGCTTAAGTAATCAAGTTTACAGAATATATACTTGTAAGTAAATTGTAATTTTTTCTAATAGTATAGTAAGCAGAAAAATTATAAGTCGTTTTATTATATCAAAAAGTTTTTAAATTGAATATTTGTTGTTAATAATTTTTTTCTTAAATTTAATTTTTGAAAAACATCGTTTCTTTAATTTGTTGAAATAACTTTTTTCCACGCAGAAAGAAATTACCAAAAATTACTAAAAACAAATTAAAAAATTATATTCATATCATGAACATTTTTTGCTTTCTCATGAAGAAAATTGTTTGTCATAATGAGGAAGCTAAATTATTATGAAATGAACAACTTGTTTATTAAATATTTATATTATTTATGTAAACTACTCAAATAGAATTAAAATCAAACTTGAAGACTGAGTTAAACTATTACAAATATTCACCCACAAACCTGCCGTACAAAGTAAAAAAAGTTTAAACATTTAATTTACGTTTTAATTTTTAAGTCTTAGGCAGTTAGGCTTAATGATGACAATGGATATTTAGAGAAAAATTTACTTAATTTAGCAATAATACAAGGTAAGTATACACTTACAGTTTTTTTTGAAGATTTATTTCCAGCAAGAAAATAATAATCTTTTCCGTCAGATCATTATTTACGCTAATTTAACTTCAATCCTACTTGTGACATAAATTTTGTTTCACTTACAACTACGTTATTTTTAACTACATTTTATTTTATAAATGCACAGAATTAATAAAAAAAATTATTTTATTCCCATAAATATGAGTAAAATTTTTTCCAAGGAAGGTTTAAGTATTATTCAGTTTATAAAATCTAAACAGATCTGGAAGTTACGTAAATTTTAATATATCCCCTTGTATGCATTTAAGTGGATTCTTACGTATGCAAACAAGTTAGTTGTTTTTTATGATGTCTTTAAGTTATATTTGAAGTTACGAGCAATTTTTGAAAATCTCGTCTGCAATATTGAATCCGCTATTTTAACTTTTCAAAAACTAACAACGAATTCGTAATCAGTGACCTCAAAAACCCCCAATTAACCATTTTGAATCAATTTTTTATTAAATTCAAAAATATTTTGATACAGTGGAACCTCGATTATCCGAACTTTTTTTTGGTCTCCCGAATCTTTTAAAGGAAAATAACGAAATTTATGACAAAAAAATCTTTAAAAATTCTGAATTCTCTGTTTTATTAATATGTTATTATGAATTAATATATATTTACGTATATATATGGGGCATTCCAGGGCCAAATCGGAAATTATTTTGCTTTTGCATCTCAAATTTTTTTAAACATTTTTTTTTCTTTTAGTACTCTTTGAAATGAGCTACCTTGATTTTTTTTTAAATTTTTTCATAAAGCGGTTCAGGAGATACAGATTTTTGAAAAATGACGTTTTTTATGTAAATTTTTGTTTTAAATGCTTATAACTCGGTCAAAAATTAATCAAATTGGACGTTTTTATAATGAAAAGTTTTGTTTTCACGCGTAGTTTTTAATAAAAATATTTTTAAAAAAATTTTAAATAATTTACGACAAGATTTTAAAAATTTTAAAATAAAATTTCATTTTTAACAATGTTATGTATTGATCAATTTTTTTCAAAATTTTTTGTAAGAAACTAGCACTAAATTAACAACTTTTAAGCCTTGTCCGATCGTGGGCAAACGATGGGATCTATTTATTTAAATTTTTTTAATTTTTATATACGCAGTAGTGGCCAATGACTAACTTGCCATTTGACAAAATCACACAAATTTTTCACAGAAAATGTGTTTTCAGACTGAGTCTCTCTAAACTTAACCTTCTTTCTGTGTAAAATTGTGATTTGGTCAAATGACAAGTTAGGCCTACCGTTTTCACTGTATATATAAAAATTAAAATTTTTAAATAAATAGATCCCATCGTTTGGCCACGATCGGACAAGGCTTAAAAATTGTTAATCTAGTGCTAGTTTCTCACAAAAAATTTTGAAAAAAATTGATCGATACATACATTATTAAAAATGAAATTTTATTTTAAAATTTTTAAATCTTATCGTAAATTATTTTAAAAATATTTTTATTAAAAACTACGCGTGAAAACAAAACTTTTCATTATAATAACGTCCAATTTGATCAATTTTTGACCGAGTTATAAGCATTTAAAACAAAAATTTACGTAAAAAACGTCATTTTTCAAAAATCTGTTTCTCCTGAACCGCTTTATGAAAAAATTTGAAAAAAATCAAGGTAGCTCATTTCAAAGAGTACTAAAACATGGTTGCCACACAACCTGGAAAACCTGGAAATAGCATGGAAATTGAAAAAGGATATGGAAAACCTGGAATTAGCATGGAATTTGAACGAATTTCTGGAATTTTTTTGGGTTAATGAAAGATATTAAGAAAAATTCCATTCAACATGTTTTTTTTTCTTTAAAAATGTTAACATGCAATTTCCCTTTTCCATGTTTTCTCTTTAAATTAATTTATTTTTTTTTTAATTATTGACTGAAACTGTGAAAAATGTTGTTAAGATTGTTCTAAAAAAAGGAAAGTGACATTTTTGATATCTCGATTAATTTTATAGAATCTACTCTCTAATAATATTATTAACCATTTTTATAGTAAAAATTTATAATTTATAAGAGAACTAAATTTTTGATGGTTTTTTTTTCAAACTCTTAAATTTTTTTTAAAAATAGTGTTAAAAAATACAATGTTTTTCTATCATTATGTGCATTTTAAAAATTTTTGTACCTCCGTTTTATATGTGATAAAAATGTTTAAATTTTGTCTTCAGTTTAAGTTAAAATTACTTCACGATGATTAATGATGTTTTTATACATTAAAAATATTATAAAAAAATGTGAATGCACATTAAAATAAAGTTAATGGTCTGATGTTTAATTTTTCTATATAATATTATTTATAAAAAAATTCTTACTTTTGAGTATGAAATAAAGTAGTTTCAATAGAAAAAACCATATAATTTAAAAAAAAATAAATTGAAAAATCGAATATCAAAAGTATCACTTTCAGAAAAATAAACATAAAAATGCCTGTGATTTTAACTGTTTAAGAGAACATTAATTTATAACTATATAATAATGAATATTGTTAACACTGTTTTGTAAAATACTTGTTTTTTCATCACAAATAATTCCTAAATTTGAACCTGGAATTTTTAATATTTTTAACCTGGAAAACCTGGAAAAAGCCTGGAATTTTGAAATCTAGATTTTGTGGCAACCATGTAAAAGAAAATAAAATGTTTAAAAAAATTTGAGATACAAAAGCAAAATAATTTTCGATTTGGCCTGGAATGCCCCATATACTTATGTATATTTAGAAAAATGTATTAAATTAAAATCTCTATTATCCGAACCCGGCCTTGCCTAGGTTAGTTCGGATAATCGAGGTTCCACTGTAATTTGTTTTAAAAATCCGCCATTTGAATTTTTTGAATAAAATCTAACTCAAAATTCGTAATCAGCGACCCCAAAAACAGGAAAACAAAGTGTTGTTCAAAATTATTCATTAAATGTTAGCAGCGCCCATTCGGAATAATAGAAAGAAAATTACCGAAAATTAATTGGTTGACTTTTATAAGAATTACATAAAATTTTCTAAGTGGGACATATATGTCCCGGAGGCACGAAAGGGTTAATACAATTTAAGGGAGGGGGGGTTGAGATATTATGAGATTTTAATTTCAAACAGAAATTTCTCAACGAAATTAGAAGAAATTTTGAAAAATAAAAAAGTAAATGGAAAGTTTATTTAATTCTCTTTCGAATTAGTCTATAACTTTATAATTAATTTCTTTTTTATAAAATAAAATTCACTTAGAAAATATTCTTTTCACTATCGTCTTTTGTTGGTGAAACGGTTTGAAATAGAATGCCTCATGTTTATTATAAACAGTTTTTATGTATGATCAAAAAAATATTTGTCAAATTTAATTAGTTTTGGTCTTACAAACGTATCAAGTGAAAAAAGTTGTAACTTTTAAAAACACAAGTGAGATGAATAGGTCTTTTGCACTCCTTGCACTTGTTAGTACTCTTTTGTGACCCAAGTATTGTAATAATAGTGTTTTTGTGGTTTATAGGATCAATAATTTAAGATAAAAAACTAAATTTTTTGTTTTCTAGACGTTTTGATCCTCTTCAGTAATTTTAATGATTCTGCGAAGTACATATTTTTTATTTTCCAATATATTATTAGGTAATGAATTACATTTGTTATTATAGAGTGTAGAACAGATGAAATTTATTATACAGATATTAAAACTGTAAAACAATTGTTCTTATCTGGTTACATTATATGATTTGTACACATTATTGTTATTGCACTGATTTTTTAACTATTATCTTTTAAGAACTTTTAAATTTCGTTAGGATTAAATTTGACAATTTTTTTACACCGAATGCATTGAGATGTGAGGTGTTTGAATGTTTTGTAAATACTGAGGAAATTTTGACATTTTGGTTTTAAGTTAAATTAAAATATGTTAACTTAACTCTATTTTCTTTCGTTAATAGAGTTAGAAGTCACAATGCGAGTCATTTCTAAAACCAATCTTTTTCTATGTTTCTCAGTTTTTGTTTAAATTATTATATTATCGAAGTCAAAGGTGTGGTTATATTTATCAATATGTTTTGTTAGTGCTGTTTGTTTATCATGTAAATTTAAATAGTCTCTTTTGTGTTCATAGAGTCGGTTTTTTAAAAACCTTTTTGTTTGTCTAACATAATATATGCCTGGAAAATTATTGCAAGGAATGGAAATATTAGAATTTTGTCCTTTTCTTAGTTTATCTTTATTGCTAGTGAATATTTGTGAAAGATTGTTCGTTCCTTTGAAGGAAGTGTTGAAATTTTCTTTTTTCAAGATTTTTGCCAACTTTTCAGACATATTTTTTAAAATATAAAAGTTGGTATTTGGTTTTGTGTTGATATCTTTTCTCTATTGTTTAAGCTTGTTAATCTTTTTTTGATATTTGTGTTTATAAATTGAATGGGGAATTCATTATTTAAAAAAAGTTTTTTTTTATTTTAACCAAGTTGTCACTATGAAATATTGTTTGTGCGAAAGTTTAATAACTCTATCTACTAAATTATAATTATTTAATTTAATTTAATATCATTAATTAAAAATATTTTCAATAGATGACTATGAAACTTTTACGATTTTTTCGAACGCAATATTAAATGTTTTAAAATATTATTATTTCCGAATCTGTTGAACGGATTTTAATAAAATTTTAATATGTTGAATATTGCACTGCCTCGAATGCCAGTGCAATAAAATGTTAACTCGAAATAAAGTGCTATATAATTCTTAATCAATTCTTTCTACAATTCAATGCTAATTCCAGATGCGTTAATTAAAATGCTGATTCAGCCATAGTCCAAAATGATGCATTTTTAAATAATTCTACAAAACAAGTTTAATTCCATCTTTCATACAATATTTTCTGTTGAACAAGACATTGAATTTGTCGCATAAATACTTAAAATTTTTTTCATTTTAGTTTAAATCAAGATCATTGACACTTACAATAAAATATGAATTCTAATTTAAAGTATAATTTTCACTTATTTTTAATAGGAAGTAAGTTTGTAAACAATAGATTTTGTAATGTTTAGAAGAACAAACAAAATAAAAAGATGTAAAAAATCACTTACCACCGGGATTGTAGGCATAAAACTGAAAAATACTAGTTTTTCGATCCGTTTCGAGGTCCATTTTCAAATTTTTTTAATAACTTAGATTTGTTCCTTTTAATTGAATGCTATTTGATAAAATTAGAATCTGAAACCAACGTTACATGAATTATAATTTTATTAATGACGTTACATAAATTACACGTACAATATTGTAGAAATTTATGTATCATATTAAATATTTTTTTAAAATAATTTTTTCAATAATTAAAAAAATGACAAACGTTCAATTTACGAGTTGACACTTGACATTGACAGTGAGACTGCAATCACAGAAAGCACCTAAGAAATTTGGCAGAGTATTGTCCACAATGCGAATACCAACATAGCTAAAGTCTATACTTAGAAACTTCCGCAGAATATCTCTAAATGTAATCTGTTTTATAATTATTAGATTTATATCAAATTTTAACATATATGCGATAAATTTTTAAGAGTGAAATGATAAAAATTGATAATTCAATTTGATTGCATTTGATGTTTTTTGCTTCTTGTTTAATAAATCTGAATAAATTAAGTGACTTAGAATACAAAAATTTATTTCTTGCAATGAAATTTTAATTATTGCTTAAAAACAATTTTTGACATACAGTGTAAAGTTTAATAAAGATTTTCTGAATTATGACATTTTTTAAGAAATTACCAATTCAACAAATAATAAACATTAATCAATTTTTTATTCTGAAATAAATAAAATTGTTTATTTAGATATAATTTAAAAAAAATGTTAAACCTAATATGAGTACAATATAAGGTAAAGAAGTTTGGGAATGAAGAAATGAGTAATGAAAACATTTATCTGCGGGGAGTTTGATCTCCGTTTATATTTAACAATTATATATATGTATAGAGTCATAAATGTACGTAATGTCATAAGGCACGGAACTTTCAATCCTCTCGAATGCAACTTACAAAAATGCTACACAAATAAAAAAAAGTAATTCATAAAAGTACGAACAATTACAAGATTTTTTTCCCTGACTTTCCCTTGAATTCCAAACAAAATTCTTACTTTTTCTTGACTCTAAAAAATATTCTAATGCAGTTTAAAAATTTTTACTCAGAAAAATGTTCTATTGCTTCTTTTTAAAATAAATATTTTATCATTATTATTTTTTCATAAGAATTAAAATTCTTCAAAACATTTAAATTTAAACCTTTTTGAAATTAAACAATTTAAAAAAAAATGGTTACAAAACATGAAGAAATCGATCACTCCGAGTCTTCGACTCGGACCAATCGATATCTTCATGTTTTATAATAATTAAAGATGGCAAATTGATAAAATAATTATTTTATATTATAAGAATATTGTTACTGGAACTTCATAAAAATGATTTTCATCATTTCAATTCAATTATTTTCTAAAATTTTTAACTAAAATTCTTCTTTAAATTAATTATTTTTAATCATTTTTGAAAAATTTCTTTGAAAATTTTGAATTTGACTAAAAATGTTTATTAAGGCGCTCTCACAGCTAGTAGGCAGCATACAAATTTGAATTTACTGTCTCTTTCACTCTAATTGATTTTCTCAGAGCTGTGAGAGCTCCATTAATTGGAATTCAAATTAGAAACCATTTTTACTAATTCAAATTTAGAGAGTTTAATATTCAATTATTATCTAAAATTTTAACTAAAATTCATATTTAAATCAATTTTTATTAGAAAATTCTACGAGGATCCAATTATTTAAATACAAAAATAAATAATTTATTGAATAATTGAATGTTTCTTAAAATTGAACCCTTTTTAAGTTCATCTATTTATGAAAATTGTAAACGCAACCTTTTTAAAATTCAGTTAATTTTGAAATAACTTTAAAAAACAATAATTTTTCAGGATTCCGATCAAAATTTCCTGACTTTTCCAAATTTTTTTCAAGTTTTATAAAATTCCCTGACATTTCCAGATTTTCAGGTTGCGTGGCAACCCTGGAAAATTGTTTCCAATTTTATTTTATGGTCAAAAATAGAGAAAGACTAACTTTCAAAATTCTCTAGGGCCTCCAATATTAAACTGGTTGAGAAATTTACAAAATTCCATATTATTTCAGAAAATTAAAAATGGCGAATCCAATATGGCGACCAGAATTTAAAAAGTTTATAGTTTTATTTCAAACTTTCCATGTAGAGAGTTTCCGGGCAACCACTTTTACATAAATTAAAAAGGGAATCTCTTTATAAGGGTTTTTTCTAGAAAGTAAACCTCTAAAACAATTTTTTTAAATTTTTACATATTTTCCTCACAAAATTGAAAAAATGATATGTTTTTGGGTCACTTTACCCCCGTAGAAAATGACAGGGGGTAAAAATTTGAAGTTTTATAGAGGTTTATTATTTAGTCTTTTAGATAAAGAATCGAATGGTTTTTTAAATTCCATAAGTCGATTGATATATTGAGAAATTTAATTTTAATTATAAATTCCGTCCATTATTGAGAATAACAAATAGGGAAAAGAAACGCGAATAAGTATTATACAAATTAAGAAGGGGTGACGTCATCTAATAAACGCAAATATTCTGTTCGAATTTAATAAAGAACAATATAAAGATCTGGAAATTGCCAATAAATTGTAAAATATCATGAATTATAAATACAATAAATAATAAAAGAAGATATAATATCATAGAGATATACCAACATACACACATATAAAACTAAATTGTCAAATATGAGTCATAGAAAACAATTTACTCTTCACGTTGCTTAAAGTTATATAATGGAGAAAAAGTAAAATCAATTATAAGTACGATCAATCAAACACAGCATTCAAAATTAATCAAATAAATGGCAAACTTATTTTAAGATTTTGGAAACCATCCGTAAGGAGGAAGCGGCAATCTTCATGCAGTGTTCGCAGACTAACATCTAACAGAGATGATTCAGGATCGCAGGTAATTTTTTAGAAATTTTATTATCACAGTAGTGGTGAAATAATTTCAATTAATACACTTTTTTACCCTAAGAATTAATTTTATATTAATTTAAGTTTGTGACATAAAAAAATAATAAAAGGCAAACCTACCCATTTGTGTCTTCGGTGAGCGCTCGGAGAGCCAGTCTCAAGGTGCAGTGATTGAGTAATGAGGAAAACTCATCATTACTCACACCTTGAAGCAAGACCCAAAATTTATGCTCCCCACTTTATGACACAAACAGACGGGCATATCGCACGTAATATTTCCTTTTTCCCTAATCCATTAAAAGGTCTCTCTTTCTTTTAAGATTGACAGCTTAATTAACATGATTTTAAATCCTATACGAGGAAACTACCACAACAACTTTGATGATCATTATTTTCGTTTACGATGCATATATATCAGACAAATCAGTCTGATTGGCGTTCACTTGAATTTAAGATTTCAAAATCGCTATTTTCACAAAAAAATCTTTAACTTTGAATAGGGTTATTCAGTCATCGACCTGAGGGTTACCTTTAATTATTCCTTAAGTTTTTCTGACCATATAACAAACATAATTGCTACTGCATCTAGAACCTTGGGCTACCTGATCAGGTCGTCAAAACCTTTTTCCAACATTTTCGCTATAACTTTGCTCTTTAATGCCTTAGTTTTATCTCGAATTGAGTATGCCGCGTTCATATGGAACCCTTTGTATAAGAAATACATCAATGAGTTGGAAAATGTACAAAAACGTTTTTTAAAATACTTGTCATTTAAAATGGACGGAAAATATCCACCTCGTGGAGCTGATTATCTCAAACTTTGTGAGCGCTTTAATTGCATGACGTTAGAAGAGAGACGTATAATAATTGTCTCAACAACCTTTTTATTTAAAATAATTAACAATAACATTAATTCGTCTGAATTGTTAAATCTACTCAATTTCAAGATACCTCGATTCAATTCTCGCAACTACATACCGTTTAATTTAAAGAACAAACTTGGTTTCTCGGGATTCAGTGCTCCAATTTTTTTCGCTTGTTACCACATCAATCAAATGTACAATACCCTGAATCCCGACCTTGACCTATTTTATTCTTCTTACGATAAATTCCTACAAACTACAGAGAAATATGTACTTCGACTACGAGGCAATGTTTACTAACGAAATTCTTTCAAACTTTTATCAGCAGCGTTCATTTTCTTTTTCTTTCTCTTTCTTTTTTTTTATTGTATTATTACCTTGTATACACTAATTAATATGTAACTCAATTCTGATACCCATTTATGGTCCATATGGATCGCGGAGAATGTATAAATAAATAAATAAACTTTAACCCTCCTACGGTTTTATCATTTTTCAATTTTGCATAAAATAAATTTATAATTTTGTTAAATTAATTTTGACTATTTCATATTTATTTTGATATTAAATATAACTTTTTAGCTTCAAGTACACTAAGAGTTTTATTTATATGACTCTCGTTGTGTTTTAGTCCATTTGACTCGAAATTTAGTGAACTTTAAAATGATTCTAATAGTTTGATAGCTTTTACACCTATTTTTACTGAAATATTTGAATTTGAAATGAAGCGAGCATTCAAATGTAATCAGTCTAAATGTACTGAAACTTTCTGACTCCAGTGTATATGGGTCATTCTCACAATCGGGATACATGACACGTACATTAGATTTTTAAAAATAAATAATAATAATTTTTCAAAATCTTTACGTCCTAATAATAGCATTCATCATGATTTAATCGGATCCTATGAAAAATAAATCGAAAATTTGAAATATTTAAAGATACACGTGTTTATATAGCATAAAAACTCCCCTCCGTTACCGTTCATGAAGTAAGTTTCATTTATAGAAAAGGTATTACATTAATTCTGTAATACAAAAAAATCTTTTGCCCGGTAATATCTACTTATTTTTTTATTTCTAATTCAATCATGAAAAATAAAGTAAAATATTTGTTAGTTATTTTTACCTAGAATTAAATTAGTTTTGTGCAGAAATAAAACTCCCCTCCGTTACCGCTCACAAATATAATTATAAAATATAAACAAAAACGATAAAATAGAAATAAATACATCAAAACTCTTTGTAGTGTCAGTATAGTTATGGTTATTGCATAAAATGATGAAACAAAATGAAAACAATTAGTTTTAAAAGAATCTTTAGTTTGTCAGTGTTCATCGACACAATAAAAACTCCCCTCCGTTACCGCAGTAAATTTAGTTTTTAGGACGTAAATAATAATAATTTTTAATAATCTTTAAAACATTGTTTTATTTAAAAACAAAGAAAACAAATGCTGTCATTAATTTATTTATAATATTTATTTTTTTTATATTAGAATCATAACATTTTGAAGCTGTATAATGGAAGAAAACTCCCCTCCGTTACCCATGGTATATTTCCATTACACAGCACGTAAATTACAGACTTTATTAATCATCGGATTCGCCTGAAAATCGTTACTCGGGGGTTTTTAGAGTTGCTGATTACGAATATGATAATAATTTTTGAAAATTCAAAATGGCGGATCCAACATGGCGGACAATTTTTTAAAACATTCATCGGATTTGCTTGAAACTCGTTACTCGGGGGTTTTCGGGGTTGCTGATTACGAATCTCATGTCAGTTTTTGAAAATTCAAAATGGCGGATCCAATATGGCCGACATTTTTTTTCAAAACTGCTCAGATTTGCATAAAATTTATTACTTGGTGGTTTTCGGGGTCGCTGATTACGAATCTGTTATTAGTTTTTAAAAATTCAAAATGGCGGATCCAACATGGCGGACACTTTTTGAAAAATTCATCGGATTTGCTTGAAACTTGTTATTAGGGGGTTTTCGGGGTCGCTGATTACGAATTTTGGGTCAGTTTTAAAAAATTTTAAATGGCGGATCCAATATGGTGGATAATTTGAAGATTGATGCTATTCGATAGAAATTCGTTCCTCAGGGGTTTTTGCACGGAGAAAAATTTTCTGTTAATGATTACAATAGTCGAACAGTACTGCTCGGATATGTGACCACTTTTCGTAATGCCTAAAGTAGCTTCGTTGTAACAATTCTGTAAGTCGAACGTACTCATTAAAAATTTATTTAAAATAAATACGAACTAAATATGAGTTAGCACAAAGTCTATGTGACTGATTACAATAGTCTACGTTAAAAGGAAATCTTGGATTCTATCCACATTTGCAGCAATCTAAGGGAATCAGTGATACAGTCTGTAGTAGTCTTTACAACAGGACTATTGTAAAATAAGGTGACCGCGGCTGCCTTGCCTTCTTATTTTACTATATTTACTTATATTTTACTATACTTCTAATCATGTATTGCACATTAATTTCACTCTTCCAAGACTACCCACTTCAAGATTAATTATATTATTAAACTAGACAATTTTACTAAACCCTAAGTACACAAATCTAACTTAAATACTAAACGCATAACATAATAACGATCGCTATTTACACATATTTATACATGACTTAAACTTCCTTATATACTAACTGCTATGAAAGTTCACCGCTTGCGAGAAAGACTTATACACTTTAAATGTAAAAAAATCACTTCGTTCTCAGTAATTAATGCAATTATAATTAATACAATTATTGTTCATTGTTAGTCTTTAATATTGTAAGGTCTATTTTTTATTACATTTCCATAGTGAAAATTTTTTTTTCTAACACACGCACCGAAGGTACAAGATTTCTTGCCTGTATAAATTGTTATATAATTTACACAACTTACGTAAGTTACGTACATAAAAAAGTAAGTTAACTTACGTTAATCACGTAAGTTACGTAAATAATGTATAATACGTTTAAAAATAAGTTACGTAAATAATGTAAGTTACGCAAATAACTGATAATAAATTATAATAATAATAATTGCACTTACGTAAATAACGTACTATAGTAAAATAAGAAGGCAAGGCAGCCGCGGTCACCTTATTTTACAATAGTTCTGTTGTAAAGGCTACTACAGTCTGTATCACTGATTCCCTTAAACCGCTGCAAATGTGAACAGAATCCAAGACTTCCTTTTAACGTAGACTATTGTAATTATAATAAGTCTCTGCGTGAATGAGTACAGTTCCCTTTCTGAATCTGTACGTCTAAATTATTAATGATTCCAAAAAATAAATTTCAACACGATTAATACAGTGTTTGGATTCATTAAAGTAACTATAGTAATCGCTCCTACTAAATTCTTAATAAATGACATAGTTTTCGTAATCATTACAAAAAGTGGTCACATATCCGAGCTCTAATATAGACTATTGTAATCATTACGAAAGAAATTTTCTCCGTGTGGGGTCGCTGAATTCGAATTTGATGTTTGTTTTTGAAAATTGCAAATGGCTGATCTAGTATGAATAATTAATTAGATTGGGTTAAAACTTGTCGCTCTGGGGATTTCGGGATTTTGAATTTTCAAAAACTGACATCGGATTCGTAATCAGCAACCCCGAAAACTCCCGAATAACGAGTTTCAAGCATACCCGATGAATTTTTGAAAAGTGTCCACCATATTGGATCCGCCATTTTCAATTTTCAAAAACTATCTTGAAATTCATAATCAGCGACCCCGAAAACCCCCGAGTAACGAGTTTCAAGCAAATCCGTTAAATTTTTGAAGAAAGTGTCTGCCATATTGGATCCACCATTTTGGATTTTGAGAAACTGACATCGGATTCGTAATCGCGACCCCTAAAACCCCTGAGTAACGAGTTTTAATTAATTTTCATCAATTTTGAAACCCATTTAGCTGCGAGAAATTTTCAACAAAAATTCTGATTAAAAAACATTAATTTTTAATAATAATGTTGATAAAGATTGTAACCACGTATTTTATAGGCTTATTAGGATCCCCCTTTTGCCAAAGGACTAATAATAAAAGTGAATTTTCAACTTTTTTTAAAATGAAATTTCAATTCTGAATTTGTTCCTTTCTAGAGATTGACCCATATATTTTTTTCACTTTTTATTTTTATTAAATTTTGTTACTTGCGACAATATCATTTATTACTATATTCTTAGGCATGGTTGTCTGTGACTGATTTAATTACTATATTGAATATAGAATAATAATTCTTTCTCACCATGTTTATGTTTAACATACAATCTTAGAGTTGTAAAATTAAATATATTTTTTTATAATTATATACTCATGTATCTTGTTCTATAGTGGGTTCAGTAGCCCTAGGAACTTATTTTTGAATAAATAAATAAAACCTTATTTACATGAGGGTGTGAATTACACGAGGAAGTAAATTTGTTTGCTGATTGCAAAAGGGAAGTAAAATAATTCATGTAATGAAGATTTGTATTTACTACTTGTTTTACTGATATTTTATATTTTTCTTTTCTCCAAATTTGCCCTACTTCTAAACACTGTTGTAGAAAAACAATTTAAGATACAGATTCCCCTCGTTCTATTCCCATAAGAATCACCCGAAGCGTGAAAATTGACTTTTTAGAAAGTAAGAACCGTTTTAACTGGCCCGGTCACATATTATACTCTTCTCCCAAATACACTAAAGTGAGACTATCAGTTTCTCGAACTAATTTCCATAATTGACTCGCCCGTATTCAATCCCACTATTTATTTGAAAAAAGTAAACATTTTTTGGTTCAGTACTATTTTTTTCAGTGCAGAATATTTTTGATATCGCTTACAAAACATTAATCAAATATTCAAATAATTAATTTTAACAATTTTTTTTAATATTTTTTTTTTAAATAAAAATATTTCAATATATAAAAAATTAAGAGGTTAAAAATTCAAATGAATTCAGTAAAACCAAGAAAAGATATTCTATTTTTAAAAATGCTTTGGAAAATAAATTACGTTAGTCAATTTTAAAAAAAATTTATTTAATACTTAAACACTTTCTTTTACATTATCAAAAGACAAAAGATACCAAGTTCAATAAGTAAGTATATATCCCGAATATCACAAATTTTTATTTGTTGAACTTTGAACTGAAATGAAATTATCGAATGTCATGAAACAGTATCTTACAAGAATTAAAAAAGAGCACTAAAATTACTGAAATCAGCAATTAGTAATACAAATAACTTTCGTGTAATTCATCAACTATTTTACATAAATTTTTAATAATCAATGTTTGGCTGATGAAAGTGATATACAGTATGTAATTCACCTATTTTTTAAAGTATAATTTCAAAATGTAAAATATGAAAAGTAGTATTTAAAAAAAATGTTTAAAAACTGTCAAGTTTCATTCAGAAACTTGATGATAACTCATAATAAGAATTAACCATATGCAGAAATCTATTATAGATATTGCTTCAATCAAATAACATCTTTTCACTTTATAAGATATTAATTTTTCCTTCTGATGAATGAAATGATATTAGAAATTTAAAGAACTAAAAAAAAACTCACAAGTTTAATCTGTTTTTGATAAAATTTCGATAAAATAATAGATAATTTGTCAATACTTACAAAAAAAGAGTTTAAAAACCGGTAGACCAAATGAAATTTACGCTAATGATTGATAAATGTTGATACTGTCTAGCGCAGACGCGTTGGAAGTCAATACTGAAAGCAGGGTTGAAAAGTTAATTGTAAGTCTAAACCTTTTACGTATCTTACGTAATTATTTGTAAATGACGAATATCCATTCAGGGTTAGGAAAGTATTAATAAAGGCCAAACACAACATTGCTAGCAGATTGCTAGGATTTAGGGTGGAGTCCCATGACAGCGTTTTGCGTTGCGTCGTAATGGGAGAAAAAAAGACGCAAATATACGTTTGCTGCATTCTCTCTCATTACAACGCAACGCAAAACGCTGCCATGGGACTGCGGCCTTATAGAAAATGACAGAGAGTGTTTCTATCCTTTTCTATCTTATTATCTGAAGCCCAAAGCATAATAAGGGTACGTCCACAACACGTCTTTTGGAAAAACTCAAAAACGACTCTTGTCTTTCTCTTACCTATGACAGAGGCAGCAGTTTGTCTCACTCAGCATTTTCTTACTTTTTCCAAAAAGGAAAATATAGAGTGAGAGATAACAAACTTATGCCTCTGTCATAGAAGAGAGAAAGACAACAATAGTGTTTCCAAAAGTCGTGTGATCTTCCCTATGGTTGAGTCCACAATAGGCGAATAGAAATCGATGTAGAGGGTATGCATCGCTTTAAGAAAAGTGCCTATTGTACTCAACCTAAAGGCGCTTGTATACCTCCCCGTTTCTAAGGGTGGAGTCCCATGACAGCGTTTTGCGTTGCGTCGTAATGGGAGAGAAAAAGACGCAAATATACGTTTGCTGCATTCTCTCTCATTACAACGCAATGCAAAACGCTGCCATGGGACTGCGGCCTAAGTATATCAGAAACGTCCAGCGTTTTGATTGGCTATGCTCATAGAGAATTTCCAAAAGAGTTTGATGTTTTGAAAATTCTCTATGAGTATAGCCAATCAAAACGCTGGACGTTTCTGAATATACTCAGGGTACGGTTCCATGATGAGCAGAAAACACAATGCAAATCAGAATTTCGTGAGTGCAAGAGAGATAGTCAGTTATCACTATCCTTTTCACTCTCACGAAATTCTGCTCATCATGGGACCGTACCCTCAGAAACGGGGAGGTATACAAGCGCCTTAATGGAGCATTTACACCTTTGGTAAAAAATTGTCCAGAACGGAAAATTTACATTGGAGTAAGAGAGACAGATACACAGTCTGTCTCTTTTACTCCAATATAGATTTTCCATTCTGGACAATTTTTACAGAATGTATAATGTGATTTTGACATTTTTGCCATTGATTTTCGATGCGCAGAACTCAACCGAAGAAAGGAAGGCATTAAGCATCGGTGTATGTACATACAAAGAAATCTGTGAAATCTATTGTACACTCAATAACATATATGCTTCCCTTCCGGTTTGGACAACTTTTTGAAAAGTGGTGTGCCTTCTATAAGAATGTTTTAGGTCTATGGCTTAAGTCTATGGTTTAAGTCCATAGACTTAAAACATTCTTGTAGAAGGCATATCACTTTTCAAAAAGTTGACCAAACCGGAACGAAAGCATATATGTTATTGAGTGTATTTTTATATTTATGAGCCTATTGTGGACACTGCCTTATACGCTTACGAAATAAGGCTGGAGTCTCATGACAGCGTTTTGTAACTAGGCCATGAGTGTGAGAGAGATACAGATATAGGTTTGCTCTATTTGCACTCATTGCCTAGTTACAAAACGCAACGCAAAACGCTACCATGGGACTCCAGCCTCAGGGTGGAGTCCCATGGCACCGTTTTGCGTTGCGTTTTGTAACTAGGCCATGAGTGAAAATATAGCAAACATATATCTTCATCTCTCTCACACTCATTGCCTAGTTACAAAACGCAACGCAAAACGCTGCCATGGGACTTCAGCCTCATGTTACGGAAGCTTCTACGCGCCACCCTGCGGCACTCACTCGCTTTACGAGGCACAAGGCAAATGTCGTTTGAAGCACCCTGCTAGTGAATGCCTTGTACGATGCCTCGGTGTGTGCCTCGTAGGGTGCCTCGATGCGTGCTTTGTGCGACCAGTAGTAGACCAGTGTTTTGAAATTTTAAACGGCTTTAAATGTAAATCAGAATTCTCAAAAAAAAAATTTGACTAGTTCAGGTTAAATTAATAACTAATTGCTGTTAATATTTTTAAATTAAAAAGTGTAAATTTTAGAATAATTACAAATTTTGTTGAATCTTTTTTTGGATTGTAGTGAGGGTGTTGAAATGTATTTTTACTTGAGAGATAGGTTATATAACCTCTAGTTGTCTTAAAAATTTTAAGCAAATATGTACATCTTGAATAATTATTGAATTCAATCCTCATATATAAAAATATATTGAATCGTACTTGCAGCTTGTCATAAATAACTTTTTTGGTAGGTGAAAATGGTGAAAACATAACCTTGACATTTTATACTCAAGTAAAAGAAACATTTCAACACCCTCACTACAATCTAAAACAAGATTCAACAAAATTTGTAATTGAAGGGTGGCATGACAAAAATGGTCAAGCAACAATTTAACGATTTTACAGGAAACGAAAATAACACATTTAAAATTTTTTCTGATCATTAAAGAAAAATCTAAAAAAAAACCGTTTGGAAATACTATTTCGCTCAATCAGTAGAAATAAAATTTATGAAGATAAACCTACAACCTACATATTAGTGAGAAAAATAAGTAAAAGTGTACTATTTTGTGGTTACGTCAAATGCGCATATTTTGTTATAAAATTATAATTGTTAAAAAATATACAGTTTAAAGAAAAACTGAAAAATTAGTTTTTTAATATTGAAATGACGAATTGAATGCAAAAAAGTTTGCTTTGAAAAAGTTGTTTGTTTTCAAGAAAATTGTTAATTTAATGTTAACTTTTGAAAGTAAAAAGTATAGAAATTATCAAATGTAAACTACAAACAGGAATATTTAAAAATTAACAGAAGAATAATATTTAAATTATTGAAAATTAGATAAAGAATAAAAATTATTTCTAAATAGACATACAGTTTTTCAGAGAAATTTAATATATATTTAATGATATAAAAAAGAAATAAATATTTTTAACGATATTAATCTATTCATAATAATATTCATTTCTTTTGTTTTTTAACTGAATTGCATTGTAAGTAAAAATATGTAGGCTATTGTCTTATTCTTATTTTTATTAAAAACGAGTTTAAAAAACAATTTACAAGAAAATCCTTTTACAGAACTGTGTAAAAGAATTTACCTGATTTTTTTCTAAAAATATCTCAATTTCGAAAAATTGTTGCTGACTCCCTTTTGTCATGCCACCCTTCAATTATTCTAAAATTTACACTTTTTAATTTAAAAATATTAACAGCAATTAGCTATTAATTTAACCTGAACTAGTCAAATTTTTTTTTTGAGAATTCTGATTTACATTTAAAGCCGTTTAAAATTTCAAAACACTGGTCTACTACTGGTCGCACAAAGCACGCATCGAGGCACCCTACGAGGCACACACCGAGGCATCGTACAAGGCATTCACTAGCAGGGTGCTTCAAACGACATTTGCCTTGTGCCTCGTAAAGCGAGTGAGTGCCGCAGGGTGGCGCGTAGAAGCTTCCGTATCATGTAGCTGTATCTACATAAGGAAAAAATAGTGAGAAACGCGTGACGCAGACGCGAAACGCAAAAAATTGCCATGTATTTTTCTTGCGTTTCGCGTTTGCGACGCGCGTTTCTCAACTTTTTTACGTATTGTAGAGGCAACATAATGTAGATACAGCTTTTCTCTGTCTCATTATTCAACGCAAAACGCAGCGTTAGGGTACATTTATACGACGGTCGGTAGAAAAAAAATTTACCGAAAAAGTCAAAATCGCGTTCACACTTCGCTTTTCCGATAAAATGGAAAAACTGTTTCTAGCGGGAATTTAAAAATTTATATTTTATTAAAATGAATTAACACTGTTTCAGTAAGAAAATAGTTATTTTTATTAGATGAATATTGTTCTTTAATGATTTACAATAGGAAGATGAATTTTCTTGATAAATAACCATGTAAATAAATATTAATTAATTTTTGTTTTGACAAGTTGTAAGCAACGTCACACCTGTTGTTGATGCGGAATTTTGTGTGAAAAAAATTTCATTATGAACGTTACTAATCTAAATTAAACAAAACCAAATAAAGATTTATTAGGGATTTAAATTATCAAACAATAAATTACAACTGCATATTATGTTTACAAAAAATTTACTTGCTTTATGTTGAAGGGTTGTCATACATTTATAGGTTATGTACACAATTACATCTACTACTTTTCGAAAAATAACTTATACTTATATATACAAATAATAAAATGCATATTAAATATCCCCATTAAACATTTTTATTTAAATTATATAAATATTAATTAATAATTTATCATTATACTTACAATTTCACACAAAATTCCGCATCAACAACAGCTGTGACGTTGCTTACAACTTTTCAAAACAAAAATTAATTAATATTTATTTACATGGTTATTTATCAAGAAAATTCATCTTCTTATTGTAAATCATTAAAAAACAATATTCATCTAATAAAAACTTGATTTTTCTTACTTAAAACAGTGTTAATTCATTTTAATAAAATATAAATTTTTAAATTCCCGCTAGAAACAGTTTTTCCATTTGTTACGAGCCGAGTTACCTTTTATTACGCAACTCTAACAATGGCATTTGATTGGCCGGATTCTCATTAGTTTAATCCTTTAAAAAGGAAGCGGGAAGGTTTAAAATAATAAAATGTTTAATTCCGGTACAACGGAAGGGAAACCCGTTCGAAAGAAGAATAATTATTAGTTCTCCTTTCGAAGGTAAAACCCTGTAAATTTATTAAAATATCAAAAGATACAAACTGACTGAAAAACAAGCTTTCAAGTCAGAGTCAAGATTAGAACTAAAGTTGAAGTGAAGTCTAGCGAAGACGTTCTCCGCTGAAGTCCAAATTTATAAAACTGCGCATGCGTCAGTTGGACGCACACACACACACACACACAAAATACACTGTACGTCATATAATAATGACACTCACACATTTAAGAAGTATCATGTATCATCTCACAACATACAGCATACTGTATTCTAAATAATAATAATTAATAGCAATAATTATTAATAATATAATTAATCAATATTAATTATAACGCAGAGTCTTTATACATTTCGTATTCTCTAAAATTCCACTGCAATCCCTGCAGTCACAAATGTGTTGAACACATGTTCCATTGTCCTTTAGAAAACGGCACTTGAGATATTTTTTACATTACTTCGAAGGATTAGGTTTTATGACCTAAGAAATTCAATATCCAATTTCTATTTTAACTTTACAAGATTTACGACATTTCTAAGAAATGTTTTTCGTTCGTAATATAAACACAACAAGTTTGGAATTTATTTAAGTGTGACAATTCTTCTAACAAAGAATTTCCTGTTTTCATCTCAGAGATTTTCGCTTTAACCCGTGGGAAATATTATTTAGAATTACCAAATTGTTTATATTTATTTATTTATAAACTATTAAAATTTAGCGCTTTTATATCGCAATTCGATATATCGAGAATGTTCGAGCGAGATAATAGTCGCTCGTCACACATTATATCGGAAAAGCGAAGTGTGAACGCGATTTTGACTTTTTCGGTAAATTTTTTTTCTACCGACCGTCGTATAAATGTACCCTTAGAACGCAAGCATAGACAAATGTCTATTGTGAACTCAACCTTAGATTTGACAATTGTTATTCAGGATCAGGTATCAGGATCAGAAATCCTTGTTTTGTCAGTAAACAAAAATGAAATGTGAAAATGCAAAGTGTTGATGAATTTCAAAAGGTTGTTGGCCGTAAAAATAAGAAAAAATTGAAATTTAATATTAACAAAGAAATTTCAAAAAATTTGAATACGAAAGCAAATATAACCACTGATAACCTCATTCGGTATGTAACATTTTTCTTAATTATTACAAAATACAGCTCAGGAAATAAAATATTTCTATTTTTTATAAAATAAAGTAAAATTAAAGATATACTTTCTTTATTTTGAATTGATAAAATATCCTTTTGAAAACATTTCTTTAATCTTACATAACTGAACATTTCTTCAAATTTAAAAAAAATGTTAAATTATTCTTTATTTCTCCTAAATTTAGTATAAGGAAATTTTTTAGCTATAAAATATTTACTACTTTTATTTGTAATTGTCTAAAATTAAAAAATAGAACATAAGTGTAAATAAATGAAAGTGGAAGACTTCAACTTTCATCTCATCTTTATTTAGAGTCGGTGCATCAATTACTGCGATTTTTAGAAAATTATTATTTACTGTGTCAGTCCACTGACTTTCTTCTGAAAGTTTAATTAATTGGAATTACAATTTGCCAAAATAAATATAATTATATTTAATAAATAAATTTGAACAAAATTCTTGGCAAAATTACAATTATTTTCAAAGATGTTCTTCAATTCAATGATTTTCAATATCTACTATTTTAATAAAATTTTCCAAAAGAATTCAATTATTTACAAATTTTTTATAAATTTCTTCGCAATAATTCCATTATTTTCATAAATAATAAATTTTTTTCAATGATTTAATAAATTATTTTCATAAAATAATAAAATTCTTCGCAAAAATGTAATTATTCGGAATACAATTTTAATAAAACTTTTCGAAAGATTTCAATTACCTACTTTGAAAAGTTTTAATAAAATTCTATATAAAAATTGAATTATTTTAAATGTAATTTTAATTAAATTCTTAAAAGAGTTTAATTATTATAATAAATTCTGTAAAATTTTAAGCAACATAAAATTTTTTGCAAGAATTCAATAATTTTCACAAATAGGAAATATAATTTTTTACCAGAAGAATTATTTGACAACATTTTTATAAAATTCTTCCCAAAAATTCAATTACTTCACAAACAATAAAATTCATTAAAAAATTTGCAATTATTATTTTCAACAATTTAAAATTTTTTCATGGAATTCAATTAAAATTGTAGGTATTGAAAATTATTTAATTATTTTAAAGAATTCTATCAAAATTCTTATGAATAATTGAATTTCTTCGAAGAATTTCATTAAAATTTTTAAAATAATTAAATCTGATCGAAAAATTTTTAAAAAAAATTGAATTCCGACGAAAAAGTTTTATTAAAACTTCTGAAAATATTTGAATTTCTACGACAATTTTGATATTTATTAAAATAATTGAATACTAACCAAGAATTTTATTAAGACTTTTCACAATAATTGAATTTCTGCAAAGATTTTTATTATTTAACGAAAATATTAAAAATTTTATAAAAATTCGTTTTAAAAATTCAATTAATTAAAAATTTGTTCATGTTTTCTAATAACTTTACAATTAAAGAAATTCGTAAATACGCGAAAGAACATTTTTTAGTATTTAATCATTTTTAGAGTGAATCAGAATATTTTTTACGGTCAAGAAAAAAGTCCAAATTTTTTCTGGAAATCAGAGAAAAGTCAGGGAAAAACATAATTAAATTTTTGTGTTAATCCTGATAATGTATCTTTTATTGAAATTTTACGAAGGTTTTTTTATTCGTTCTAAAAATAATAATTATAAAAATTTTTATTTAAAAAGATTCTTAAAAATATATTTGCAAAACCCCCAAAATTTATAAAGGTTGAACAAAAAAGTTGTAAGTGAAAAAAAATAATTTTTCGTTCACAAATAATAAAACTCTTATTATAAATAAATATTTATTTATTATAAACTGTCTTTTAACGCAGTAATTGAAACGTGCATTTAGCTTTAATTACTGGAAATAACTTAACCATAAAAGAAGGATCTTTTGATTATTCTATTCGCCATAAATTTGATCGAAAAGATGTTTCTGCGATCCAGTCTTTCGTTTGTTAAAATTCTTCATCATTTATTATAAACAAAAAATTAACATTGCTAACATTGAAAAAATTACTGAATTTAAGCTCTTTTTCAGTTCTCTTCTTGCTGCTGTTGTTGATTTGCAGAAATCCCCATTTAACGAGAGTATTTTTAACATTTTATCAAAATCACTAAGGGTTTTAAATTCAAACGTGCTTGTCGAAGTAATTTGCTACGGACTGGGTAGCTTTAGTAAATATAGATCATCCAAGTATCAATTAGCAACTCTTGTTCTAATTAAAAATCGCTATTGCTGCAAAGTATCAGTGTCTGATCCAGTTTTTAATGAAACCGAACGTGAGGTTCTAAAGACTTTGGAATTGAATGTTATTAGAGAAAATGAAGAAGGTAAACGCGTTGTAACTAACAGTTTACCGACGCTCATTTTCATGCCACATTGCCCGAGTCATTTGCTGAACAACTTTTTGTTTTCTAATTGGAGTTCACAATTGACGAATTGTGTCATTTTTTGCAACAGTTGGTCCGAAATAGTTGAACAAAATCCCCTTGCATTCTTGAAAAATGAAACCAATTACATTTCTCGAATTAATCCTCACGTAGTTGAAATTGAAACGGAAAGCGATGTAGAGTTTATGGAAATATTTAATTCAACATCTTCTCATATATTTCCTAAATTATCGGAAATAACAAGAGACTTTTGGCAGCCAAACGAAGAGCCTATTTATCCAATTGAAAGCACTGAATTTATCAGAAAGTAAATGCTCAACTGTTCTTAGTACTTAAACTTTCGTCTTCTTTTAATGGAGCACTAGTTGTAATACAAGGTATGCAATCAATTTTCAAACATTTGAGTACAAAAATTTAATTTAAAATTATTAACATAAAAATGTTGTTCTGTTTCACGAAGTTTTCCACTTTCATGAAAAATATATTAAGAAAAAATGTTCCTTTTCTTCAATGAAAACTTTAATATTTTTTCCATTTCAGAAAACAAGAAAAATGAATAGCGAATTAAAAGTAGTACGATCGCTCTTGCAAGGAATAAAGAATACGTCGCAATGGAAAACTCTTGGCGACAAACGAATGGTACAATATATTTTGAAAGAGACACGTGTTCATAAAGAAACATGCGAAATTTATTGTAAAGCTCGCGAGGAATTGAAAACTTTGGCTGACAATTATTTACTTTATCTCACGTCTCGTCAAAAGTATGAAGACATTCAAAGGCAATTTAGTGGTAAAGGTGAACGCAGCGTTCAGGAAGTTGCTGAGTTAGTTGGTTTCAAATTACCCAATAGTACAAAGTAATTTATCTATTTTTTAAATATGTAATATTGTAAAAAATTGTATCATGTATACATGAAATATAATACAGTTTGTCTATATTTAATGATCAATTATTTAATCCAAAAATTTGATACATGTGAATTTGGAAAACGTTCAATCAACAACATAAAAAATTGTAATAAATAGTTTACCAAATTATAAACAAAAACACGTGTATTATAAAGTAGAACAGAATCTATAGGCAATCTAATGAATTCAGAGGGATGACTCAAACAAGTGTTCGGATAACAATGGTTTTTAAAAAATACATGGCTCGATACCCACTTCAAAAATATATGGTTTATCACCCACTTGTCGAGGAGCGTTTTGTATAAAAAGGGCTAAACTGAACATTTTTAATAAATCTGAATTTTCGCAAAGTTTTTTTAAAAATTCTGAAAAATAAGATTTTTGAAATTTTTCAATCCTCGAAAAATGTAATTATTCTTAAAAAATTTATTAAAATTCGTCAAAATAATTCAAATATTTCTAGAAACTGTAAAAAAATTCTCAAGAATTCAATTATTTCCATAAATAGCAAAATTCTTCAGATTTACTAAATTCTTTTGAATATTATTTTTAAAAAATATTCTTCACAAGATTTAAATTATTTTCATAAATTTCCATAAAATTCTAAAAAACAATTCAATTATTTTTAAAATTAATAAAATTCTTCGCAGAAATTCAATTATGTTTAAATTTTTTTTTAAATTCTCCTCAAAATTTCAATTATCTTTATAAATAATTAAACTGTTCTCCACAATTCAATTATTTTCAAAAATTTTAATAAAATTCTACGCAAACATTTATTTATTTCCATAAATATATGTAATAACTTTCTTTGGAAGGATTCAATTACTTTTATAAATAGTAAAATTCTTTGTAGAAATTCAATTAGTATCAATATATTTTAATAAAATTGAATTAATCAAAATTTCAATTATAGGTAATTATGAACAGACAATATTATTTTAAAAAATTGAAAAAATTCTTTATTTAATTCAATTATTTTCCAAATTTTCGATTAAAATTATTTTCAAAAAATTTAAAGAAACTTGTCAAAAGAATTTAATTATTCATAAAAACTAATGAAAATTTAGGAACCTATTTGTAGATTAATGAGAAAAAAAGTTAAAAATTTTAAAAAAATTAAAAATTTAAATTTAAATTTAAATTTGATGAGAAAAAACCGGGAAAAATTAGGACAAAGCCGGGAATTTTGTTGAACGAAAATAGTTGACACCCTGACAATGTTTTATTAAAATTTTTTAAATTTTTTTCTGCTTTCTTGGGATAAAAATATGGTAACTGTCATATTTAACAATAAATTAATATCTAATGATAGAAAGAAACGGCAATAAAAATCTTTTAAGTTTTGTTAGATTAAACAAATTTTTAGTTAATAAAAAAATTTTAATTTTTATATTTAAATTTATAGAAATTTTCTGACGTTCCCTGACTTCCCTGACCGTTAAACAACCTGAATAACTTTTTGTGTCAAAAAAATTTGGTGGATAAAATATTATTGGAAATATATTACGGTGAAGAAATGCAATAGTGGAAAAAATGTCTGACTCGCGAATTACAAGCATCGAATTAACTGCAACTATTGGAGATTTTTGAAATTTAGTTACTATTTTATAAAAAGGTAGCAGAACTTAACTTTAGATTTAGATATTTATTTAGATTGTGTCATTCGTATTATTCAAGGCTTTAAATCCCTCCAAAAAATCAAAAAAAATTCTTTACAAAAAAATAAATAATAATTAATGATATTTAGTATAAATGTCATTTATTTAGATATATATAATTTTATCCTTTTAATTATGGTTACATGGTTATTTTTAGTTTCTTTAAAAAATATTACGTGACTTGCTCCCAAAAAAAGTACGCAAGTTCTGTTTTCGAAAAAAGTCAACATGAAAACCAATTATAAGTTGTGTTTGTGTTAGATTTATCCTCCTTTAAAAGGTTTAAAAGTTCCTTTTTGATTTTGTAAATTTGAAACTAGGTTTTTTATTGAATATTTTGGATCTAATGAAGACTTAAACATTAATAAATGTCTAATGCTGATTTTCTTTCTCTATTCTTACTCAAAAAATAATAAACATAACCAAAAATTTTTTGCTTCTTGGGGTACCTTTCTTGGGAGCACGTCACCTAAAAGCATAAAGTACACAAGAATAAATTACTTTTTACCGTAATATTTGTTTTAATTTCTGCGTTAGACTAACACACTCAATCGGAGAGAAAATCTCATACAAATAATATGGAAGTAAACGTTTTCTTTCAAGTATATTATATATATCATTTAACTAATTTACAAATACTTTGTGGAAAACAGATTTTTAAAAGTTCAATTCTTTCTGAATTCAATTCCTTTAAGTATGAATACGATACGGTATATGCTTTAAGTTTATAATCAGACACATATAAAGCTTATTTCTAATTTATCTTAAGACAAGTTTTTCTTCTATAGTTAGATGCTTAGGTTAGAATAATCTTTTTACATTTTACTTAAAAACTAATACATTTCATTTTTCAAAAATACATTTATTCTCTCTATATTTTCTATAATCTGCGACGCTCTGCAACAAAATTTATACCTTAGCTCCAAAAAATTTGAGGTTATGTTTCTGTTAGTTTTTCCTTTATTAAGAGGGTCTGGTGTTCGTACCTGTATTGAAAACTCAAAGCATGTTTTTTTATTTTAGAATAAAGTATAATCACATTAAATATTTTTACATTTTTTAATTCTTATTTTATGAATTATTGAAAAAAAAAATTTATGTCTATTTTTATCAATTTTTTTTTATGGATATTAACATTAATGATTATTATATGAAAATAAAGTTTTGTTAAATAAATTAAGAACTAAACCATCGAAACGTCGCAATTTGAAAAAATAATAAATTTGTTTTTGTTTTCCCTTTCCATTAATCGAATATACTTCTCATCTAAACAATACACCTGAAGGGGAATTTTTCATTCAATTTTAAATTTTTAAAATGATTTAATCATGCGCTAAAAAAATAAATAAAGTACTCTAAAAAAATAAAAAAGGAATTTGAAGAAATTCAGAAAATGACGTCAAAAAAATATGACCAATTTTATCACACCGACTAGCATTTAGATTTAGAGACCGTGAAAACAAAATGGTAACTTTTTTCATTAATGAAAACAATATCCTGTTTACATAACTACTCAGTATGAACTAAGTAAACATTTATTAAAAAAGATGTCTTATGGAGGTTTTAAACGTTTTATAACATTTATAAGTTTTCCAGTAAAATTACGCTTCTATGCTTTAGTAGAAAGTTCCTAAACTCTAGCCATAAGATATAATTTTTAAATTATAAAAATTGTTTATTGCCATTGTATAAAAAATTAGACTTTGAATACATAAATTTAACATTCCTTTTTTTTTACGCCGAACGGGGTGAAGTTAACAGTTTTAATGAAAATGGTTTGAGTTTCACTCTAAAGAAGGTTAAAAATAACGTTCTTGAAAATTTTAAATTGTAAATAAGAAAAAATCTAAAAATGATGGTCATTCTGTTTCACAGATTGTTATTCAGTAAGAATCAGCTCTTCCGGTTTGAATGTCCGGTAGCTTTCTTCTTGTTTTCATTCAAAAGAATATAGTTATTACATTAAAATATTTTAATAATCTAGTTTGAATATTATTTTTCATTGACTAATATTATCTTATTATTAAAGATACTTTAATGAAATGTTGATTTATTATACAAGTCTTTATTACATGATATTCATTTACTTAAATGATAATACATTTCTAACAATACTCATCAAGATGTTAAAGGTGACATGCCAATGGTTCTGGGATCTTGTTGATTAGCTTGCGTTGAAGCTTGTTGAGCGGAAGGACCTGTTTGTGGGCCAGTTTCTAAATTCTTTAAAAGTTCATTTAACCAGTGCTCAGTAGACATGTCTTCCTGCAGACAAGTCGCAAATGTATTGTCTCTCAACTGATCGGGCAAACACTGCCGCAATGCCAAAAGAGCTCTGCATAAGAATAAAATCACAATAAAATTACAACTTAATAGCAAATCATCAAATTATGGCGCTTGTTTTAAATACTTATGTGTAGCAATTACAAAATCATTCAAAGATGCAGAAAATAAATCTAAATTTTCATCCTCAGTTTGGAGAAACAAATAATTCATATAATGAGCACATACGATAATTTAATTTTTACGAAGAATTTTATTAACAACTTTTGAAAATACTTAATTTCTTTTAAAGAATTTAATTAAAATTTAAATGAAATTTATTATATTAAAGAATTTTATAACAATTTTTGAAAATAATTGAAAACTTTTTGAAGAATTTTATTAAATTTTTTAAAAATAATTTAATTCCTGAGAAGAATTTAAATAATAATTGTGTCACGCTCCGAAGAAAGGTACCTAAGAAGTAAAAAATTTGAGGTTATGTTTTTAATTTTTTGAGTAAAAATACAGATAGATAGAGAATCAATTATTAATTAAAAATTATTGCTCTTCAAGTCTTCATTATATTCAAAATATTCAATGAAAAATGGTTTTGAATTCAAATAATTAAAAATAAACTTTTAATTAAGATAAATCCAAAATTCTAACACGAACCTAACCCATAATTCGTTTGCTTCTTAGGTACTTTTCTTGGAAGCGCGTCACAATTTTTGAAAACAATTGAATTCATGAGAAGAATTTTATTAATATTTTTGAAAATAATAATTGACTTCTTGAGAAGAATTTAAAAAAAATTTTTGACAATAATTTAATTCTTGAGAAGAATTTTTTCTATCTATTTATAACGATAATTTAATTCTTAAAGAGAATTTTAAAAAAATTTTGAAAATAATTTAATTTCTGCAAAGTATTTTAGTACTTTGCAAAAGAATTGAATTCTTGTGATGAATTTTGATATTTATCAAAATAATTGAATTTTTTGGAAAAGAATTTTATTAAAATTCCTTAGAATAATTGATTTTAAGGGATGAATTTATGCGATTTTGTTGTTTATCAAGCTAATTGAATTTTTTTGCAAAATTACTTAAAAATTTTTGAAAATAATTGATTTTCTGCGACGAATTAAATGTTATTTATGAAAATATTTGAATTATTGCAACGAATTTTATTGTTTTATTGAATAATTGAATGTTTCTTAAAATTTAATTCTTTCCACAAGTTTTGATAAAATTTTTAATAATAATTGCATTTTTCAAGGAATTAATTGAAAATTGTATTAAAAATATTTGTAATTCTGCGATAAAAATAATTGAATTCGTAAATGAAATTTTATTATTTATGAAAATAATTGAATCTCTTCGTAGAATTGTATCAAAAAGTTTTTTCTATAATTAAATCTGTTGATAAATTTTATGAAAATAGTAAATATTGAAAATTATTGAATTGCAAAAAACCTTTGAAAATAATTGAACTTTTGCAAAGATTTTTATAAATTTTTGAAAATAATTCTTGACGAGATATTCGTGAAAACTTTTTTAAAAAATAGAATTTCTTCGAAAAATTTTATTACTTTTGAAAATAATTGAATTCTTGGGATGAATATTGTAATTTATGAAAATAATTGAATTTTGTAAAGAATTTTATTAAAATTCCTAAAAATTATTGAATTTCTGTGAAGTATTTTGTTATTTATCAAGAAAATTGCATTAAAAATGTTGTAATAATGAAATAATATTAAAAAAACAACCAACTTCTAAACATAATTGAGACATGACTTCACCAAAATACTAATCTTACAAATTTTATAAATTTCATGAAAAATTTCATCGATCATAAATTTGAAGATTTGAAACTTTCACAACAAAAGTTTCCAATTGAAAGTTTCAACGGCACTTTGCTAAATTTGGTGTGAATTCATCATTAAAAGATAAAAGAAAAAAATAGGGGAAATTTAGGGGCAATTTTCAAAATAGGGTACGTTTAGGGGCCAAAATTAAAAAAAGGGGACTTTTAGCGAAATAGGGGACAGACTGTGAAGCCTGTAAAAAGAAATAAAAAATAAAAGCTAAAAATGTTTAAAATTGTTATATTCCACAAAATTATATAATTCATGAAAGAATTATTGTTTGACTTTTGACAAAATAATAGTATAATTTAATAGTAATTTTAAATAAGGAAATTGTAAAAATAAAATTAAAATTTTGATTTATTAAGGGAGGTTTATTATAATAAAGAAGAAATTACCTTGGATTATCAGACAAACGAAGGTAACATCTGACAACGTGTTTAAGTAAACGTGCTGAAGGATCTTTTGCTAGGGACAAGACCATTTTGCCCAAAATCATTGCCACATGACTGAATCTATCGTATGTTTGACAAATGTAAGATAGTCCACTGTCGTCAAGTAGTATTTTTTGCAATATGAATGTTGCAACAGTTTTGCATAATTCCGATCCACTCTCCATGATTCTCAAGCACAGTGGTATAATTTCAGTGGTTAACAGAAATGTTATTACTTCTTGTTCATCGGTTTTCACCAATGCACCAATCACTCCCAAACTAGTAAGTCGCAAATATTCAAAAGGACGTGTTTTTATCACTGTGTGCAAAAATGGATATAAAAACAGAGGAATATGGGCCTGTAAAAAATCATTCATTTTTAAATAAATAGAAATTATTGATAAACAACATTTGTAAACTTATATTTGAGATTCTAGAGAACTGATAATTTTTCTAACGGAACGGTTAAGAATATAATAATGAACATAATAAAAGTGAGAAAATAATTATTGAATGTAAAAGAGTGACCTGTAAAAATGCAGACCGTGTTTCCGGATGACTGGCAAGGCACTGCAATAATGCTAAAGCATTGCAAACACGATTACTTTGATGTGCGGTGAGAGTTGCGGGATTAATCGCCGGATAGATATTTATTATTTCCTGAAGTAAAGACGCTGCAATGCCGAAGGAATGCCAGAGCATTGGAGCTAAATCCGGCACAACTTCACGTTTCTTGCTGAGCATTTCCAATGCATTTCCTCGTGTTTCGGGATTTGATAACTCAATAATCCAACCATAAATTTTTTCGCGGTCAACTGTGGCTTGCAAAGTAGCCGGACTTTGTTGAGTACTCATTTTGCGAAACTTATTTCTAATCAAAAATTTTACATTTCAAAACATCACATAAAAAAAAGTTCGTCAATATTCAATGCATTTCAATAGTAAACACAATTAACATTCAAAAACATTGTTTCTTTTTTATTATTTTATGAAAAATATTTTAAGTGTTTATAACAACAGCAGCAGCTGATTTAAAGCCATAGGTTAACCAAGGTTGGAGAGGCAAAATTGTCAAAGTTGTTTGTATACCATGCGTAGGTTACGTAAAATTGCGTAAAATAAGTAAATTGCTTGCGAACGAAACGTATGAGATAGAAAAGGACACAATTATATATCTGTCCTTTTGTAACTCAAGTTGCGTTCAAACTTTAAGTCGGTTCTACAATGGACACGTTTGGGCGTGGACGTCAGACGTTCACGTCCAAATCCATTGTTGCGTTACGATAAAAAAGGATATCATTTTTGAATTTAAGTTCTAAAGGATATATTGCATAAATAATAAGAACATAATGTTAGAATTCTAAGTCGATGAAAAACAAGTATAATGTTTAAATAAATATAAACGTAAACAAATAACAAGATTTCCCTTCAATTGGGGCGCATCATTATTCTCCAAATGTCATTTTTCCGAAATGTCACTTTTGCGAATTATCATTTTTCCGAAATGTCACTTTTGCGAATTATCATTTATTCGAAAAGCTATTTTTGCGAATTGTCATTTTTGCGAATCGCTATTTTTACGAATTGTCATTTTTGCGAAAAGCCATTTTTGTGAAATGTCATTTTTACGATTAGTCATTTTTGCGAATTGACATTTTTGAGAAATGTCATTTTTGCGAATTGTCACTTTTGTGAATCGCCATTTTTACGAATTGCCATTTGGGGCTGTTCATAAAGTACGTCACACGATTTTGCATAATTTTTCCACCCCCCCTACCCACGTCACAAATTTTACATGCTTTAGCGCCATTTTTTCTACAGAACGTCACAAAAAATAAATTCCACCCCCCCCCCTCTAAGGCGTGACGTAGTTTATGGACGGCCCCTTTTTACGAATTCTCATTTTTGCGAATAGTCATTTTTGCGAAAAGTTATTTTTACCAATTCTCATTTTTGCGAATAGTCATTTTTGCGAAAAGTTATTTTTACGAATTGTCATTTTTGCGATTTGTCATTTTTACAAATTGTCAAATTTCCGAAAAGTCATCTTTGCGAATTGTCATTTTTGCGAAAATTCCTATAGTGAATCTATATATGCATACAAGTTTACTATAGGAATTTTCGTAAAAATGACAATTCGCAAAAATGACTTTGGAAATTTGACAATTCGTAAAAATGACTATTCGCAAAACTGAGAATTCGTAAAAATGGCAATTCGTAAAAATGGCGATTCACAAAAGTGACAATTCGCAAAAATGACATTTCTCAAAAATGACAATTCGCAAAAATGACTAATCGTAAAAATGACATTTCACAAAAATGGCTTTTCGCAAAAATGACATTTCTCAAAAATGTCTTTTCGTGAAAATGACAATTCGCAAAAATGACTATTCGCAAAAATGAGAATTCGTAAAAATGGCGATTCACAAAAGTGACAATTCGCAAAAATGACTAATCGTAAAAATGACATTTCACAAAAATGGCTTTTCGCAAAAATTACATTTCTCAAAAATGTCTTCGAAAAAATGACAATTCGGAAAATTGACAATTCGTAAAAATAGCGATTCGCAAAAATGACAATTCGTAAAAATGGCCATTCGCAAAAATGACAATTCGCAAAAATAGCTTTTCGCAAAAATGACATTCCGCAAAATTGGCTTTTCGCAAAAATGACTATTCGCAAAAGTGCAGTTCGGTAAAATGACATTTGGGGAATAACCATGCGTCCCCCTTCAATTTTATGACGGTCAGTTGACCTTTTTCCAGGTAAAAGAGGGTGTAAATTTCAGTGGCGGATCCAGGGGGGGTCATGGGGGTCATGCCCCCCCCCCCGGGGGCGAAAAATTTACATAAAAAAAGGGTCAGCTAATTATGGTCGTTGCTCGACGCATCTATAGATGACCCCCCCTCTGGAGTAAATTCTGGATCTGCCACTGGTCGACTTTGTAAAAAACCGTAACAAAATAAGCAGTCTAAAATCATCAGAGATTCTGACTAAATTTCTGTTGCTTTGTGACTTTATTTTTAGTAGGGTAATGAGTAATATATTTAGAAGTAATAAATATAGAATTTAAAATATTTTTGTTTTATTTTATTATACAAAATTTTTATATTCATAGAAAAATACATTTTTTTATATACTTTTATCAGGAACATTCTTTATATCACGAGAACTTTCAGTAGTTGAAAATTATTTTAACTATATTAAATACTAGTATTGAAAATACCAAAATTCTCATAGTGCTAAATGAAATGTTTCCAAAAAACAATACTCTATAATATGTAAGATTTTTTTGTACAATACATTCTGGGAATGTGAAACAATACTTATATTAATACTTTTTAAGAAATGACTTACAATATTAGCACTATGCTTTTAAGTACTTCTTACACTTAAATAAAATAAAGAATAAATTTTTACAGTCGCCGATCGAAATAATTTTTTTTTTAATTAAAAAAACGAATTTGTTTTTAAACTTTTTTAAAACTATAAAAAAGTACCCAATTATTGGAAAACGAAAAATATACTCTTTTTTGATCTTAAAATTAAAGTGTCATGTATCAGTGACACAAAGCTAACAATTCGTCTTTTAATTTCACTTTGGAAGGTATTCGTAGAATTCTTATATGATTAAACTAATATATTTTTCTATATTAGTAGTATTAGCTATTTTTAGATTCGTCTTTCACTAGTAGATGAACCTATAATTAAAAACATTTTTATTTTATTATCTAAAAATATCAAATTATTTGAATCAAATATGTGACACGATCTGAAGAGAAGGGACCTTTGAAGTAAATATCACTTTAAGGTTATGTTAGTGTTTATTAAATATTTTAGTTGTAATGAAGACTTAAACATCAGTGTTTACACTGATAAACATCTGTTTATATTAACAGTTGATCCTTATTTTGTATATTTTCATCTAAAAAATTGTAAAAATAACCTTTAATTTTTTGATTCTAAGGTCCCTTTCTTTAGATCACGTCACAATTAATTTCAGTAAATTTAAAGTTAAAAAAACATATACAAACCTCCACCGTTATAGAATCATTCTTAATATAACCTTTAACAGGATTAAGTACATCCTGCCACTTCATGAAACAATTAAATCCCCAAACATTATTTTCGTTACAGAAAAGATGTTCGATATCTAAAAAATAAAGTTCAAATACCACGAATTAAATAAATAAAAACAATTACTTGTTAACATATTTTGTTTTTGGTTATTATTTATAAATATAATTTATTTTTAATAATTATTTTTACAAATAGAATTTAAAAAAATTCTATAAATAAAGATAATATCATTTTACTTACTTCGTGCAAAATATTTATGTCCTGGTTCGTGAGAAAGAAGGCGCAATTCAGCATTAGCGGAACATGCCCAGGATTCTCCTTCTTCATTACATTGAAGAAAAACACCAAGAAATTCTATAGCCTTTTTTTGATTTTGTCCTGTTAGTGGCGCAACTTTAATTAACCAGGGTAACTGTCCAACATACACTGGCTCAGAGAGTTTGGAAACTTTCATTTTTGAAATATTTTCAATAGTGAAATTAAAAGTATACTCTGTCCTTATACATAGCTCTAAATTGCAACTTTCTCCTTTTGGTGAATCTGCCATTAAGTGAATCTAAAATATAATATTATTAAAATAATATATTTATATTATAATTATCCAAAAAAGTCCACTCACTGGAATGATATTAAATTTTTGCTTTAAATCTAATCACTTACCTCCAATATTATAGAGTCGTTTTTAATGTAATCTTTATCAGGATTAAATACTACTTGCCAATCTATAAAGTCACCGAAATCTGCTTCATTTTCTTTGCTACTAAAGACATGTTCGATTTCTGAAAATTTTAATTTTCATAAATTTATAATTTGTCAAATCTAGAAATGATAATGAAAAATATGTGTATGTTTTATGGTCAGATGTATAAAATCGAACAGATTTAAATTTCAAAATGTTTTTAAAGAATTTGAGTATCGGAAACCTAAAAATTTAATAAGTTTACCTATATAAAATTATCATCAGTCTTTTATCAGTACATTACTTGAAATATTATAATAATTTTTGATTTTTTAAACTTATTCATATCACATTATTGACAATAAGCTAAATTTATTGCATGTTAAATTATTTTTAAATAGTAATAACAAAACAATTTTGTTGGGAAATATTATTTGTACATAAAAAACAATTATTATGTTTTCGGGATTAATTTTTGAACAATTTTAAGAGTTAATAGTGTATTGACTATAAAATGATAAATTAAATTCCTAGAATTTGGAAGAAATTTTAAGCTATAGAACAATAGGTAGTTGTATGGGAATAAAATAAAAATGAGGAATTAATGAAAAAAGCAAAAGCTTACTTTTGTTGAAATAATCTTGTTCCGAGTTATGGGATAGAAGGCGAAAATCTGCATTAGCGTAAGAACTCCATAACTCGCCTTCTTTATTACATTGAAGAAAAAATCCAAGTGAATTTTTCGGCGGCTTTTCGTCAGTTTGTTCTGATCGTGGTACGACCCTGATTACCCATGGCAAATTTTGAAGATAGAATGGAGCAGAGAATTGTTCAACATCTATCGTCGACACATTGCTAAGAGTGTAACGAAAAATCGTTTTCGAAGTACCGTACGGCGCATCTATTTCTAAATCAACCTAAAGTTTAGAAATTTCAGGGTTTTTTTTAATTTTTAAAATGAAAATGTACAAAGGGGATCAATATGAAGCTTATTTATAATGTTTAAGTTTTCATTTCATACAAAATATTGAATAAAAACTGATTTTCCTAAAACGTATAATCAATGTAAAACTGGCACAAACATAATCGATTTGCTTCTTATTTCCCTTTCTTCAAAACGCGTCACAAATACAATTGAAGTTTATTTTAAAACCTATGCACATACCTCCACAGTAATAGAATCATCTTTGATGTATCCTTTATCAGGATTAAGAAGTTCTTCCCATTTCAAAAACTGTCGGAATCCCCAATCATTCTCCTTGTTATTAAAAAGATGATTGACTTCTAAAGAAAATAATTCAAATTATTTTAATATAAATTCAAAACCCTCCCAGTGGGCACAGGGACATGTGATGTCTATAGGATGTCCTCCAGATATCCTGAGGATGTATATGTCTTTCGAACAGACATAGATGTCCTTAAAGACATCCCATGTCCCAGTGTCCACAGGGCTACTTCTCTTTAAGTATATATAGATAGAATCAAAATATATGTATATGTAAGAATAAATGTTAAATAAAGGAAATATTTTAATTAACTACTATAAATATTAATAGCACTAAAAAAAATCCTTATTGAATACGTCTAACGCTTATAAACGATGGCTCCTAAATCTGCCGAACAAAGTGAAAAGAACTTAAGTGACATTTCAGTTGAACGGAGAAAATAAAAAAAACGTTTGAGCTTAGAACTTCAGTATATAATTCATATATATATATAATTCAATCAAGTATATATTCATATATTCATAATTCAGTATATAATAAAAAAAATTAATTTTTAAAACAATTTCTATGTAAAAATGTACTTGCGGAGTTTGAACTCAAGAAATGCAATGTAAAAAAGACACAAAGTCACTTACGGGGCTTTAATATTACTTTTACTTTGTAAACTCCGCTTTCACTGGGGATCATTTTCAAAGTAAGAAAGACACAAGTGATTTTTTGTTCATTTCATATTGTATTCAGGTGACGTCACAAACATCGTTTACAAATTCAACTTATGTTTGCAATTTGTTTACACTTTAAAAATAGTAAATATTAAAAATTGTAACATAGCCTTCAAAAAACTGTCATTTTAAATAAGCATGTTTTCTATTTGTTTTCGTGAGTTACGTGTTTCATATAAACGCTGTGGCGAATAATGTGTCAATTAATATGTTTTCATTTAGGAGCCATCAATAAATTGTCAAACCTGATATAAAAGTTACACATTTTAAAGGAAATTAATAAAATAATTATAGTGAATTTTCTTTAAATCTATAGTAATATTTAAAAGACACTTATAAATATTTTTAACATTGACATGTAAATTTTTAAAGAGTTTTTACAGTGAGGTAAATATAAATATTATTTACCTTTTTCAATAAATTTATTTCCTGCTTCTTGAGACAAAAGTCGCATTTTAAATTCAGCATATTGACCCTTTGTTTTGTCTATTGTACATGAACTACATTCAACATAAAATCCGAAATATAATACTCCATTAGTTACTTGTCGTTGAACTTTAATCCTCCAGGGTATATTTTCCAAGTAAAAAGGTTTCGTGCGTAGCGTAATTTCTTTCATTTTCGAAATTTTGGAAAACTTGTGCTGAACAGTAGCCATTGATTTTTTTTTGCCTATTATTAGTCAAAAAATATAAAGAATAAAATGTTTATTTTATTATGAATAATAAATTTCTTAAATTAATATAAATACATAGTAAAATATTAATTGTTTGTTAATAAATCGTAATTATTTTGGAGACATTTTCGAACTATATTAAAATTCATTTATTATCAATTCTTTCTTTTATAACAAAAACATTTTAGTGTGAGGTTGTGTTCCAATACTTTACAATTTTTTATTGCTATAAATAAAAGGAAACTTTATTTTAGACATCATCATTTTCATGAATCAGCACAGTAAGAATTTCTGAAACATTCCACCTGAAACGAAAATATTTATTTTTTTTCTAACGAAATAAGATAAATAGTTTAGTTCGCCTGTCAGTAAAAGACTGGCGAAATAAACTAGGTATTTCTCTTATTTCGCCCGTTGACGGGCGAAATAGCCGCTTCGTTTTTTGATATATTAAAATCCAATATCTTTAAATAACAAAAAAATTGTATTTGTTTGGATTTAAAACAAAAATAACGTCGGTTGAATTATTGAAATCGGTCAACAAGTTTTTCTGAAATTAATTTTTTTTTTTAAAAAGTAATAAAAATTTTCAATTGTTAATAACAAGAGTAAACATTTTTTTTTGTAAAATCCTTTACAGTGGTTTTTCATGTAAAATGCTACAGGAAAATTAACGGTTAGGAAAAAAAATTTCCAAGTTTTAGGTGGCACGTTTCAGAAATTCTTACTCAGCAAAATAATTATTTACAATTCACGCAGGAATAAAAAATAATAATAACAAAAAATAGACAAACCAATTGTTGAGGGCATTTTTTCGCCGTTTAATACACTGAAAGCGGTTTCAATGTTTTTTTGAGAATTGCAGCCAGGGATGTTTGTAAAGACCAACGCACAATAGTTTCTGACAAAGAAGCATTCAGCTATTCAGTGCTGCCAACTAATGGGCAAGAATTTTCTTAGGGTGGCCACCTTAGGACCCTCTACCCTAAGGCGGTGTTTACATGCTTGCGTTTTGCGTTAAATAATAAGATAGAAAAAGAAAGAGATATACTTCTATCCTTACACTCACTGCTCAAAGCAAAACGCAGCTTTCGAACGCAAGCATGTAAACACAGCCTAAGGCCGCAGTCCCATGGCAGCGTTTTGCGTTGCGTTGTAATGAGAGAGAATGCAGCAAACGTATATTTGCGTCTTTTTCTCTCCCATTACGACGCAACGCAAAACGGTGCCATGGGACTCCAGCCTAATAATAGTAACAAAGAAAATTTAAATTATTTTTAATTAATTTTCAATAAAACAAGAATGAATGAATAATTACGCTTTGACATTTTCACGCCAACATGGGACTGGCCCTTTACGCTTATGTTCGTGTAATTTTAATTGTACATAAATCTCAAATACACGAAGAAAAAATAAAAATTGTAAGGGTGCGATCCCATGTGAGCAGAATACGTCGACCGAAAGCAGAAAATCATGAGTGCAAAAGAGATAGGTAGATATTGTTGTTCTTTTCACTCTCATGATATTCTGCTTTCGGTCGGCGTATTCTGCTCACATGGGATCGCACCCTAATTAATTAAAAATCAGAGTGCGATCCCATTCCCATGTGAGCAGAATACGTTGACCGAAAGCAGAAAATCATGAGTGCGAAAGAGATAGGTAGATATTGCTGTTCTTTTCACTCTCATGATTTTCTGCTTTCGGTCGACGTATTCTGTTCACATGGGATACGGCCGTCGACTGCTCTAGTGAAGATACAAGATAAAAAAAGACACTTTTATTTTTTATCTCTTGCATTGCTATTCTTATAGCGCCACTAAGCGTCAGCAATAGTGGAGAAAAATTTACAACTGAGGTGAGCGATAAAAGCTTTCGCATACTTTCTTCTACCTCTATGGTTTATTCTCCTGTCGATGCTTATCGAAGGGAAAGTTGTAAATATAAGATAACTATAAAAAGTCATATTAAAGTACGACTTTTTATAGCAGGACAATTGTTGTTTAAATTACCAGTAGATTATCGTACAAGATATGTGACTAAATTTAAAAAACATTATTTAAAAATCTTAAAGTAAAATTTCAAAATCGTCTCGTGATGTTTTGGACTTTTAAATGAATTGTGTTATTGTTATTAAATATTCTATAACCAGAATATCAACAGATATTAAATATTTGTAAATGTAAGTAAACATTTCTTCTTTTATTTCACGGAATAATTAAGCCTGTTTTACAATTTTTCATTAAATGTTACAATAAAATTATATTCGAAAAGTAAAGTTTCTTTTTCTAATGATATTATATTTAATTTAATTTAACTTAAGTGTATATCTATATTATTTATTTTTTTATAAAAATAGTTTAAAACTCTTAGTGAAATTTTTTATTTATAATCCCAATCTGAAGAATTGAAATTTTAGACACTTAACAGTTTCTGAATAAAAGATTAACGAAATTTTCCCTGTCGTTTCGTCATTTTGTAAAATTGCCTAATGACATTTAATTCGCAGTAGTAATTATTGAAATACGTACAGTTTGTATAGGTAACTTGTGGGACAAATGCCTTTTCCTTAATATGATTTACGTAATGTTATTAGTATTAATCATTTACCTATTATTCGAATTACTTTTCAATTGCAAATTTTATATTTGCGTTCGAAGTAAAATATATGAGTGAAAATTGTAAATTATGTCTAATTTTGTAATGTTATTTTAACAGTAATGAAAAAATGGAAAAAAATCATAGTTTTAACGTCGATGAGGATGAGGAGCCGGGAGAATCAGAAAATATAATAATAAATGAAGTTGATGGATTGCCTAATATGCATCCAGACTTCGATCAACGTGAATACGATTTTGAGGAGAAAGAAGATTGCAGTGATGTAAACGCAAGAACTTTCGATGAATTGGTTCACGATGAAGACCTACCAATGTCTGTTATTGTCACCAATGTAGACCCTCGTGTTTACAAATGTGACGAATTAAAGGTTTATTCTCATTTTTATAATTACTGCTGTAATTAGACCTGTGACATTTCTCAATTTTCAGTTTTTCAAAAAAGGTCAAAGGTGATTATTAATAGAGGTTTTGACGCTGAAAGCGAACCCAACCTTTAAAATTCTTCTTTGCCGACAGGATTTTTAGTAATTTTAGTTTAAATTACCATTTTGACAATTTTTATTAATTTTCTCTTGAGAAAAGAATTCTTTCTTTTTATTTGTTATTAAAGTATCATATTGCACTAATCCCAGAGAAAGGTACATTATGTGAATGCATAATTTTTTCAAATCATGAAAAACTATTATAATATGGTGTTAATTTATATTTTGAACTTTTTGCAACAGACTGGATCCATATCGCAGGCCTCGGATATTATAATTTTTTCGTCTTTTTTCGACTATTTTCAAAAAATGCGACTTTTTCGACTTTTCTTCCAAATTGTGCAACAAAATACCATTTTTTTAGTATAAAATGCTGCAACTTTTTTCGATTTCTACGCGCAGTATAAAAAATAGCTGTAGATAAATTTTTCGAAAATTATTTTTGAAAATTTTTTCTAATTAAATTTTTGAAATATATAATTAAAAAGATTTTGAATACTTAATTGAAATTTTAAGTATTCTTTTTGTTACATGATTTATGAATAGTACGTTTTCTTTTACTGTATTTTTAATGCTTGTCCTCGTGGATTTCCTAGGACAAAATAAAGAAATTCTAATTCTAATTCTAAAATTAATTGAAAATAAATCCTTTTTTTTCAAGTATTTTATTATAGTTTTTAAAAATTAACTATTATAGAATTTTTATTGAAAATTTTGAAAATAATTGAATTTTCAAAAATTTTAATGAATAATCTTCAAGTGTAAATTCGATAAAAAATGAAAATATTAAAATCCTAGTTTTGAAAAAAGTAATTCTCTGACAAAGTAATTTAAAATTTCTTAAAATTTACTATTTTAGAATTTTTCAGAAATTATTTATAATTAAAATTCATCAAAAATTTGATCATTTTTCTAATATTTTTTAAAAACTTAATTATTTATTTGTTTAATAAATTTTTTTGCAAAATTTAATTATTCTAGGGAATTTTATTAAAATTCGTTGCAAAATTCAATTATTTTCATGAATATTAATAAAATTTTGGTCTAAATCCAATTTTCAAGAATTTTTAAAAAATTTATTGCAAAATTCAATTATTTTCAGTAATTTTAATAAAAATTTTTGTCTAGATTCAATTTTCAGGATTTTTAAAAAAAATTTTTTGAAAAATTCAATTATTTTCATTGATTTTAATAAAAGTCTTTGCAAAATTCAATTTTTTTTCTGGAATTTTATTAAAATTCTAATTCAACTAGGTATAATTTTAATAATATTCTGCAAAATTCAATTATTTTCAGAAATTTTATTAAAACTTTTGCCAAATTTAATTATTTTAAGGAATTTAATTAAAATTCATTGCAAATATTAATTATTTTTCAAAGATTTTACTAAATTTAAATTATTTTTTAAAAAGATTTTACCAAATTTCAATTTTCTTAAAAAAATTTTTAATTGTTATGTAATTGTAAAACAATTGCGTCTTTCAAAAATTATTTAGAAATATTTTTAAAAAGTTAATTTTACGAATTTATTTATTAAAATTTTTGAATATATTGTACCTTATTATCTTTAAAAAGAAAAATGAACGGTTTCAATTATTATAAAAAATTTTTAATTTGTATAATTAAATAATTGAATTCTTGAAGAACTTTCGGAAAAATATTAAAAAGTAATAATATAGATAATTGATTTAAAAATGAAGTTTAGTTAAAAATTGTAGAAAATAATTGAATTTTTGTAAGGGTTATAGTTTTAATTTTTGGAAATTATTAAATTTCAGAATTTGAAATTTTTTAAATTTTCTTTCCTGGTGAAAAAAGAAATAAGAAGTATTTAAATATTTTATTTAGCAAAATTATACAAGTTTTGATTAATTAAATTTAGAAATCAGGGAAATAGAAAATAAAATATTTGTGACAACACTAAATTAAATAAACGACTTTTTCGACTTTTTTTCTATTTTTAATCGACTAAAGCGACTTTTTTTGTTCGTTAAAATCGATCCGAGGCCTGATATCCATTTTGCATATTATTTTTACAATGAGGTATGTTATTCTACACAAAAAATAAAGAAATCCATATTTTTTTAATTTTTAATAGGATTTTGTTTGCACTTTTTACGAATATTTCAAGATTTTAACAATAAGTGATTTTTAATCTTTTTTTAAATTTAATTTGAAACTTCTGAACTTTTAATTTTTATTAAACTTTATAGAATCTAGCCCCTCAATTACCTTTCGAGAAATACTATGTTTCAATCAATTAAAACGCTGTATTTTTTCGTAATTTTCGGTGAAAAGTACACCTTTGTAAAAAGTTTTAGATAAATAAGTTTAAAAGGTTGAGTTTGAGGAAAACGGATAGAGCATTTTTTATGAAAATTTTAAAAAACACCGTAATAATGAAATCTGATCATGATGAATCTAATTTTGCCAAGCAGTAAGACTAATACGATTCCGTACGGTACAATTCGTGTATAGAATCTTAAAAATTTATTAAAATCACCATCGACCTTTTCTAAAACTTAACCTCGCAGGATTATATTATTTAACCCAGTTTTAAAAACTTTTTTATTTTATATATGTCTTTATGAGATTAAAAATCTCTTAATATTTACCTTTTGTTTGTTAATTTGTTTAAATTATTGAATTTTAATAAATAAATTCATAATATTGTTTATTTTTCAAAAATGTAATTCATAACACAGAACCACGACATTCTTTTTTTAAAAGTATACTTGGACGGGATTATTGATTTATAATTGTTTTGACGAGCTGAATTCAAATCTGGATCTATTTTCGACCCAGCACGTCACAGTTTAAAGATAAATTAAAAAATCCATCTGCCCAAAATGGGTTTAAAAATAAAAGACAATACTTTTTGAAAAATTACAGCTTGGGATATATAGTTAATTTTGATGTATTTATAAATTAATGCTGACAAACAAAATAAATACATTGTTTCAAAATTTTCAAATTTGATCAGATTCGCTTAAAACTTGTTACTCGGGGGTTTTCAGGTTAGCTGATTATGAATCTGAAGTCACTTTTTAAAAATTCAAAATGGCGGATCTAATATGGCTAAACAAATTTTCAATTTTTATCCAATTCTTTTTAAGAATTCAATTATTTTGATAAATAATAAAACTCATTGCAGAATTTCAATTATTTTTTAATACAATTTTAAATCGAATTTGTCGAAAAATGTAATTATTCTTAAAATTTTTATTAAAATTCGTCCAAAGAATTTAATTATTTAAAAATTTGTTGATAAAATTCTTTATGAGAATGGAATTTTAAGAAACATTCAATTATTCAATAAATTATTTATTTACATTTTATTTGTAATTAAATAATTGAATTCTAGTATAATTTTCTATTAAAAAATTGATTTGAAAATGAATTTCAGTTAAAATTTTAGATAATAATTGAATATTAAAAGCAACATAGCGTGAATTTTAAGAAATAATTGAATTTTGGAATTAATTTTTTAAAAAAGTTTAATAGCGGATTTTTTTTTGAAATTATTTGAAGTTTTTATTGTCTAATATGTATACATTTAATTCAATCGAAATTTCATAAAATTGGATTTTAATCAAATGGATTTGAAAATTGTCAAAGAACTTTTTTGAAAATTATTAAAAATAATTGATTGAAAGAAGAATTTTAGTTACAAATTCTTGATAATAATAATTTAATTGAAATGATTTTTTAATTTATCTCAAAACTGCTACTTACAAAAAAATTTGTGACCCTGTTTAATTTTTTTGAATTAATGCTCAAAATGTTAAATTTATTAATGTATATTTTTCTTTCTAAACAGGTGACTATTGAAACACTATTCAAAGAATTTGGTGAAGTCGCAACATTTCAGTATTTTAAATCGTTTAGAAGAATGAGAGTTAATTTCACTTCTTCAAGTTCGGCTGCACATGCCAGAATAAAATTGCATCAATCGCGATTCGGCGATACAGATATTAATTGCTATTTTGCACAACCTGTAACGCCTATAGGTTTGTTTCAACTTTATTATTAATATAATATGTTGAAAATTTTAGAAAATGGGAACCTTCAGTTCAGAAAGCGTTTTTATTTTCAAAATGAAGCTACTCTTTTTTCTACCATCTCTTTTTGACCAAACAGATGTAAATTTTAACTCACTTATTTGAAATCTTTAATTAATCACTTTTCTAATCTTAAATCATCCATTATCTGCTATATCTCTTAGAACCATTTTCCTACGTGAGCATTACTCACACTTACATTTCTTTTGTTAAAATCAGAGGTCGATGTTGAAACAAAACTAAATTAAAAATTTTAGGTTACATTTAGTTTCAAGTCGACGCGAAAACAGTTCCGTAACTGTTATAGAATAGTTCTGTAATTATGCCAGCCCTCAAGTGCAACAGCTCTAGATACACTTGTGAGATCCCTTGTTGCATAATGCACTATTTTTCTTCTAGACATGGAAGATCAATACCTACAGCTTCCAGCATTAACTAAGCAACATCTTATATCACCTCCAGCTTCACCGCCTGTTGGTTGGGAACCTAGACCTGAAGGCGAACCTCTTGTCAACCACGATTTAATAGCAGCTATTGCAAATCTAACTCCTGGTAATTATTTTTATTTTTGACTTACTGTTGATTTTCACAAAAATTAACTTTTTTGTCTTCAAATAATATAGGGTCTAGAGAGGTGAGTATTTAAAATCGGCCTTTTTAAAAATCTAACTACTGAGTACGTCTAATGTTTTTCTTAATGAGAGTTGGCAGAGATTGCAATTTACTCATGAAATTGAAAATAACTCTTCAATTAATTTTTGGAAGTTCTTATCGTTAAACATTATAATAAACTCATAACTAATTAGTACCGGAAACCTACATTCTCTGAAAGAACAATTGGTTATGACTCTCAGCATCCTATTTCTCAAAAAAATTGCTATTGTTTACAATTTAATAGACAGCGTTACAACTATCACATAATAAATTCCACTCAGAAAACATTGAATATGTAAAAAAAAATCTCTTACGTAATATATTATTACGTAAATATGATTAATAAATACTATTCTATTAAAGAACTGCCATAAAGTTATTACTTATCAATCATTTAATGAAGCACTTTTTTAAAAAAATTTTATTTCAATTCTGTTGAAATTAGTTTCAATTTTAAAAATTTTAACGCAATTCTTTCAAAGAATTCGACTATCTTAATAAATATTAAAATTCTTTTCATTTTTTTCATTTTTTTTAAATATTTGAAAATAATTATTTTCAAATATTTAAAAAGATTCTCACCAACATTTTCATTCTCTTTATAAATAAATAGCAAAATTATATTCTTCGGCAAAATTCAATTATTATAAGAAATTTTAATAAAATTCATTGCAAAATTCAATTATTTTCATAAATAAAAGTATTCATCACAAGAATTCAATTATTTTCAAATATAATAAAATTCAATTATTTTCAGAAATTTTCATAAAATTCTTGGCAAAATTTCTATTATTTTAAAAAATTTTTCTTAACCCGGCGAGCGTAAGGTAGGGTAAAATTTACCCTGTAGAATATTCACTTCTCCATAATTCGAATTTGAATTGATGAATTTACCTGTAATTTTTAATAGCTGCACTAAATACGGTAACAAATCAATAAAGAATAAAAAAAAATTTTTTTCATAACGCGGTGCAAAAAAGGGCACTTTTTTGCACCTTGTTATGAAAAATATCGTTCGTAACTAGTGCTAGCAGTTGCCAATTTTTGAACGAGCACTTTTTTTGGAACAAACTGTAGGCGTTTGTTTGTTCCAAAAAAAGTGCTCGTTCAAAAATTGACAACTGCTCGCACTCGTTACGAAATATACTATTTTGCATTTCTTATTATTTATTTATAATTATTGACAACACATGTACCCTGAATATAAAACACACTACGAGTATTGTTCTTTGTATAATTTAAAAAAAAGTTGGAATCATGAATGAACTTCACTATTATTGTTTACTAAGGATAAATAATGTATTTTACTATTATTACAATTAAATTTTTATTTGTTTAAACAAACTATTATTGTTAATTTATAACAATTCCAAAAACAAAATAGAGAAAAGCAAATTTCTAAAAATTTGGCAGCTGATATCGGTATTATTTAATGCTAAATTAATTAATTAAATAAAACATTAAATTAAATTTGCTATAGTTATTAATTAACATTGTTTAAACAATAAATTGTTGCTATTTATTAACTTTTTTTCTATTGCACCTAGGAAAATGCAGATTTTTCCCAATTTTACAATTTTGGACCTAAGATAATAACCGACAATTATTAAATGTCAATTTGATATGTTAATAATTGTTTAAATAATTAATTGTTGTTATTTATTAACTTTTTTTCTATTGCACCTAGAAATGTGCAGTTTTTTTTTAATTTTGCAATTTTGGATCTAAGATAATATACTTTGATAATAAACGTAGTAAACCTTACCAACGTTTTTGTTGGTTAGAAAAAAACTGCATCTTCCTAGGTGCAATAGAAAAAAGTTAATAAATAACAACAATGAATTGTTTAAACAATTTTTAACATATCGAACTGACATATAACAATTATCGGTTATTATCTTAGATCCAAAACTGCATCTTTCTAGGTGCAATAGAAAAAAAGTTAATAAATAGTAACAATTAATTGTTTAAACAATTGTTAACATATCGAATTGACATTTAATAATTATCGGTTATTATCTTAGGTCCAAAATTGCCAAATTAAAAAAAACTGCATCTTTCTAAGTGCAATAGAAAAATGTTAATAAATAACAACAATTAATTGTTTAAACAATGTTAAATAATAATTATAGCAAACTTAATTTAATGTTTTATTGAATTCATTAATTTAGCATTAAATAATACCGATATCATGCTGCCAAATGTATAGAAATTTGCTTTTCTCTATATTTTGTTTTTGGAATTGTTATAAATTAACAATAATAATTTGTTTAAACAAATGAAAAATTTATCGTAACATTAATAAATTAGATTACTAGGCAACATAAAACATTTATAGAAAAAAATTTCCATGATTTAAAGTTTTTTTTAATTTATAAATAGTATTACATTACAGGGTAAAAAATACCCTACCTTACGCTCGGTGTTGCAAAATTTCACCTTACGCTCGCCGGGTTAATTCAATAATTTGTATATCTATTATTTTAATGAAATTTTCCCAGAAGAATTCAATATTATTTAAATATAATTTTGACCAAGTTCTACACGAATATTCAACCATTTTCTAAAATAATGAAAATTTCAGAGAAATTCAATTATTAAAAATAGAATTTACATAAATTTTTTCGAAAAAAATCAATTGTTTGAAACTTTTTTACAAAATTCTTCGCAATAATTCAATTATTTTCTTAAATAATGAAACCAATTGCAGAATTTAAATTATTTTCAAAAATTTTAATCAAATTCTTTTTAAAAATTCAATTTATTTTCAAAATAATTATTTTAAAAAAATTCTTCTTAGAAATTTCATTAATTTCTATAATTTATAAAAATTCAATTATTTCCAATATCTAATATTTCAATAAAATTTGACAAAAGAATTCAATTAGGTAGGTATTTAAAAAGAAATATTATTAAAAAATTCGTCTGAAGAATTCAATTATTTTCAAAATTAATAAAATTCTTCGCAAAAATTTAATTATGGTCGCAAAAGTTTGAAAAAATGATCGTCAAAATTTCAATTATCTTTATATAAATATTAAAATTTTTCTCCAAAATTCAATTATTTTCAAAAATTTTAATGAAATTCTTTTTAACAAATTCAAATTTTTTTTCAAAAATTCTCCTCCATTCAATGATTTTCAATATCTACTATTTTAATAAAATTTTCCGAAAGAAATGAATTATTTAAAAAAATTTTTGATAAAATTCTAAGCAAACCTTTTATTATTTTTATAAATAACAAATATTTCACAGCAATTCAATTATTTACAAATTTTTCATAAATTTCTTTGCAATAATTCCATTATTTTCAAAAATATTCAATTTATTTTCACAGAGATTCAATTATTTTCAAGAGTAATAATATTCTTCGCAAAAATTAAATATTGTTTAAAAGTAATAAAATTCTTCTTAGAAATTCAATTATTTTCATAAATAATTAAACTAATCGGAGAATTTCAATTATTTTTTAAGACAATTTCAATTGAATTTCTCGAAAAATGTAATTATGTATTCTTAAAAATTTTATTAAAATTCGTCGAAAGAATTCAATTATTCAAGAATTTGTTAATAAAATTATCTATAAGAATTCAATTTTAAGAAACATTTAATTATTAAATAAATTATCTATGTTTGTATTTAAATAATTGAATTCTCGTTGTATTTTCTAATAAAAATTGATTTAAAAATTAGTTTCAATTAAAGTTTTAGATAATAATTGAATTTTGGAGAAGTTTCTAATAATTGTAATTTTTAGAATTAATTGAATTTTTTAAAGGTTTCAAAATTAAAATCTTTAAAAATTTGAATTTTTCATACTTTTAATTGAAAATTCTATGCAACTAATTTTTTCAAAAAGCTTAATCGAAATTTTTTTAAATTATTTCAAGTTTTTATTTTCTAATGTATTTATTTAATTGAAGACTTGAATTGTAAACAAATGAATTTTGAAAACTCTCAACAGAACTTTATCAAAAATTGTTAGAAATAATTGACTTAAAGAAGAATTTTATTTAAAAATTGTAGAAAATAATAATTGAATTGAAATGTTGAAAATAATTTTGAAGCAATTATAGTAATAATATTCTTATTATATAAAATAATGATTTTATCACTCGGTCAGCTTTAATTTTTTATAAAACAAAGAAATCGATTACTCCGAGTCGAAGATTCGGAGTGATCCATTTCTTCATGTTTTACAATAATATTTTTATCAGTTATCGAAATTCAAAAGGTTTGAATATTGAAATTTTTTTCCAATGCAAAAATAATAATGATTAAAAATTTATTTGGGGTTTTTGAATGAATGCCCTCCTAACATAATCCGTTTGAAAATGAATTTTTTGTAGGTGCTGCTCATGAATTGCATCGTGGAGGATCCGGCCAACCTGGTATTGTGGTACATGTTTGTGAGACATCGAATTCTTTAAAAAATACAACTCACATACAACCAACGCATCGTCCAGAATATTAATTGTTTTTCTTTTTTCATTTTATTATTTTTATTTATTATTCTGCGCAAAAATAGTGTTTGGAAAAGAAAAAAACTAATTTAATATCTTTAAAACTAACGAAGATCTTATCTATTAATGCAATTGGTACACCAAATTTAGAATCAATTTTACGTCGTCGATGTTATAACGTCTTCCTGTAAATTCCGTCGTAATCGATGTTACTATTACGGTACGTTATAATGTACACTGAGTAAAGTTTGGTGAATCCAGGCAGTACAGTAGTAAATGTAGAGATATTCAATTTTCCACATTTACTTAGAGCTGAAAAATTAGTGGTGCACGTTGAGCAGAGAGACTTTATTTCCTTTTTGCCGCCTTTTATAAATGAGATGAGACTATTAGTTGGGTGAAAGGGCAAAAATTTTAGGTTATGTTTAGAAATGTTTTTACTCGATTAAAGATTCATTCTTAATTATCTAAAGTCAAATACAATTTTTATGAACAATTTTATATACTAAATAAATAATAAAAATTGTCTTTTACTTCAAGTAATTGAAAATCAATCTTTAATAAAGTAAAAACAACTAAATATAACCTATAATTTTTTGCCACTACTAAGATAAAGAAAAGCTCCATAAAAAATAACTTTGCTATTGAAAGTTTTTGCCATGCTTTAAAGATCCAAAATTAATAATTAATTTTTCGTTTAATAAACTGAAGAAATTCGTCGTATTTTAAAGTTTTTTTTTATTAAGTTTACAGAAAGGAATATTTTCGAAAAATAGTGAAAGGCAAATTTAAAGTGAGAATCAAAATAAAATATCACAAAATAATACTCTATACTATAATTACGAATTTGTCGATCAAAAATATCTTAACGTGCATCATTACAGATTTAAATATATGATTACTTCAATGAAATCTGTAACATTTGCAATGCATAGGCACGTTTATCGCGCATAAAACATAAAAAAGATTAATTTCCAAAAATTGAAAGCAAAATGGATATTGATCTGTTTTTCGTCCTACTCTTAAAATAATAAATAAAATGAATATTTTGTTTTCTAAATTAGAAAATTACTAGTAATTCATTTTATTGCTTCTCTGAAGTAAAATAAAAATTACAAACCAAAATTTATATAATTTAAACTAGACAAAATGTCAAAATACTGAATTTGAAAATTTTTATTTCTGTCCATATTTGGTAATTTTGTGAATAAAAATAAAAATTGCATGAATGAAAAAAGTTTTTGTTTTCAAATATTGAAATTTTTAATTCTATAAATATTTGATTGAAATAATAAAATAGTAACAAAATTCTGTAATTATTTTACGAGTAAGACAAAAAAGGAGAAATCGTTTAAACTCATGTTCCTAAAATGGCCTCAAGCATCAATAAGAGTTTGGAATATTTCCAAAAAACTCAAAACAATTTATTTTCAGAGAATATTTTATGATAATGTTATAAAGAAATATAATTAAAAAATTTGTATTATTTCGTAAGGTTATAAATATTTAAGTTGCTCTTGAAAAATTTCACCCCCTGCACTATTAATATATTGTTATGAGAATTTATCTCATACAATATTGTTGTAATTCTAAGTAAACATTGCCGAACTTTTTTCAGTGTATTTAGTTTATTACTATGTTTTTCGAATGTCTGTTAATTTATTATAATTGATTTTGTTATTTATTTGTTATGCCTCCCTAAATGCACTAGAAAATTATTTAATGAAAATATTGAATTTAACTAATATAGAAATATGTATTATAAATATGTTACCATTTTTTCTCCTTACACTTTTGAAGTTTGTCTGATGATAATATGAATCTTACGCGGTGCAATTGTGTAATTTTATTTTTTACTTAGTAAAAAGTAGTGAAAAATGTTGACTTTGTTAAAAAAAAATATAGTCAAAGTGGAAGAAAAATTGGAAAAATCAAAGTGAATGCCAAAATGAAATTACACAATTAAACTCATAATGTATTATAGTCTACGTTTTTTGTTTGTTGATTTGTTTGTTCTACAAAATGAAAATCATGTACCTAATGTTAAATATTTATGTGTATATAATATGATATTACCTAAATGGAGCTGTTGAACTCGGAATTTAAAAAATTGTATTTAAGGTATAAGTGCTAGATGATTTGAATATTAGTTGCAAAAAATATTCTACTATTAGTTACAAATGTTGTTTGAATTTTTTTTTTCGTTTTTCTTATTAATTGTACAATTTTTTTTCAAGCGTTAAATTCAATCAGGTGCAGATCATAAATCACTATTTATGACTACTGTTACTATTATATTATTATGGTTAGTACAGTCGAGTCTCAAATTTGCAAAAATTGAACACTGAAGAAAGGTATCTAAGAAAATTATTTTAAGGTTATGTTTGTGTTACTTTCACGATGTCGTAATTTCTTATTTTAACAAAAAAAAACAAATTTTGTTTTAGTAGAAGGGTAAAGAAATCAATTTACAAGATTTAAAAATTTTAAAGTTGCATTTGAATAAAAATTATTAGTTAAGGTACAGTTTTTTAAAACGTATTTTCTAAAAAATTTTTCTCTAATAAAGGTGAATTTCTAAAAAACTTTTTTCTAATGAAAGTGTTTTTTTAATTTTCTTTCTTCTAATTCTAATTTCTAATAGAATTATGCAAATTTTTTAACAAAACTTTTAAAAAAAGTTAAAAATCGTTATTAACAAATTATTATTATTATTATTATTATTATTATTATTATTATTATTATTATTATTATTATTATTATTATTATTATTATTATTATTATAGAGATTTTTTTTTCTAAAGATATTTCAAATTTTCTAAAAAAGTGTTTTATTAATAAATTAATTTTGGAACTTTTAGTACAAAAATGATGCAAATTATTATTTTTTTTCCAAGAAAAACTGAATTTTGTTAATTAATTGTGATTAAAAAAAGTTATTTTATAAAAAATTTTTCTTCTTTTTCAAGAAGAAACTTATAATTTTGTAAAGAGAATTATGATTGAGAAGCAGAAAATATGCAAAATAATTTTTTTTTCTTAATCTTAGTTTCTTAACAATATTTTCTAACTTTTATCAAAATTATGAGATTTTTCAAAATTTAGGAAAATAAATATTAGAAATCCAAACTTTTTAGAAAAACTTTTTTTAGAAATCAAAACTTGTTAGAAAAACTTTTTTTAGAAAACAGATTTCATTAGAAATCTAAAGAAATAAAATTTTTTTTTAGACAAAAAGGATTAGAAAATATTTTTTAGAAAAAGTGACCACCTACCAAAATTATTATTTTTTATTAATAGAAATGATTTAGGTAACATAACCTAAAATTTATCAAATATACTTGTTATTGACAAAAAATTATAATGTTGATTCAAATGCAACTTTTAATTGTTTAAAATGTTGAAAATTGAATTCCTTACTCTTCAAATAAAACGAATTTAAAATTTAATTTGTCTTTTTTTTTAGTTAATATACGAAATTATGACATTGAAGATGAACTTTTGTTCCGATCGTTTGTCGCATTCTTTCTTAATATTGTGGAAAATAGAAATTCACCTTTTCTTAATTATTTTAGTTGTAATGAAGATTTAAAACAGTGTTTTATATTGAGATTTGAGCCTCTTTGTGTGTTTCCATCGTTTCCATTAACATAAGTTAAAATATTTTACTTCTTAGGTATCTTTCTTCAAAGTGCGTCACAAATATTAAATTCGAATATAAATATTTATATATTTTATAATTTAATATGTATTATAATTCATCTTGAACCGTTTATTTTATTAAAATATAAAAATTAAAAATTAAATTGTAGATTTGAAGAAAACATTTAACGTATTATTTTAATTTAGGTTTTAACGTCAGCTTTCAGTGAAGAAAGAGTTCGAGTCCTATTTGCAAATATAAGACACGACTGTATCATCGAAATATTAAGCGTACCAACTGTTTATTCTCAAACAGCTTAAATTTTGATTATTTTTTAGTTCTGAATTTAATATATTTATACGCATATCAGAAAAATGAAATAACAACAAAATTGTAAAAATCTTGTATAATGTAAGATGAATTTAATATTATTAAGTTATATAATGTTTATAAACGAAAATGTTTTTTTTCTCAAATTATAGTTTTTGTTCATTACACATTTAAAAAACAAGTTATATTAATAAATGATCTATGAATTCTTTACATTTCTTTTAGCAATGAAAACTTGCGCTTCCTTTCTATTTAAAAAAATGTATAGTTATTAGTAAATAAATTATTTTTCTAAATTGATATTAGTAAACTATTGATCACCTTTTCTAACTTAGAAAAATAGTTTTAATTTAAAACAAATTTTTAAAATGTGGAATTTAATTTACATTAAAAAAATATAATTTCATCTTAATTTATAAGACGATTTTATAAGATTTATAATTTCTAAATATATGTGAGGAATTATAATACTAATTTGTGAAAAATTTGGCCTTTAATTTATTCCATTAAAGGAATAAGTCATTTTTTTCTTTACATTCTTAACATTTTAATATTACAAAGGCTTTATACAAGTTAATATTATCATGTGAAAAAAATTACAAACATACAGACGATTTTGAGACATACATTAAACGCAGAAATTGATACCATCCTCCAATATTATCCTTGCTTTTTAAAATGCGTTCATTGTTACAATCGATTTCCTTAAATAAATCCATTCGTCTATTTTATAATTTGATTTTTAGAGTTTTTTTTTATTTTCACTTGTCTTAATACCAACAGTTGCTCAGTATTTTCAAAGCGTAAATATAATTTTTGCAGAATCTCTAATACTGACAAATCCGTAATTAGCAATTTTAGTATTGCTTGCTTATTATAAAAATCTGTACAAATTTAAAAATGAATTAAAAACACTTGACTGATACTACTAAATTCAAGAATTACATAGGAACTCATTATGTAATCAGTAAAGTGTAAAACTTGTTAAAAAGAAAATATTCAGTATTCTATAAAATGTTGAACTAGAAAAAATTTCAATTATTATCAATACAAGAGATTCTTTTTTACAAATAAAGACGCAGTTTTTGATAAATTTAAAAATATTATAAATTTATAACAATCAATTGATTGTAAAAAAAGGGTAAATTTAAAACAAGCACCTTTATAATGAAATATTCTAAGTGAACGAATATTAATCACGTGATGTATCGAAACTAATGGAGAATAGGATAAATCTCCCAATTTTAAAAGTGTCTCATTCAAATATTCCTATGTTCCGAACAATCACAAACGAACAATTCTAAAACGAAATACAGATATACAAAAATATATAAGTTAATAATAAAAGCTTAAAAACTTTTAACCAAAACTTGAATTATGTCATGTACACAAAGGTATTAATATCATCTTCTTGTCGGCGAATATATTTATGTTCTATAAGCCACTCAATTTGTTCTTTAATCATTTTTTTACTTGGCAAAAACATATTTTTCAGAATATCCACTAATTCAGTTTGTAGTTGAGCGTTGTTAATTTTCTTCCTCATCTTGAGAATTTTAATAATTGCTTCCTGAAACAAAATTCATTATTTAGTCTTTATATTTCAATGTGTATGCTTTTGTTTTTTTAAACACTTTACTCGATTGAAATTATACAATTGTTTTATTTGTCAAGCACAATTTCAGACCTCGAATCGACTTTAAGGCGCAAAAAAATCGCGTTAGTCGAATAAAAATACAAAATAAGTCGAGAAAGTCATTGATTTAATTCATTATTGTTACAAAAATTAAAATTAAAAAAATTGCAATTTAAGACCTTATGAAATTTAATAAATTCTAAAAATTACAACTATATCCCTTCCAAAATTCACTTGTTAACAATTTTTAATAATAATTTTCGAAAAGTTCTTCGAGAATTCAATTATTTAAGTACAAAAATTCATTTTTTTATAACAATTGTAACTGCTTATGTGTTTTTTTTAAAGTTGTCAAAAAATTATAATAAAAAAGTTATGAAAATTAATTTTTTTTAAATATTTTTTCAATTAGTTTTTTAAAAATATTGTAACGTAATTTTTTGAAAATAATTGAATTTTTTAAATGAATTTTTGTATACTTTAAAAAAAATAATTGTTTGAAGAATTTTAATTAGAAATTTTGAATATGATTATTTTCTCAAAGATACTAAAAATAATTCTAAAAAATGTTATTATTTTTCATTTGTATTTGAGTTTTCGGAAATATGTTATTTGAAATAATTGAATTTAAAATGATGAAAGCATTACTCTCCTCATAAATATTTTAATACAATTTTTAAAGGCTAAGTTTCCTTAATTTTCATTTTAAAATTTTCGCTTGAAGATTTTTCATTAAAATATTTGAGAATTCAATTATTTCCAAAGTTTGTAATTAATTTTATTTACAAGAACAAATTTTTGAATAATTTAATAATCAGAATTTAAAACATTAATTTATTAAGCACCTAATTAATTATTATTAATGTTCATATCTTCAAAAATTTTTATTTCTTCGCAAGAGTTCAATTATTTTTATAAATAGTAAAATTTTTTGCAAAATGTTAATTATTTTCAACAAAAATTTAATAAAATTCCACGAAAGAATTGAATTACTTTTTTAAATAGTAAAATATTTTACAAAGATTCGGTATTTTCAATAGAATTTCAAGATAGAATTCAATTTTTTTCTCAATTCGATTTAAAAATTTCCAAAAGAATTCAATATAATAAATTCTTCGAAAGAATACAATTATTTTTATAAATAATAAAATTCTTTGCAAAAATTCAATTATTTTGAATACAATTTTAATAAAATTTTAATATATTATTCGAAACAATTCAATTATTTTTATAGGGAGTAAAATTCACGACAAGAATTAAATTATTTCCAATACAATTTTAATGAACTTCAATAATCAAATATTTAACTATAATTATTAACAGACACGATTATTTTTAAAAGGTTGAAAAAATTTCTTTGTTTAATTCAATTATTTTTAAAAATTTTAATTAAAATTATTCAAAAAACTTAAAAAAAAATTCTTCAACAGAATTATTTAATTCTTTACAAAAACTCTAATAAAATTGTTTAAAAAGTTTATCTTTCTATCAATAATTTTACTAAAATTTTAATAGTGAAATCAATAAATTAAAGAAGTTTTTTTGAAATAATTTAATTATTTTCTATATTTTAATAAAATTTCTTAAATGAATTAAATTATTTTTTTTTAATTTTAATAAAATTCTATAATTAAATGTTTAATTTCAATTATTAAGAAACACGATTATTTTAAAAACTTAACAAAAATTCTTCATAAAATTTAATTACTTAAAAAATTTCCAATATTAAAATTATTAATGAAACTACATTATTTTAAAAAAATTCAAAGAAATTCATCAAAAGAATTGAATTAGGATTTTCAAAAATTTTACTAAAATTCTTCGATGAAATTAAATTATTCTCAAATTTTTTCATAAAATTCTTCGAAGGAATTCAATAATTTCAAATTTTTTCATAAAATTCTTTGCAGGAATTCAATGATTTTCAATACATTAATTTTAAAATTGAAAATATGCACAAAAAGAAAAATTAATTTAAAAAGTTAGGCAACAAAAAAGAAAACAACAACTAACTTCAAACTGCGAACAGATTATCGGAATACAACGATTATTATTAATATAGAAGATATTCTTCAAAAATTGTAATAAAATACTGCAAAAAATCAATAAATTTATTTAAAAATTTGTTAATTAATATTTTTTTTAAAAATTATTTAAAAAATGTTTGAAAGATATTTCTAAAGTTATTTTTTACAGTATAAATATCGAAAAAAATTGCATTTCATACCCAAAATGTGGTATTTTTTTGCAATATTTGTAAAAAAAGTCGAAAAACTCATAATATTAAAATAAAACTAAGAAATTTAAACGATTTTTATAAAATAAAGGTAAGAAATTTTCATAATGTTGATTTGTCAATAATATTTTTTGGTTCATTTAAACATTTTTAGTTTCTTTTGGAAGAAAACTTTGTGTAATTTCCGTTTTTAAAACACAATTTTTAACGAAATTATAATTCTTTTTTCGAAAGTAATAAGAAAAATTTGTGTAATTTCTATTTAAAAATTACAATTTTTACACAAAATCCTGTTTTCTTTTTGAAAAAAGAAGAAAAAAGATATAAAGTTGACAATTATATTTCCAAATCACAATTTTCAAAAAGGGATCCAGATTTAAAAAAGAAGTTTTTTTTATAAATTAAATAACAAATTATTGTAACACTACTTTTATTTTAAATTTCTATGAATTTTACTATATCCGAAATAAATTGCAGCAAAAATTAGTAAACTTTACTTCAGACTTAGTCAAATTTCCTTCAAAGTAAATAAAATTTACCATTCAAAATTCTTATTTCCAAATTAACTTTTTACTATTTTTAAGGAAAACTTCCTTTTAAGATAAGAAATATTTATCCCAGATCTTAATATAGATTTTTTTTCAAGAAAAAGCAATTTTTCCAAAGTTTGCAAAATGTAGAAATTTTTTTTCTCAAAATAATTAAACATTTTTACAAAAATGACAATTTTTGTACATTTTTTAAGGAGAAAAGGGAAAAATGTTACGATAATTGAAAAAAGTAAAAAAAAAAATGTAATTTTAATGTTTTCTTTAATGCGTAAAGTAAGAAAAAATCTTACTTGAAGGCGTAAAATCCTAAGCTGCACAATTGATTGGTTGTCTTCCTCCTTACTTCGTTCCGTTGATAGTTGTAAACGTCCAATTAGATTTATCTTCCCTCGTTTTTGAAGTTTATTGTTTTTCCTGTTGAAAGATTTTGTCAAATTTTAATAGTTTATTATTGAGAGCACACAGGCGAAAAGCTATAATTATTTTACTCGTAAAATGAACGTACACAATGGCAAAGTCCTGATTAACCCAAAATCTCGTATCGTGTGCAAAATCCTTAGGACTGTGTGCTATGGGATCAACCAGAAGAAGTTGTCTCTTCAATTTGGGAAAGGCGCACAAAGACCACAGTGTGCGTCTCAATTCTGGATCTGGAAGCTCCGTGGCCAGGCGGAGATTTTCATAGGAGATTCTTTCAAGTGGTCGTTGATTCCAAGCAAATAATACAGCCATTTGAAAGGTTGTAACGTCCACATCGAATCGACCGACTTGATTCGAAAATGTTATCTAGAAAATATAGTCGATATTATAATTTTTGTCGTTTTAAACTTTAAGCTTAAGTTCGAAATAACAATATAATGAATAGCAAAGAAACATTACCGTTCCGTTTGACATATGGTGATACCACTGAAGTTTTCGCCCACTATGTTTCTTTTTGTAAAATTCTTCCACCTCTGGAATATAATCTTCCAGTTGAAGAGGTAAGCTGACAGTTACTCTTTCGCTACCTCTCGCCCACGCACCAGCATTTAGAATCTGAAAATAATCAAGTTTTCAATTTATTTCCAACTAGCAACACTTCGCGCGCGGTTAACTTCTTCTTTATTTTTTTATAATTAAGTTTTTCAAAATTACAGAATTTAAAAATTTGCAATTCAAATTTTTTTGATAAAAATAAAATATGAATTTGAATTTCATTTTCTTACTATTAATAACTACAATCTTTTGTCCAATTAAGAAATTTTAGTTTCTATACATTAAATTCTTTCTTAAAATCTTTATTTATTAAAAATAACTAGCAAATGTTGCACGCGGAACGTGATATTCCATTTATTATTATTATTGTTATTATTATGCAAATTACAAAATTTTTATTTTCAAATTCCAATTTTTTGAATAAGTTCATAATTAAAATTTAAGAAAATCACTTATTTATTTATAACAAAGCCCAACAGTAAAAAAAACCATTAATATAATTCTTCGCAAGAATTTAATTATTTTCATATAATAACATTCTTCGGAACAATTCGATTATTTTTATAAATAATAAAATTCTTTGCAAAAATTCAAATATCTTTAAAAAAAATTTTAATATACAATTTCACGAAAAAATTTAATTATTTTCTAAAATTTTAATAAATCCATTGAATCAATTCAATTATTCTTTTAAATATAATAAAGTCTTTAAAAACATTCAATTACATTCAATTATTTTAATTGTTTCCTTCTCGTTTCCTTCTGGTCATTCAAAATCTTTTTTTCTGTAAAATTCCTTAATTTTCAAAAAGCTTAATAAATTTATTGAAAAAAATAAAAAAAAAAAAAAAATTAAAAAAAAATGAAAATTTATTGAAAGATATTCAAATATATATTCTTTAAAACTTAAGAACCTTTAATTATTTTCAAAATTTTTAAGAAATTTCTTGAAAAATATATTAAATTATGTTCTTTAAAAATTAAAAAATGATACAATTTGTTTATAAAAATTTAATTATGTAATTTTTTAAATAAAATTCTTGAAAAATTAGATTTCTTTTTATATAATTTAAAAACTAATTTTTTAGAATTTTGAATACAATTTTTTTAAAAATTCAACTAGGGTAAGTGCGTCAATTGTGGCGGGTGCTCCAATTATGGCGACTTTGTGAAAAATACAATTATTTACTATTTTAGAATAATTTAGTTATTTGAAAATGTTTGAAAAAGTTATTTTCGACCTAACTCGATATCATTGTACGAAAAGAAACACATTTAAACTATTATTAATTTAATTATTTAATAACAAAAATTGCGCTCCGCCATAATTGGCACATTTTTATTGAATGCACGTGCTTCAGTTATGGCGCGCAACACAACCTCTAAATACACGTTATTTTTCTCGCCGTAATTGGCGCGCCAAGATTGACTCAATCGCGCCATAATTGACGTTTTTGATTTTATTTTTTATTGCTTTAATTTGTTTAAACAATTAATTTTTATAAAGTTTTTACTAATGTTTTATTATCTGAATGACACTAGCTTTTTGTTTAATAAGCCATAAAGTTACTTCTCTCATTATAATTTTTGAATTTTCTATTTCAAAGACGGCTAAACCAGAACCGCGCCATAATTGGCACACTTACCCTACATTTAAAAATTTTGATTAAATTCTTCGCAAAAATTCAATTATTTTCATAAATATTAATATTCTTCGGAAGAATTCAATTATTTTCAATACAATTTTTGTTGTAACAAGTAACAAGGTTTTACAGACCAAAAATGAAAAAAAAATAAAAAATTATTTTCAAGCATTTGATTACAATATTCAATTGTACGAAAATTTAATTATTCGTAAATTCTTCAATTAAATATATTTATTAGAAAATAAAAACTTAAAAAAAAATATATCAAAATTCAAATAAACTTTTTCAAAAAAAATTAATTTCAAAATTCAATTATATTTCTAAAAATTCACGCTATAATGCTTCTAATATTCAATTATTATCTGAAATTTTAATTAAAATTCATTATTAAATCAATTTTTTTAGAAAATGCTACGCGAATTCAATGATTTAAATACAAAAATAAATAATTTATTGAATAATTGAATGTTTCTTAGAATTCAATTCTTATACATAATTTTATTAACAAATTTTTGAATAATTGAATTCTTTCGAAGAGTTTCAATAAAAATTTTAAGTAAAATTACATTTTTCGAGAAATTCGATTAAAATTGTATTAAAAATAATCGAAATTCTGCGATAAGTTTTATTACTTGTAAAAATAATTGAATACCTAAGAAGAATTTAATTATTTTTTAACAATATTTAATTTTTGCGAAGAATATTATTACTCATAAAAATAATTGAATTTCTACAATAATTTGTAACTTTTTCAAAATTAAATTTTTTCTTCGTGTTTCTAACTAAAATTCTTCTATAAATGCATTATTTTTAATAATTTCTGAAATAGTTCTTTGAGAATTTTTAAATTCATTTGTCTTCAATTTACAATCTACAATTTCAAAAAATAATCCACAATTAAACGTTATCAAAAAAATTAATTCCACAAAATTGTTAATTAAAAAAATGAAGAATTCAGATTTTCAAAAATTTCAAATTCAAACCTTTTCAAAATTCAACTATTTCTAAAAATTCACGCTCTAATGCTTTTAATATTCAATTAATATCTAAAATTTTTACTGAAATCGATTTTTAAATCAATTTTTATTAGACAATTCAACTAGAATTTAATTATTTAAATACAAATAAATAATAAAACCAATTATTGAATAATAACATGTTTCTTAAAACTGAATTCTCAGAAAGAATTTTACCAATAAATTTTTAAATAATTCAATTTTTTTGAGGAATTTTAATACAATTTTCAAGAATAATTATAAATTTTTCGAGGAATTCGATTAAAATTGTATTAAAATTAATTTAAATTCTGCAATGAGTTTTATTATTTATGAAAATAATTGAATTCCTAAAAAGACATTTATTATTTACGAAATTAATTGAATTCTTGTAAACATTTTATTATTTATGAAAATAATTAAACGTTTACGTAAACGTTTAATTATTTTCATAAATTCAAAAAAAAAAAAAAATTTCAAAAATTATTAAATTTTTTTGGAATTAAATTTAATTTAATTTAATTTTTTTGAAAAAAATAATTGAATTCTTTTGAAAAATTTTATTAAAATAATATAGTAGATATTAAAAATTATTGAATTGAGGAAAATTTTTGAAAATAATTGAAATTTTGCCAAGAATTTTATTAAAATTTTTGAAAATAAATGAATTTCGGAAAAGAATTTCATTATTTCTAAAAGATAATATAAATTTTGACGAGAATTTTTAAAAAGTTTTGAACATAATTGAATTTTTGCGAAGAATTTTATTAATTTTGAAAATAATTGAATTTCTGCAATCATTTGTAATTTTTCTAAAATTCTCCAAATTATATCGTACAATTTACGAAAATTTCGTCCTTTTTCAATAAAATTACGAACTTTACTGACCTTTTTTCAAAAAAACGGACTTTTATGGACTTCAAGCAAATTTACGGATCTTTACGGGATTTACGGACCTAGTTCGAGCCCTGAATTTGAAGTAATTTGCACTTAAAATAAAACATACCTTAATATTAATACTGTCGGCAATAACAGCTCGACATTGTTCCTTAAATTGTTGATTGAGATCTTGAGAGACTTTGATATCTTGAAACATTCGTGCCAGTTTATTGACATAATCAGCAGGCATGCCGACTTCTCGCAGCCATTCTACCATGTTTTCCTCCTTTTCCGAATCGGCCGACGTGTCCAATATTAAGCGCCTTGTTAAATGTGCCTTATGATATCGCATAAACACATCCTTATTCTGAACGTATTTCAATACTAGTAACTGGAACAAAAAAAGAGTCTTCAATAAACTAGCAGAAAAGGAGAAACAAAAATAACGTAAAAAACATACCACATCTCGTAATTTACTTTCGATTTCATCGGAAGTAAGTTTTTTGCTAAGTGGTGTTTTTCTAAGTAACATGTCGCAATAGTTTGCTAGCAATTCGGGACACTTGGACTCAGGTTGAATGTTGTTATTGCTATTTGGTTTACTGTTTAAAGCAACAGGAGCGGGGGGAATTCCAGCGGCAGAAGAAGAAGCAGCTCCTTGTCGCACGGGCAGTTCTAGTCTAAATACAGTCGCATCGTTTACAACAAGTTTGTACGCCTTATCTCGTGCGGTCAAAAACCGCGGATCATCGTCGAATGCCTCTTTCACGAGAATTGAAAAGCGCCTGAACAGATCCAACAGCCTCTCGACATATTTCTCAGAATCTTGAGTGATTACGTCAACGGCAGCCATCATATCTGCTAGTCCGGCACTTGCTATATGATCCTCCAAATCTCGCAGCATTGGAATCACACCGTCCTGCACTCTGTCCATTAATTTCAACATGAGCCGCAATTCTAAAAAAAACAATTCAAGAGTTTTAGGTTTATATCTGTCAAAGGCGAAAAAGGTTTTAAAAACAGATTCTTAATCTTGATCGTGACCTCAGCCTTCGCACTCATCAACTAAAACCTACTATTCACTACTTTTTTACGTTATGCTATTATTTGGGTACTTTTTTTAGATTTCAGCCACTAAAAGCGACTGTTTCTGTTTTTTTAGAATTTTCACTACTTTAAATTCGCTAATAATAGAAATCAAAAAACTATTCTCAAAAATTATAATCAAATTCTTTAACACGATTCAACTATTTTCAAACAATATTCGAAATTCAATTATTTTCAATATCTAGTATTTTCAGAAAATTTCGCAAAACAATTCAATTATTGAAAAAAGAAATTGATAAAATTCATCAAAAATTTAATTATTTTCATAAATAATAAAATTTACACACAAATTCAATTAATTTAGAATAGCATTTTCAAAAAAATTTCGAAAAAATCAATTATTTAACCAAATTTTTATACAATTCTTCACAATAATTCAATTACTTTCACTAATTAAAACATTTTTAATGTAAATTCAATTTTTCAAAAAAAATTTCGATAAAATTCTAAGCAAGAATTCAATTATTTTCATAAATAATAAAACTCATCGAAGAATTTCAATTATTTTCCCAAATAAAGTTTTCCACGAGAATTCAAATATTTAACGTAAAATTTTCATAATATTTATTGTATTTCGAAAAAATTATTTAAAACAATGTTTATAAAATTCTTATAAGGAATTCAATTATTTTAAAAAATAACAAAATTTTCATAGAAATTCAATTCTTTTTAAACATTTTAATAAAATTTTTCCCAATAATTTAATTATTTTCATAAATAATAAAATTCTTCTCAGGAATTCAATTAATTTTGAAAATTTCAATAAAATTTACAAAAATATTTGAATTTTTTTACAGGAATTCAATTATTTTCAAATATTTTAATAAAATTGTTCGAAAGAAATGAATTATTTTAAATACAATTTGAATTAAATTTTTTTGAAATAATTCAATTATTCTTTTAGATTTTAATTAAATTTTTTTCAAGAATTTTATGATTTTCTTTTTAAATTCAATTATTTTCATAAATAACAATATTCATCACAAGAATTCAATTATTTTTAAAAGTAATCAATTTTTTCATGGAAATTCAATTATTTAAAAAAATTCTAATAAAATCGTTCGCAATAATTCAATTATTTTCATAAATTATAAAATTTATCTCAGAATTTCAATTATTTTTAATATATCCTGCAGGAATTGCTCGAAAAATGTAATTGTCTTCTTAAAAATTTAATTTTAATTTCTCGAAAAAATTAATTATTTAAAAAGAAAGTTTTTTTAAATTCTTTGGAAAAATTCAATTATTTACGAAAATATTAGAATTTTTCACAGGAATTCAATTATTTCGATAAATAATAAAATTCTTCGCAAAATTTCATTTATTCTGAGGCATTTTAATAAATTTTTTTGCAAAATTCAATTATTTTCATAAACAGCAATATTCATCACAAGAATTCAATTATTTTCAAAAGTAATAAATTTCTTCATTGAAATTCAATTATTTTTAAAAATTCTAATAAAATCGTTCGAAAGAAATTAATTATTTTGAATACAATTTTAATTAAATATTTTTTAAATAATTCAATTATTCTTTTAGATTTTAATATAATTTTTACCATAAATAATTCTTCGAAGTAATAAATTCAATTATTTACATAAATAATTCGTCGAAAAAATTCAATTTTGTCGGTAAATAACAAAATTATTCTAGAAAATTCAATAATTTTGTGTCATTTTAATAAAATTCTTTGCAAAGTTCAATTATTTTCATAAATAACAATATTCATCACAAGAATTAAATTATTTTTTAAAAGTAATAAATTTCTTCTTGGAAATTCAATTATTTTTAAAAATTCCAATAAAATCGATCGCAAGAATTCAATTATTTACATAAGTAATTCTTCGAAAGAATTCAATTACTAAAGATAAATAACAAAATTATTCACGAAAATTCAATTATTTTGAGGCATTTTAATAAAATTTTTTGCAAAATTCAATTATTTTCATAAATAATAATATACATCAAAAGAATTCAATTATTTTTAAAAGTAATAAATTTCTTCTTGGAAATTCAATTATTTCAAAAAGTTCTAATAAAATCGTTCGCAAGAATTCAATTATTTTCAAAAATATTTAATAAAATGCCACACAGACATTCAATTATTGTCAACAATTTTAATATAATTGTTTGTAAAATTTAATTATTTTTAAAAACTTTTTGCAATTCGATGATTTTTAATATCTACTGTTTAAAATTTCCAAACAGAATTCAATTATTTAAAAAAATTTTTGTAAAAATTTTCGTAAGAATTCAATTTTTTTTAATGAATAATACAAATTTCTCAGGAATTCAATTATTTAAATTAGAATTTGCATAAAATTAGTCGAAAGAAATGAATTGTTTAAAAATTTTAATAAAAATTCTTCGCAAGAATTAAATTCTTTTTATAAATATTTAAATTCTTTGATGAATAATAAAATTCGTTGCAGGAATTGAATTTATTAGCAGGATACGAAAGAAGTAAATATTTTTGATGAAAATTAGGAAAAAGTCAGGAAAATAAAAAATATGTAATGTAATTTTTTCAGTTTTATGATCTAAAACGAGTTTTTTTTAGTCGTCAAGTTTAATTTTTCGATAGCTACTTTTTTTACTACTTTTTTTAGTTTGAAAGCTACTTTTTGCTACTTTTTTAAAATAAATTATCGAGTGCGAAGTCTGTGACCTTTTAACAATTCTTAAAGTGAATCTTAAGTTCTAATTATAATAAAATTATAGCCATGAACTTACTGTCGGTTTGGTGTTGTTGTATCATTCGTGGACATTCTGCGAGAATTGCAGGTTTAAAACTGGCAACCAATACTCTGACGCAACAATCAGTTAATAACTGCACACTAGCACTGTTGGGCTCCAAATATTTTTGTGCGCGTAGCTCTTCTTCTCGAAGCTTTGCTTCGGCGTAGCGCATGTAATTTTCAACGCCATGTGAATACAATTGTTCAGGTGCTTTGATCTTATAGAAGGCCTCAGTTGCCTCAATGTAAGCTGCCTCGAAATTTTCCCGGTATATTTGAAGTTTGTCAGCCGAATTCGAGCAAAGATTTACTGCAATCAAATTGGAGAATGAGGTTAATCAGAAATTTTAATTAGTAATTAATTCAATTAAATGGTACAAAATTGTAATGTAATAAAAATAGACTATCAGTACAATAATAGCGATGAAAATGTAAAAATGTTTGTAAACTGAAATAGAAAATAAAGAAATTACCATAAGACTCTCGAACTCCAATAACCAGCTGAGAATCAAATGCTTCTCCATTTCTTTCTGCTCGCACTAATCTCATGGCAGAATCCTGCAGTCTCTGTTTTATTTCACCAAATATACTTTGATTCCAACTATCTAACATTAACTGTAAAAGCAAAAGGATTTAAACATTTTTGTTTAAAAGTTGTGTAAAAGAATTGAAAAAATTTGAAACAGTATCTTACCTTTCTTACGATGCTTTCATCACAGTGATTCTTCTTTGGAATATTAGAACCAAGTTTTCCAGAGAGTGAAGTTTCTAATTGCCTAAAAGGTGACGGTACATAGTTACATTGCGTGAAAAACTTTCTCCATTCTGCTATGTAAGCTTTCAATAAAGCTTGTTCTTCTTGATGAGCTAGGACTCTCTAAAATAAAACTATTACTTTGCAACATTTAACTGAACAATTTCTATTTTTACTGTAAAATTTTACAGTCTGATCAGATTAACTAGCAGCCAGCATAGCAGCAACACTCTTGTAGATGCTGTTGACTGGCTATCAGTTGACCGATTTTACATGCCACTGGGATTGGAACTAAGTTTAATCAAAGTTCTACATTTTTGAATTCTCTTTTTTCTTTTTTCTTTTTCTACTCTTTTCTTCGTATGTATTGAATATTTTACTTCCAAAAACGTACAACAATCAATCGTTTTAAAATAATAACTGTCAGAACAAATAGAACGAAAAAATTTTATTAGTTCTTCAATGTAGGGAAATTGAAGAAAAAGCTTTTCGGTTGAAAATTGGATAGGGAAGATTTATAATTGTTCTCATAAAGGAAGGTATAAATTCAAGTAATCATTTAAATATTGACAATAACTTTAAAATTTATTTTATTCCAGAAATACAAACAGTAAATATTATGCCACAAAAAGATTATTTCCATGCAAGTTCAGATCGCTTAGACCAAAGAATTGGAAATTTTTTTATGTATAATTAATAAAGTCCCTTCACCAATTAATAGATATTTATTATCTTATTATTTAAATTATTATTAAATTAAAATTATTATTTATTTATTTTATTAAATATTAGCAAATATTACGCGCGGAACGTGATATTCAAATCATTATTATTATGCAAATTACAAAATTTTTTATTTTCAAATATGAATTCTTGAATAATTTCAGATTCAAACTTTAAAAAATTCAATTATTAACTAATTTATTAATTAATTATTCTCGTTTATTAATTTCAAAAATTTTAATAAAATTCTTCGCAAGAATTCAATTATTTTCATAAATAATAACATTCTTCGTAAGAATTCAATTATTTTTTAAATAGAAATATTTTTTCAAAATTTCAATTATTTTTAAACAAAATTTCAAATAACATTTCACGAACGAATACAATTATTTTCTAAAAATTTGATAAATCCTTCAAAATAATTCAATTATTTTTTAGGAAAATTTCACGAAAGAGTTCAATTTTTTTTAACTCGTTATAAATTGTTTCAAAAGAATTTAATTATTTTCTAAAATTTTAATAAATCCTTCCAAACAATTCAATTTTATTTATAAATAGTAAAATTCTTTGCAACAATTCAATTATTTTTAATACAATTTTAATAAAATTTCATTAAAGAATTTAAATCTTTTTTAATTTTTAATAATATTTTTCGAAAGAATTCAATTATTTTCTAAAATTTTAATAAATCCTTCGAAACAATTCAATTTTATTCATAAATAATAAAAAAAAAATTTCAATACAGTTAAATTATTTTCTACAATTTTTAAAAATTCTTCAAAAAAATTCAATTATACCTATTTATAAATAGTAAAATTTTTTGCAAAAATTCATTTATTTTCAATACAATTTCTATAAAATTTCATTAAATAATTTAATTTTTTTTTAATTTTTAATAATATTTTTCTAAAAAATCCAATTATTTTCTAAAATTTTAACAAATCCTTCGAAATAATTCAATTATTTTTTTAAATAGTAAAATCTTTGCAAGAATTCAATTATTTTCAAGCAAATTTCACTAAAGAATTCGATTTTTTTCTTAATTCGTTATATAAAATTTTTCAAAAGAATAAAATTTAATTATTTTCTAAGGTTTTAATAAAATTTAATAATTAAATGTTTAATTTCAATTATTAACTAACACAATTATTTTAAAAACTTGAAAGAAATTGTTCATTAAATTCAATTATTTTTAAAATTTTCAATTAAAATTATTAAAGAAATTGTTTTGAAGGAATTGTATTATTATCAAATCTTTTGCTAAAATTCTTAGCAACAATTCTGATTCACTCTAAAAATGATTAGATACTCAAAGAACTGTTCTATTACATTTATTTACGAATGTTTTTTAATTGTAAATTTATTCGAAAACATCAATAAATTTTTTTTTAAATAAATATTTAATCATTATTCTTATTCCATATGAGTCAAGATTTTCAAAAAATTTCAAATTCAAACCTTTGTGAAATTCAACAACTTATAATAATTTTAATTTCCATAAAATTTTTCGAAAAAAAATGAAATTATTTACAAAAATGTTAATGAAATCCTTTGCAAGAATTCAATTATTTTTACAAGTAGTAACATTTTTTACATTAATTCAACTATTTGAAAAAATATAATAAAATTAGTTGTAAAAATTCAATTATTTTCATAGATAGGTAATAAAATTTTTCATGGGCTTTCAATTATTTTTAATACAATTTTAAATATATTCCTCGAAAAATGTAATTATTTTCAAAAATTTTTTTGCAAGAATTCAATTACATTTCACAAATAATGAAATTTTGTCGCTGAAATTCAAATATTTTCTAAATCTACTATTTTAATAAAATTTCTCAAAAGAATTCAATTATTTAAAAAAAAATGTAATAAAAATTTGTTGCAAAAATTTAAATATTCTCCTAAATAATAAAACTCTTCAAAGGATTGCATTTACTTTTAATACAATTTTAAGTAAATTCTTCGAAAAATGAACTTAATTTCAAAAACATTATTAAAATTCTTCGAAAGAATTCAATTATCCATTATATTTAATACTTTTTGCAAAAGTTCCTTGAGAATTTTCAAATCCATTTGTTTACAATATTCAATTTTACAAAATTTCGATTAATCGGAAATTCTTCAATTAAATATTTAGAAAATAAAAACTTGAAATAATTTTAAAAACAATTCAATTAAACTTTTAAAAAAATAATTCTACAGAATTGTTAATTAAAAGTATTAAAAATCCATATTTTCAAAGATTTTAAATTAAAACCTTTTCAAAATTTAATTATTTTTGAAAATTCGTGTTATAATGCTTTTAATATTCAATTATTATTGTCTAAAACTTTAACTGAAATTAATTTTTAAATCAGTTTTAATTAGTAAATTCTACTAGAATTCAATTATTTAAATACAAGGGTGATTCTCCGCGTAGCGCACAATTTGGATTTTACTGTTTTTGAAATTTTTTTTTCAAATTAAGTAAAAGTCGATATAGAATTTTAAAGTTCAATATTCAAGAACGAAATATTCGTGGTGGGCCAGACAAAATAATTATAATTTTCTTTTTTACAATAAACACCCATGTAAAATTGATTACACCATGACGCTCTGATTCGACCATGACGCACAAGAAAAACTAATTTTTTAAGCAAATTATTATCGATTTCAAAAATTCTTTTTTTCCACGTCTTTTGTTTTCACTTACTTTATACTACTAAACTTGTTTTGAGGTAAAATTTAAATAATTATTCATTTTATTGCAAATATATTATGATTCGACCATGACGATTCTGTGATTCCCTATGCAACTTTCATGCTTGTAACACATATAAAACAGAAAAATAAATTTTTTTATTAATTTCTTTTTTATAGTAATTTACTTAGGAGAGTTTATTAATGCTTTTTATTAATGTTAAGTAATTTTTCGATTTGTTTTTTTATGTAAATTAGGCAATTTTACAAAGTGATGATACCATGACGCGAAAACGGGGGACAAGAAATATCTACAAAAATATTTAAAAATAAATTTTGTTTTCCATAAGTGTTTTGTTTCTCTCAATTCTACTAATTTCGACAATAAGAAAATGTCAATATTCATTATATTTATTATTATATTTTACTAAAAAAATAACATTTTATATATGAAATGGTAGTGGGGACTGATTACACCATGACGTTTTGGCACCTTAAAACAGATTTTTAAGTAAAATTATAAACTTTTAAATGAAAACGACTATAGACTTTTATTTGTTATCATGGAAATAAGTTATCCACGTTGAATTTATTAGAATATATGAAACTGATTTCTTAAAAAACATGAGGGACATTAAATTGTGCGCTACGCGGAGAATCACCCACAAAAATTAAAAAATTTATTGAATAATTGAATTCTTTTGACGAATTTTAATCAAATTTTTAAGAATAATTACATTATCTTAAATTCCAACTAAAATTCATTTTTAAATCAATTTTTATTAGAAAATTACATGAACTTAATTACACTGAAAAAAATACATGAGACATTTTCAACTACATCCCCTTAGTAGAGTAAAAAGTAATAAAACGAACTACTTTTTTAGTTAGTCTGGCTACTTTTGATACTTATTTTAACTGTTTTATGTAGTTAAAAATTATTAATTAAATTAATGTAATTTTACAGTTAACTTTGTAACTGCAGGTATGTTATAGAAATGACTACAGAAAGTAGTAGATTCTACTACTTAAAGTAGTTTGATATACTAATTTTGTAGTAGTTTTTACTTCTTCTAGGAGTTGAATTATTTTCCATGTAATTTATGTTATAGATTTTTATAGAAGATTATCAACTGTGAAAAGTTGTAAATGCAACTACTTTAAGTAGTAAAATTAACTACAGTTATCAGTTGAACTGTGTCTGGAATGCCTTTAAGTATTAAGCAACTCATCGTAGCGGGCGAGCGTGGTTAGGTGGTTAGGTTATCGGTTTACGAATGTTAGGGTCGAGCGTTCAACTCCCGACGTTTAGAGATTTTTCTCCGTTAGGTATATAGACATTAAATAAATAAGGTATAGGTAAACAAAAGTGGGTAGGGGGAAATATAAAAAAATACAACTCGATAATATTTATAATAAATTATAAATAATTTTATTTTACCATTTTCAGTAGTTACTTTATTACTGAGTTATCTTAGTAACTTTAACTACATATCAGCAGTTAATTCTACTGCAAAACTGTCATTGGTTCCTATTTAACTAAGAAAAGTAGTTAATGCAACTGTATTATCACTTCATTCAACTACATATCTGATAATTAATGTAAGTTCAAAATTATCTTTGGGGACTTATTGAACTAAGGAAAGTAGTTAAAAAGTAGTCAAATCTACTAAGAATTTTTTTCAGTGTATTTAAATACAAAAAAAACATTTATTGAA